CCGTGCGACTAGCTGGATCCGGGGCCGTGCCTTCCCGCGCCCCGGTGCGTCGTGAGGAGTGGGATAGGAGCCAGGTGGAGGAGAGAGGCGTGGAGGTCGCTACGTGGACAAGCAGTGGGAAGTGTGTCGTGAGGCGACGAGAGGGCTGTCGAGCGGCGCGTGAGGATGCGTACGCGCGCGGTGGGACGGGGTATATCGTAGCGTGTGTGGGAGAGCGTGTGCGGGTCTATTTTGGATTTGGTGGGTGTGGTTTGATTTTGCCGGTCGTATAGCTCAGTCGGTAGAGCACAGTGCTAATAACGCTGCGGTCCAGGGTTCGAGCCCCTGTATGACCATTTTGCTCTTTTCTGCTGCGTCCCTAGCAACGCTGCCACGCGTCTTTTGCGCGTTCCGACGCTCCTCGAGTGCTGCCGATACCACTGGCCACCGCTGACGCACATCCGCGACCTCCCAAGCCGTTTGACTACGCCGTGGCAAGGGTCGAGTTGGACCGCCGATGCTGACCATGCGACTGGCATATTGGGGCTACCGATCTTTTTCCAGACTGCGATGGCGACCCGTGCGACTAGCTGGATGCCGGGCCGTGGCCTTCCGCGCCCCGGTGCGCCGTGAGGAGTGGGATAGGAGCCAGGTGGAGGAGAGAGGCGTGGAGGTCGCTACGTGGACAAGCAGTGGGAAGTGTGTCGTGAGGCGACGAGAGGGCTGTCGAGCGGCGCGTGAGGATGCGTACGCGCGCGGTGGGACGGGGTATATCGTAGCGTGTGTGGGAGAGCGTGTGCGGGTCTATTTTGGATTTGGTGGGTGTGGTTTGATTTTGCCGGTCGTGTAGCTCAGTCGGTAGAGCACAGTGCTAATAACGCTGCGGTCCAGGGTTCGAGCCCCTGTATGACCATTTTGCTCTTTTCTGCTGCGTCCCTAGCAACGCTGCCACGCGTCTTTTGCGCGTTCCGACGCTCCTCGAGTGCTGCCGATACCACTGGCCACCGCTGACGCACATCCGCGACCTCCCAAGCCGTTTGACTACGCCGTGGCAAGGGTCGAGTTGGACCGCCGATGCTGACCATGCGACTGGCATATTGGGGCTACCGATCTTTTTCCAGACTGCGATGGCGACCCGTGCGACTAGCTGGATGCCGGGCCGTGGCCTTCCGCGCCCCGGTGCGTCGTGAGTAGTGGGATAGGAGCCAGGTGGAGGAGAGAGGCGTGGAGGTCGCTACGTGGACAAGCAGTGGGAAGTGTGTCGTGAGGCGACGAGAGGGCTGTCGAGCGGCGCGTGAGGATGCGTACGCGCGCGGTGGGACGGGGTATATCGTAGCGTGTGTGGGAGAGCGTGTGCGGGTCTATTTTGGATTTGGTGGGTGTGGTTTGATTTTGCCGGTCGTATAGCTCAGTCGGTAGAGCACAGTGCTAATAACGCTGCGGTCCAGGGTTCGAGCCCCTGTATGACCATTTTGCTCTTTTCTGCTGCGTCCCTAGCAACGCTGCCACGCGTCTTTTGCGCGTTCCGACGCTCCTCGAGTGCTGCCGATACCACTGGCCACCGCTGACGCACATCCGCGACCTCCCAAGCCGTTTGACTACGCCGTGGCAAGGGTCGAGTTGGACCGCCGATGCTGACCATGCGACTGGCATATTGGGGCTACCGATCTTTTTCCAGACTGCGATGGCGACCCGTGCGACTAGCTGGATGCCGGGCCGTGGCCTTCCGCGCCCCGGTGCGCCGTGAGGAGTGGGATAGGAGCCAGGTGGAGGAGAGAGGCGTGGAGGTCGCTACGTGGACAAGCAGTGGGAAGTGTGTCGTGAGGCGACGAGAGGGCTGTCGAGCGGCGCGTGAGGATGCGTACGCGCGCGGTTGGACGGGGTATATCGTAGCGTGTGTGGGAGAGCGTGTGCGGGTCTATTTTGGATTTGGTGGGTGTGGTTTGATTTTGCCGGTCGTATAGCTCAGTCGGTAGAGCACAGTGCTAATAACGCTGCGGTCCAGGGTTCGAGCCCCTGTATGACCATTTTGCTCTTTTCTGCTGCGTCCCTAGCAACGCTGCCACGCGTCTTTTGCGCGTTCCGACGCTCCTCGAGTGCTGCCGATACCACTGGCCACCGCTGACGCACATCCGCGACCTCCCAAGCCGTTTGACTACGCCGTGGCAAGGGTCGAGTTGGACCGCCGATGCTGACCATGCGACTGGCATATTGGGGCTACCGATCTTTTTCCAGACTGCGATGGCGACCCGTGCGACTAGCTGGATGCCGGGCCGTGGCCTTCCGCGCCCCGGTGCGCCGTGAGGAGTGGGATAGGAGCCAGGTGGAGGAGAGAGGCGTGGAGGTCGCTACGTGGACAAGCAGTGGGAAGTGTGTCGTGAGGCGACGAGAGGGCTGTCGAGCGGCGCGTGAGGATGCGTACGCGCGCGGTGGGACGGGGTATATCGTAGCGTGTGTGGGAGAGCGTGTGCGGGTCTATTTTGGATTTGGTGGGTGTGGTTTGATTTTGCCGGTCGTATAGCTCAGTCGGTAGAGCACAGTGCTAATAACGCTGCGGTCCAGGGTTCGAGCCCCTGTATGACCATTTTGCTCTTTTCTGCTGCGTCCCTAGCAACGCTGCCACGCGTCTTTTGCGCGTCCCGACGCTCCTCGAGTGCTGCCGATACCACTGGCCACCGCTGACGCACATCCGCGACCTCCCAAGCCGTTTGACTACGCCGTGGCAAGGGTCGAGTTGGACCGCCGATGCTGACCATGCGACTGGCATATTGGGGCTACCGATCTTTTTCCAGACTGCGATGGCGACCCGTGCGACTAGCTGGATGCCGGGCCGTGGCCATCTGCGCCCCGGTGCGTCGTGAGTAGTGGGATAGGAGCCAGGTGGAGGAGAGAGGCGTGGAGGTCGCTACGTGGACAAGCAGTGGGAAGTGTGTCGTGAGGCGACGAGAGGGCTGTCGAGCGGCGCGTGAGGATGCGTACGCGCGCGGTGGGACGGGGTATATCGTAGCGTGTGTGGGAGAGCGTGTGCGGGTCTATTTTGGATTTGGTGGGTGTGGTTTGATTTTGCCGGTCGTATAGCTCAGTCGGTAGAGCACAGTGCTAATAACGCTGCGGTCCAGGGTTCGAGCCCCTGTATGACCATTTTGCTCTTTTCTGCTGCGTCCCTAGCAACGCTGCCACGCGTCTTTTGCGCGTCCCGACGCTCCTCGAGTGCTGCCGATACCACTGGCCACCGCTGACGCACATCCGCGACCTCCCAAGCCGTTTGACTACGCCGTGGCAAGGGTCGAGTTGGACCGCCGATGCTGACCATGCGACTGGCATATTGGGGCTACCGATCTTTTTCCAGACTGCGATGGCGACCCGTGCGACTAGCTGGATGCCGGGCCGTGGCCATCTGCGCCCCGGTGCGTCGTGAGTAGTGGGATAGGAGCCAGGTGGAGGAGAGAGGCGTGGAGGTCGCTACGTGGACAAGCAGTGGGAAGTGTGTCGTGAGGCGACGAGAGGGCTGTCGAGCGGCGCGTGAGGATGCGTACGCGCGCGGTGGGACGGGGTATATCGTAGCGTGTGTGGGAGAGCGTGTGCGGGTCTATTTTGGATTTGGTGGGTGTGGTTTGATTTTGCCGGTCGTATAGCTCAGTCGGTAGAGCACAGTGCTAATAACGCTGCGGTCCAGGGTTCGAGCCCCTGTATGACCATTTTGCTCTTTTCTGCTGCGTCCCTAGCAACGCTGCCACGCGTCTTTTGCGCGTTCCGACGCTCCTCGAGTGCTGCCGATACCACTGGCCACCGCTGACGCACATCCGCGACCTCCCAAGCCGTTTGACTACGCCGTGGCAAGGGTCGAGTTGGACCGCCGATGCTGACCATGCGACTGGCATATTGGGGCTACCGATCTTTTTCCAGACTGCGATGGCGACCCGTGCGACTAGCTGGATGCCGGGCCGTGGCCTTCCGCGCCCCGGTGCGCCGTGAGGAGTGGGATAGGAGCCAGGTGGAGGAGAGAGGCGTGGAGGTCGCTACGTGGACAAGCAGTGGGAAGTGTGTCGTGAGGCGACGAGAGGGCTGTCGAGCGGCGCGTGAGGATGCGTACGCGCGCGGTGGGACGGGGTATATCGTAGCGTGTGTGGGAGAGCGTGTGCGGGTCTATTTTGGATTTGGTGGGTGTGGTTTGATTTTGCCGGTCGTATAGCTCAGTCGGTAGAGCACAGTGCTAATAACGCTGCGGTCCAGGGTTCGAGCCCCTGTATGACCATTTTGCTCTTTTCTGCTGCGTCCCTAGCAACGCTGCCACGCGTCTTTTGCGCGTTCCGACGCTCCTCGAGTGCTGCCGATACCACTGGCCACCGCTGACGCACATCCGCGACCTCCCAAGCCGTTTGACTACGCCGTGGCAAGGGTCGAGTTGGACCGCCGATGCTGACCATGCGACTGGCATATTGGGGCTACCGATCTTTTTCCAGACTGCGACGGCGACCCGTGCGACTAGCTGGATGCCGGGCCGTGGCCTTCCGCGCCCCGGTGCGCCGTGAGGAGTGGGATAGGAGCCAGGTGGAGGAGAGAGGCGTGGAGGTCGCTACGTGGACAAGCAGTGGGAAGTGTGTCGTGAGGCGACGAGAGGGCTGTCGAGCGGCGCGTGAGGATGCGTACGCGCGCGGTGGGACGGGGTATATCGTAGCGTGTGTGGGAGAGCGTGTGCGGGTCTATTTTGGATTTGGTGGGTGTGGTTTGATTTTGCCGGTCGTATAGCTCAGTCGGTAGAGCACAGTGCTAATAACGCTGCGGTCCAGGGTTCGAGCCCCTGTATGACCATTTTGCTCTTTTCTGCTGCGTCCCTAGCAACGCTGCCACGCGTCTTTTGCGCGTCCCGACGCTCCTCGAGTGCTGCCGATACCACTGGCCACCGCTGACGCACATCCGCGACCTCCCAAGCCGTTTGACTACGCCGTGGCAAGGGTCGAGTTGGACCGCCGATGCTGACCATGCGACTGGCATATTGGGGCTACCGATCTTTTTCCAGACTGCGATGGCGACCCGTGCGACTAGCTGGATGCCGGGCCGTGGCCTTCCGCGCCCCGGTGCGCCGTGAGGAGTGGGATAGGAGCCAGGTGGAGGAGAGAGGCGTGGAGGTCGCTACGTGGACAAGCAGTGGGAAGTGTGTCGTGAGGCGACGAGAGGGCTGTCGAGCGGCGCGTGAGGATGCGTACGCGCGCGGTGGGACGGGGTATATCGTAGCGTGTGTGGGAGAGCGTGTGCGGGTCTATTTTGGATTTGGTGGGTGTGGTTTGATTTTGCCGGTCGTATAGCTCAGTCGGTAGAGCACAGTGCTAATAACGCTGCGGTCCAGGGTTCGAGCCCCTGTATGACCATTTTGCTCTTTTCTGCTGCGTCCCTAGCAACGCTGCCACGCGTCTTTTGCGCGTTCCGACGCTCCTCGAGTGCTGCCGATACCACTGGCCACCGCTGACGCACATCCGCGACCTCCCAAGCCGTTTGACTACGCCGTGGCAAGGGTCGAGTTGGACCGCCGATGCTGACCATGCGACTGGCATATTGGGGCTACCGATCTTTTTCCAGACTGCGATGGCGACCCGTGCGACTAGCTGGATGCCGGGCCGTGGCCTTCCGCGCCCCGGTGCGTCGTGAGGAGTGGGATAGGAGCCAGGTGGAGGAGAGAGGCGTGGAGGTCGCTACGTGGACAAGCAGTGGGAAGTGTGTCGTGAGGCGACGAGAGGGCTGTCGAGCGGCGCGTGAGGATGCGTACGCGCGCGGTGGGACGGGGTATATCGTAGCGTGTGTGGGAGAGCGTGTGCGGGTCTATTTTGGATTTGGTGGGTGTGGTTTGATTTTGCCGGTCGTATAGCTCAGTCGGTAGAGCACAGTGCTAATAACGCTGCGGTCCAGGGTTCGAGCCCCTGAATGACCATTTTGCTCTTTTCTGCTGCGTCCCTAGCAACGCTGCCACGCGTCTTTTGCGCGTTCCGACGCTCCTCGAGTGCTGCCGATACCACTGGCCACCGCTGACGCACATCCGCGACCTCCCAAGCCGTTTGACTACGCCGTGGCAAGGGTCGAGTTGGACCGCCGATGCTGACCATGCGACTGGCATATTGGGGCTACCGATCTTTTTCCAGACTGCGATGGCGACCCGTGCGACTAGCTGGATGCCGGGCCGTGGCCATCTGCGCCCCGGTGCGTCGTGAGTAGTGGGATAGGAGCCAGGTGGAGGAGAGAGGCGTGGAGGTCGCTACGTGGACAAGCAGTGGGAAGTGTGTCGTGAGGCGACGAGAGGGCTGTCGAGCGGCGCGTGAGGATGCGTACGCGCGCGGTGGGACGGGGTATATCGTAGCGTGTGTGGGAGAGCGTGTGCGGGTCTATTTTGGATTTGGTGGGTGTGGTTTGATTTTGCCGGTCGTATAGCTCAGTCGGTAGAGCACAGTGCTAATAACGCTGCGGTCCAGGGTTCGAGCCCCTGTATGACCATTTTGCTCTTTTCTGCTGCGTCCCTAGCAACGCTGCCACGCGTCTTTTGCGCGTTCCGACGCTCCTCGAGTGCTGCCGATACCACTGGCCACCGCTGACGCACATCCGCGACCTCCCAAGCCGTTTGACTACGCCGTGGCAAGGGTCGAGTTGGACCGCCGATGCTGACCATGCGACTGGCATATTGGGGCTACCGATCTTTTTCCAGACTGCGATGGCGACCCGTGCGACTAGCTGGATGCCGGGCCGTGGCCATCTGCGCCCCGGTGCGTCGTGAGTAGTGGGATAGGAGCCAGGTGGAGGAGAGAGGCGTGGAGGTCGCTACGTGGACAAGCAGTGGGAAGTGTGTCGTGAGGCGACGAGAGGGCTGTCGAGCGGCGCGTGAGGATGCGTACGCGCGCGGTGGGACGGGGTATATCGTAGCGTGTGTGGGAGAGCGTGTGCGGGTCTATTTTGGATTTGGTGGGTGTGGTTTGATTTTGCCGGTCGTATAGCTCAGTCGGTAGAGCACAGTGCTAATAACGCTGCGGTCCAGGGTTCGAGCCCCTGTATGACCATTTTGCTCTTTTCTGCTGCGTCCCTAGCAACGCTGCCACGCGTCTTTTGCGCGTCCCGACGCTCCTCGAGTGCTGCCGATACCACTGGCCACCGCTGACGCACATCCGCGACCTCCCAAGCCGTTTGACTACGCCGTGGCAAGGGTCGAGTTGGACCGCCGATGCTGACCATGCGACTGGCATATTGGGGCTACCGATCTTTTTCCAGACTGCGATGGCGACCCGTGCGACTAGCTGGATGCCGGGCCGTGGCCTTCCGCGCCCCGGTGCGCCGTGAGGAGTGGGATAGGAGCCAGGTGGAGGAGAGAGGCGTGGAGGTCGCTACGTGGACAAGCAGTGGGAAGTGTGTCGTGAGGCGACGAGAGGGCTGTCGAGCGGCGCGTGAAGATGCGTACGCGCGCGGTGGGACGGGGTAGATTGTAGCGTGTGTGGGAGAGCGTGTGCGGGTCGATTTTGAATTCACATCGGGTTAGTACCGTAGTCTGTCTGCGACCCATTCTAATCGAAAAGGTTCTGCTATGCTGATTACAATCGCTCGCTGTAACGGGATTACACGCACAAGTGGCTAACAGACGCGATGTCTGTTAGAGGATCGAATACTTCCTCGACCTTGGTGTAAGGTACACTAATGGCTATATACATTTGCGACCACCACGACGGGTGGTCCCTACACATTTAGGATTCCTTTGGGCTGAAAGCAGCACCTTTTAGCCAATGAGCGACTTGCATCAACCAGCCGTTGTTCTAGTTTAGAATATTACACTTAGGGGAAGTCAAAGCATAAACCACAAACTAGGGCTTCGTGAAGGATGGGATAGGTACATGATAACATTGGTTAGAATCATGAAAGCCACTTCATCGGGTGCGCTTACTCATCGATGGCCACTTTACCATGTGCAGTGGTAAAGTGGCCATCTATTTGAGCTTAATTCACTTACCTATAGATACTCGTCGATTGTGCAGTAGACGGAGCCCCTAATTGAAAAGTAAGCCTGAGCACGATTGTGCTCGCATAAGAAGATATATCAAAAGGTACCTCAATAACGAACGAGCCACGGGCATCTTCTGCCCGGAGTGCGAGCGATTCTCAAATGAAAAACGATTAGTTGCCAGCCTCCATCATTCTCGTCAGTCAACATCAAGCTGATCTTAAAACTACCGGTTTATTACCAGTTTGTACCGATGGGAGGACAGCGGACAGCGCCCGAATTAATCCTGTCTGGGCTGGGCTTTCAGCACTTCGTCGCTTCCTATCCCAGTATAACAGTTCTCATCTTTACCAAACCCGCTACTTAGAGTATTTATCTTGTTTAAAGTATACTCGTGGATCTCGAGTATATTTAACTCAAGCAAAAGAAACATACGCTTCCTCGTACACGTGTGCGCACGTGTGCGCACGTGTAAACCGTAGTAGTGAGCCAAAGTGGGCCCACTACACGCGCCTCTAAATTCGGCGCAAGTGTTTGTCTAGATAACAAAAATAACGCGAACCATGTTAGACACTAGAGATACTGAATTGAATGGAACTTGAAATGAACTTACAGTCGTACACGCGGTCCTTCCCAAACTGGTCAATCAGCTTTTTCACTACTCAGGACATGGCGCGCGACTTCGATTGCAATGCCATTTCAGTATTCTGCCGCTGCAATGCCCTGAACTTGTCGTTGAGCTCATAGATCTGAAGCGGAGGATAGTCTTGGTCATTATAGCTCCGCCTGTAGTATTTGTAGCTGCCTTCGGTCTCAATTGCCGTCGAACGGTGCCGATCACGAAACCACTTGAGCTCCATATTCATGCGTTGGTACTCCTCTTGACCGCGACGCACGTCTTCCTCTAGCTGATCCTTTTCGCTGCATCTGTTGTTTCATTCATTCCACGCTATCTTGCAACAGTGAGATCCGAGTTTTGTAATGTTGTTTTCACGCTCTGCCAGGTTGCGACTTGCGTCTACGTAAAGTTGCGCCATCTTGAACTCCATCATCTTCCTTTTTCTATTCGTTGATATCAATTCATCCTGTAACCTCAAAACCTGAAATTATTTTCTTTTTTTAAGTTGCGATTTACAACAACTTTTGCTCGCCACCAGTTACCTAGTGCCTTCTCCTCCATTGCCTTCACAGTATCTTACAACTTGAACTCCTGAGCTTGGTTCTGCTCCATCAAGCTTTCACGATCCAACTGATTGCGAATTTCGGCTGCCTTCAGCTCTTCGTTTTCGGCCTCAATCGTTTCATCTTGTCCTTTATCAATTTTACTTGGTCTTGGAACTGGTGTTTGTGCTGCTTTTCCGCGTTTTCACGCTGCGCTTGCGGCGAACTTTCGTACTGCGCCCGCGATCTTCCAACACGACACACATCATCTCGCGAAAGTGGCTCAGAACGCGACCTTGATCGCCGCGAACGGCGAAAATTGCTGCGCTTGCGCTTTCGGAACCGAGACTTAGGAGATCTTGACTCGGAACGCGGCCATCGTCCCCTTTGAAAGCGTGAGCGTGAGCGACTTTGAGTTGGACTCCGACTCTGCTCGGGAGTGCCCCCCCCCCCACTGGAAACCGTTGCTGACGAGCCGATGGATGGATTGCTCGATCGCTTCGATATCCTCGTCGAGGCGCTGGAGCCGAGTAATCAGGCGGTACTGAACGCATTAAGCGCGTTTCAGGCGTCGAGGAAGAGCTTCCAGGTGCCCATCCGTCTTTGTCATTGTTGTGCTAGCCTTTACGTACACACTGTTGACCAACAGGCACCCGCGCGGCTTGAGCTCGAGGGGGCCTCAGCTAACGGTGGTGGCACTACCGCATCTTGCAGGTCAGGCAGTCGAAAGCGTCCATTTGAAAGCGGAAGAGCGGACGAGGATATGATCTAAACGCTTAGTACCACCATCAAACGGCATCTTCAGGAAGAGTTGTTGTTCGCATTAAGCTAGGGCGATCCAGATTCGGCCACAGATGTTCCGATTGGCCGACAGGTAGTACCATAATCTGTTCCGAGACACGATACAGAATGTTCCTTCCACGGTGATCGGCAGCGTCTGGAATGATGTTTCAGAGCGCCTTCATAAAGCGGAAGTGCTTATCAATGCAGAATGCAAATGCACTGCTTAGAGACTTGGTGGCCTTGGCGTGTTGGGGCCTGTCAAAAAGGTTACCAATGGATTGATGGAACGGGTAATCACGCTCCTTTCGCTTGGCTATACAGGGGTAGGGAGAGCCAGCGACGAGGGTGAGCGGATGGTGGTAGATCCGACTCCGTATGGGACGCACACTAGTACAACACTAGCGCAATCAACGATGACATTGAGGGACGACCAGTCATGCGATGGCGATGGCAGTACGATGGCACACGCTCTACGAGTAGCTTTTTAAATGCGTCGATTGGCGAAACGGATGGCCTCTCCACGACTGCGACAAGTGCTGCCAGATGTGACGACGGATGAGAGACAGAGTACGAAGACGTCTAGTGCGAAGATCCACGGAGGTTTGGTCGAAGAGTCGTACAGCGCGGGCCTTGGGTGGAGGCGACTGGTAGGGTGTCCCGGCTTGGGATTGTTCCCTTCACAGCGTCTCTCAGTCCCAGTCCGGGACGAGGTTGCAGGCACATTTGAGGCTGGCGCAGGAAATCGCGCGTGCCGTACCCAGACAGACAAAGACGTTGTCAAGTAGCAGGTGCGGTTTTCCGTGCCACACCCCCATAAGGAGGGGAAACTCTTCAAGTACAGTAAACTATACACATGTCTTTTTAGTCATCGATACAGTTTATACAACGTTTTTGTATGTAATGAACTAATTAATTTAAGATAGGGGGGATATCTGTTGGCAAGGCAGAGATAATTTTTGATGAGGCTTACAGTGCTGTTGTGGTGTGTATTCTGTACTTCGTAGGCATGCAGTAGTGCGGTTAATACAGTCACTGAGATGGGTGAACACTCAGAATGGTGATATAATACCTCTTTGAAGGTTATCTAGCTTTCTTTATAGATGACTACATTTTTGCCAGCAACTATGTGGTTGGATGATACCGGACCTATGTGCACCACACGATAACCGTGAGAAGCGCTGGTGCAATAGTTTGGCAACGCTCGGCGCTACCTCGGTCAGCTGGACCCCGTGCGAACGGCACAGCGTTATCATCGTAGTAAGTCATGTGTCGTATGATCTTCAGGTTGGGCGCCGTCGGGGCGCTTCTCTTCTTGCTGCTACTTGGCGCCTGGGTCAGATCAGAATATATCAAGGCAGTTGACATGCTATGGCTACATTGTGGTGTGTACACCAAGTCGAACTTGATAGGAAGCGGTTGAAGTTATCAAGTTGCTGGACAACAAACCGGGTCAGTGATTGTCAAAAATCAAGAGCCCGAATTGACGCAGCCGAAGAATGCGCGCTCCGACCATGATGAGGGATAACACCAAGATATCCTTTCCACGGTGGACGCACGAGCCAACGCTGCGCTCTCTGTTCACTATGGAGGACGACTGCCTGCTATACTACATTGTTACGAGACCGGAGGCCAAGAAGAAGAAGACAACTCGGCTCGACTGGGAAGCGGTCCTGGCAGAGTGGAAGAAACAGCGCCCAAGCACCCGCTCAGCAAGGCGAGTGCAAGAGCAGCTAAGAGTAAGTTGCAAGAGCGTCGCAAGCTGATCGTGCGGAAAATGAAACAAAGAGAAAAAGACAAGGAAAAGAGAGTGCAGCTTGACTACAAGAAGGTCCTGGCGGACTTTGATAATCGATGCGCAGTCAACAACAACAAGAAGGAGCGAGCCGCTGTTGGCCTACCTGAGCGCCATGCAACTGCTTCGTCCTCTGCAGTAGTTTCGAGCAGTGAGAGGGGACCCTTTGATTCTGCAGTCCCAGAGCAAGTGGCTCAGCAAGAAGCGCCGATTCGAGTGGCCGAGACAACGCAGTTGCACTGATGTGCGAGTTTTGGCCCAGCAGGTGGAGCTTATGCAACGATGGAATTTGCCAGACGCGGTATCGAAACGCTCAAGGAGTTCAAGAACTCGTCAGATGACTTCACAAGATGCTGTGCGGCGCATTTGACGAGTTTGAAATGCTGAAGGGCGCGGGAGGTCAAGGTGTCGTTGTGGACAAAATATTGACGTTATTGGAAAGTCGTCAACAAGAGTTGAAGAAGCTTCAGCAAGAGGTGGATCAGAAGAATGATGCTGCGAAAACAAAGAAGCGTGAGATGGAGAAGCAGCGGGAAAAAATGAAGCAAGAAGACGTGGCTCATGACATGCAGCTCAGGAGAAGGTAAAGCCATCGACAAATGCAGTTCTATCTAGACATTGATGTGGCAGCTACAAATGTGTGCATAGTGCCTACTGAGATGCTTATGCGCGGCAGTGTAAGAGTGAGATAATGTACTCACTAGCTAACCATAGTCGCATACAGGCAATTGTAAAACGACTGCGACTGTGGAGTCATACACTAGCGCTAATAATTTGCCCTGTAGCAACAACCGCAAAATCCAATGCATGGAGCAGCTTGAGAAATGACCAAACTCCATGATAATACATCGAGAAGTAGAAAGTTGTCAAGGACTTCAACAGGACAAGCCTCAGCAAAAGGCGTCCTATCAGCTGTCAGCTCCAGTCCGTATTCGGAAAAGATTTTTTCCATGCCATTTTCAGAGGTTTTCCATACCAATAGGATTAATTGCATTCCACCCGGGTGAATTGCATACCACAAGTACTCCCGCAAAAATTTTGAGCTCTTCTAAGTTTTGAATTATCCTAAACGTTACTGAGGCTGTCGTTGCCAGCCAACAACTACAACAAAAATTGTGGTGTTTCCTGACAGGCGTATATACTGTCAGGAAACCGTACACGTGCTTAAGAATGACTAATATAATATCTTCAGTGTATCCACTAGTTTTGAATGGGTTTTGGCAAGAAAGTCTCTACCTGCGCATGAAACAGCTAGACTCATTTATATCTGGCGACCAAAAGCTCATTTTTGGGGCAATCTTCTAGCATGTGTGCACCATAATACACTTTGTCATTCTGCAATTTGCAATGAAATCCCAACTACAACGCCGAGAGCGCGACGAGTTCTACGTTGCCTACAAGCGCATGCGGACGTCCTACGAAAACGCAGTCGAGGTGATGAACGACCTCCACCGTCAAATTTCAGCTCAAGAAACAGAAATTCGAGAATTACGGCAAGCTCGATCTGCACAAGATGACCAAGATGTACAAGATAACCAAGATGACCAGGATGGCCAAGAAGACCAAGATGAACCTCGCCAGCCCCAACCCTACGGCACGACAATCGCGGACCTCTTCGGGGACACGAGCAGCGAGAGCAGCGAGGACTCGGACGTGCCGCAAATGGAGGATAGTTCTTCCACGGACCATGCTGAAGGAGACGAGCACGACGTTGAAGAAGCGGAAGATGGCGGCGATGAAGAAGAGGCCAACAGCGACACCGACCGTGGCGACGACAGTGATATCATGTGGAGCGATGACGACAGTACCGGCTTCTGCCGAGTTCACCAGACCATGGTGACTTGTCGGACCCCGATAGGCACCGCTTAAGGTCCAGTAAATCCGGATCCGACTCTCCAAATGACAGCAACGATTTTGATGGTAGTGAATCCGAGTTCTATCCTGACAATGCTGACTTCGACGACAAGGATGATGAGGATAAGGATACGAATGATGTCGATTCAGACACGGTAGCACAGCAGGAATTTGGGATATCCAACTCTAGCAGTGCTGAATGTGATAACAGCCACGCCAGTGTTGAATCTGCATCTGTGGGGTATAATGACGATAGCGATGTAGCAGACGACACCCACACTGCTTCAGCTGGCGTTAACCACACAGACGAGGATGGATTCTGTGTTCTCGGTCCGTTCAAGACTCGCGAAAAAGCCCGTGTCGCAATTGATAGACTGGCGAACAGTCGGTACAAACGCCTCAACAACAACAGAGACACGGTGTGGTACAAGTGCTCTTCTCACATGAATTGCTCTGCGACGGCCAAGATCAAATTTTTCGCTTTAAGCAAAACGTACACCGCCACATTGAATGGAATCCACAGTGACGTCGTTGCCCCCCTCGATGAGCAACGGACTGGCATCCACAAACCCCTTGACGACGAAGTGAACAACCTTTTACTTGGGGGGCAAGGACCTGCAAGGTGTTTGACCACCCTTGAAATGAAGTATCTAAATGACGAAGAAATGCTGCGCCTTCTACAGGATGTTGGACAACTTAAGAATCGATCGCAGCTCCTGCATTCTCGAGGCGACTTCGACATCACTTCGATGGCGGACATCTTGAAGTGGACATCTCCAAAAATGTGTAAGACAAAGGAGGACTTTTTCAAAGGAATGGTTTACAGGGTTGGCATGGACCTCAAACCATTCGCCAAGAAACCCTTCAACTACCGCAACGAATTACTGGTTCTTGACATCTTCACCGAACAAGTTGGAAAAAAAGATGTTTCATTTGGTATTATCTTCACGTCGAGGAGGCTTTTCGCAACGCTGCTCTTGCGGTTTTGGGACAACGTGAAGGAGTCTTGGCGGTGACTGATGGTACATACAAGATCGACTTCAACAACTGGACGCTGATATCATTTGGTACCTGGCGTCGATACTGAAGTGCAGTGAAACGCAGGGTGGCATGCGTTACACGAAGAAGAAGGAGTACCAACACAAGTTTTACCCGATAGCCTTCCTGTTCGTGCGTGCAGAAACAACACTAGCTTATACAAAGCTATTGTCTGTTATCCAGAACCGCACGAAGGATTTCTTTGGTGGAGACCTGACTGTCAAGTATGGGTCGATGGACCACTCGGCCGCAATTGCTGGTGCCTTTCGCGCAGTATGGTCTGACATCGAGCTGTTAAATTGTTGGCCTCACTTGGATCGCAAGTCCAGAGAGAAAAAAAGGGCTATTGTCAGACACACAAGTCTACCACGATATTATCAAACCGCAGCTGGACCAACTCGAAAACGCTCGTTCTCGTGAGCAGTTCTTTGCTCTGTCTGAATTAGTCACTCAAAACTGGAGAGACCAACGCCAAAGGAGGTATGCCAAGTGGTTTGATGAGCAGTACCTCACGGACCCGTGGGACCTGTGGTTCATCACCGCCAGCAACGTCGCTGGAATAGTACCCAACCAGAATCCAATTGAAGCACACCACAGCGCTATCAAAAAGGTAGCAGCAGGCCATTTGCGAGCAGCGATATCGCATGTCTTAGCCGTCACTTTGCCAAAGATAGTGATTCACTGCGGCCGCGATACAAATACCGAGTTCTTGTGGCCGTTTGCATCAGGTCCCGTTGATGAAAAAGTGTATCAAGCTGCCAAACGGCTCTGTGAACCTGGCAATCACTACCCATGCCACGAGCGGATGTCTAAGCGTGAAATCGCCAACATCAACCGCTACTACTTCAATGGAGACTATTACCTCATTCACGATGAAAATCTGTACGGGCAAAAGGTCACACACACAAGGACATCACGTTACGCCAAGTCCCTGGAGGGAGTTCTCAAAAAAGATGAGGTCGTGAACAGCATCCAACTATCGTACCAGTCCCACGCTGTGGATATTCTATCGCGAACTCCTATTGAACACGACTGGGCTTCTCCCATGTGGACAATTGAAGAGGTAATTCAATACCTTGCTGTTGCATGCTCTGTAGATGCATTACTAACGTTTGTGTGTGTGCATACGGTCTAACAGATTCGGGCCCTGCGAAGCAAATTTAAATGCGACTGTAAAGAGTTTTACCAAACGGGATGGCTGTGTGGGCACGTTATGGCGTGCTTAAAACTCGTTGATGGCTTGGACTTTTCGCTGATGCTACGAGGCTTGCTGATGAGACGCCCATCCGGTCGACCAAGAAAGAAAAAACAGTGTCTTGAGCGTGAAAAGCCATCACCTGGCCAGTACAGTGTCGATGCTCTCATTTCCCGGCTCATTAAAACTCCTGCGAGCGTTATCAATTGGAGCGTGCTCAGCACATGGCCAACTAAGAACCGGGATGGCGAAATCGAAGATCGAGACTTTGTGGGGGTAGTGGACCCTCCCTTTATGAAAGGTGGGGCTCGCTATTGGGACGTTTACTACGAGAAACGCAGTGAAACGGTGACCATGGCAGCCGAGGAGCTCGCCAACGCGAATAACTACGCACATCGGATGGGGCATCACATTGTTCCCCCCCCGGGAATTGAAAACAAGCAGGAAGTCGCTTAACTTCTGAGATTTCTTCATTGCTTAGGACGAGGTTGCATGTAATGAGGCTAGATGTAGTGAGGGCTTCGGGCGCTGCGAACTAGGGACCTGCTACACATCAACCCGTCTAGGACACTTTCACTTGTATTTTGTATGGCAAGAATTAAATACTTTCATTTGCTTTTTGTATGGCATGCAATTAATCCGGTGGTATGGAAAACCTCTTTTTATTTTTGGGATGGAAAACCGCTTTTTTTGGCATGGAAAAAATCCGCCACCGTCCGTATTAAGATGTGCATAGTCATACAAAGACCTAGTGCAGAAATGTACCTATGTCCAAAAGGAAGTGTGCATAATCGAGCAGAGTTGAAGCATTCCACCCTATTTGGGGTGTGGCCCGGAAAACTGTGTCTACCACTTTGATAACGGACTGGGGTATCTGTACCTGTACAGCTCCTACGGTTTCTTGCGTCTGTCTTGAGCCATACGTGCCGACACTTAGCGCACTCGCATGCCTCATCCCGTCTTGGGACTGAGAGAGGCTGTGAAAGGAACAATCCCAAGCCGGGTCATCTCATCATATAGAATCTACATTATGTTTATCAGTATGTGTGTTGTACACAAACCTTTCACACCTGCTTAACAGTTCTAGCAGGGTTAACATGAATGGCTCCGAGGAGAAGCCCCGGAGCCGACACCGGGGCCGACACTAAGCTCTATCAATCACAATTTCTTTTTCTACCTCTTCCTCAAGTCTCCTTTCTTCCACGTGCTCAAGAATCTCCCCGCAACACAGCGCAGCCAAGCGGGCTCAAAGGTCGCGCATAGCCGTTGGATGAACCTTCTTTTTTCGGCATGAACATTACATAAATCTTATGATTTACTCATATGAACAATCCGTAAAGGCCATGAAGAATGCATAAACACATGAAGAATCCGTAAATATGCATGGAATCGTTATGATGGCCCATGAAGATACCATGAACGACAGTAAACAAACCATAATTGCCTTAAAACAATACTCCTGTGATATGTAATACTGGATAGGTTGCTGCAGGTTCATCGGTTACTGGCCGTTCACTGAACACGCTCTTATCTGTATATAGATGACCCCAGAACGCTCTGAGCCGTCTCTCATCTCCACCTAAGTGGGCTTATTTTAGATGGTGCTCACACTGACGCCGTATAGTGCTTAGAACGTTTACAGTTATTTTATTTTAAGGGGTACCTAAGCTTCTGCATGTTATCACGCAATCCATGGATTTACCCCGCCGTTACATTTCCTCACTCAACAGGTCAGGGCTGCGTCGTTCGACTTGCGTCCATACCATGACGGTTCCGACATCGGCCGACAGAGCGCCTACAAGCTGGAATTGGCTAAAAAATGCAGGCACATCATGCACATCGGGCATGGTGCCCAGGCGGTTAGCAATCAAATGCACCACTGCTCCTGCAGTGCCAGAGCAAATCCTGGATTGCAGGTGTCAGGCAGTAACAGCCTGACACCTGCAATTCTGCAGCTGTTACCAACTTAAGAGTTTGCATGTTGGTTATTAAAACAGCACCATTAGCGCTGCGTAACATACAAAAACGCAATACATTTCTCATTTTTCGAGAGTTCATCTGGGTGTACTGTATTAAAAGCATTGAAATTTACACGGTTGGTTAGCGCTCGTCGCCATCGATGCAGCGATGCAGTCCTTCTCACTTTTGCTTTTGCGCTCACCCCGCCGGCGATTTGCTAGCGATTTCACGTCAGTGCTAAGTAAGAGTGGGGAGTCTTTTTTTTTGGTGCGCGTCTCTCTTCACGTCCGGCGATTTGCTGGACCTTCCACGGATAGAGATGCAATCCATTGTGGGCATATGGACTAGGGGCGGTCCAATGTGTGAGAATCAGAGCGGTACATCCGAGAGATATTCTCTCTGTGGATTGTACTCGATCAACAATGCGGTGCAAACCCGGGGTTTTTTAACCGTGGAGGATTTGGTGCCAATCGTGCGTCGTCTTAACGCGACTGCACCCGAGGAAGAAGGGCCAACCCCCCACGGCGATGAGAAGTACGGGGCGTATTCTATGCAAGCACTGCATGAAGCGCTTTTGCGCCAAGGGCTATCAGCTGCGGTACCTGAACAGTACCAACACGTTCAACTGCAGTTCGCAAAGGTGGTTCAAGAAGATTCCTAGGTCTAGTTTTAGGCACCTTGTGATCATCGGTAGGCCCTTTGGCCAAGAAGAGGGTACCTGGCACTGCATCGCTCGCGCGGCGGTGGGCGACAAGCTCTACTTCATCGACTCGGACGAGCTCGTCTACAAGCCAAGTACCGAAGACGGATTACGCCACTTCTTTGCTGATCTGGGCTGTGTTTACGCGGTCGAGCCGATTAACTACCAACAATAAAATCCTTCTTTTACACAAACCGTTGTTTAATCTGTAACCTCTGGGTAATCATAAAATAACCTTTAAGACAGGAGCACTCTTATTTTTTACAATTAAAATGGCTACAGTAAAGATTCAGAGTGGTAGCACACCGCCTCGGCTGCAGTGCAAGATGTTGCCAAATGCATGAGCTGTTTAAGAGTAGATCGATATTATGAAGCTCTGTGGCGTTCCAGCCGTTGCGTACGAAAGTCAAACGCGCACTACATGCTGTACGCTATACATTTATCGAAGTGTAATGTGTAGCGGTGCAGAACATTTATTATATCCCACATACGTGGTGGTTTTGCGTACCACTCAAACCAAATAGCCGCTGGGCCTTTCGGGAGAGCCTTGCTTCCACACGACTTCGATACAGTAGCGGAATCCTCGCAATGCGATTGTGGTGCCACCACCGGTGCAGGCAAACTTGTGGAGAAGTCATCCTGAGCAACGTCGCGCTGACTCTCCAGTTGGGTGACCCGCTCGGTCAAGGCTCGATTCATGGCTATCAGCTCGCCGATGATGCAGTTCTGGTGATTGATCAGCTTCTCTTCTCTTGTGAATGCCTCCGCGTCGTCTTGAGATTCCTCCAGATCCTTTTGTGCCACCTTCGCCTGTAGTTCAGAGCTCCACGCGAGAACTTGAGCTTTTGGTAAACCCAACGCCATCAGGCATTCGCGTATCCGGGTAGCGTACGGGCACATCGGGTAGCGCTCGAGTACCTCGGGAAAATGCTGGATCAGCGCGGCAGTTAGAACTTCAGCGACGCGGGCGTTGAGCTTCTTCTTGGAGTCTTGGGTGCACACGCTTGGCTGGAAAAGAAGATTACCCAAGCTCAGTGCCTGCTGCCGGCTGGCGGAGTCGAACCAGGAGAGGGTTGGAACCGGTGGCTTCTTGCTCGAGTCCCACCCGCTGAGAACACGCGCTACTTTCTGGTCTTCACTGGTGGTGTTGAACACGTAAGCGAAAGCCTTGTTGGTAGCCGTCATGTTCCACGAACCACGATCGAAAATCCACTGATCTCTGAGCAGTGGATCACCGTTTGCATGCTGAGCTCCACCACGTCGAAACGAGTGAGACGTCAAGTTTGCAGTTGGCACCGCTTTAGCTTGAGCGGCAGACGCTGTCTTGACAACGCGGTTCACGTAGGCGTGGATCTTCATGTTTTCTTCAGGCACTTTACGCTTTTTCTGAGGCGGCTCACTTGGCGTGTCGTCGTTCTCGCAGGCAACAAGAGCTTCAGCTAGTGGCACGTCAACAGGGGCTGTCATACTCTCGTCGCTGCTTGCGGCAAGGTGCGGATGATCCAGCAGCTGTGCACACGGAGCGTCCTGCATCACCAGGGCCATCGCAATCGCATGCAGGGGGCAAGTGATGAAGCTGTTCTTGTCGGGAAAGAGAGAGATGCCCTGCTCGTCTGAAGTCTTCACGCGGATGAGCCGGACGAACACAACGCCATCCGCACTCACAGACAGGTTTCCCTTCACCACGAACCCCAGGTCCGAGGCTCGGCCAAACGCCTACCACATCAGCGCCAGTAACGCGGCATCTTGGTAGTCCTTGGGGCTGGCGGCATCATAGTACAGTCCGTCCATGAGAATTCGTAGGTCTTCCTTCGTGCAGGCAGGCGCCTTCTTGACCATTCCACCTTCGATGCGCTTCAGACAATGGCGCTCGAGCGTCTGTCCCATCTTGAGTAGTTTCTTCTCGATGGTGGCTCGGTGGGTCGGGCAGGTGTCGAGCAGCCAGTTCTTGACATGGCGGTAGTAGCTCATGACCGAGTTCTTGGCCAGCGGCTTCCCTCCTCGGCCTTCGACGAAGGCGAGGTGAACGCCAAAGCGGTCCATGAGCTTCACAAACACAGCCCCACTCTCATCATCTGCGAGAGAGGCAGCGATGAAGTCCATGGAGACGCCTTGGGCCGCGACGAAGCGCCCGAAGGCGTTGATTGCGGTTTGTAGAGCGCGCTGGGAGTTGACGGGGGCGAGGTCTTGGAGGCTCATACTGGTTCCGAGTGTTCTGTCGGCAAGAGGGCAGATATTCGAGTGATGAGCAGTAGACTGGTGGCTCGTATTGACGCCCTGCATATTTTCGCCCCCGTGCCTACATTATACGTCGGCACGGCGTCGGCATCGTTTTACCCTACACCTAATCAAGCTCATTGGCCGATATTGGGTAAATCTAGATGTCATTGGTCAATATACGTGCGTTGCGGTCAGTCTGCCTATACTTTAATCAAGTAAAAAATTGTGTCGGCACCGTCACGATATTTATCCGTAGCACATTTACGTGTTTGCATTTGTGTAAACATTATGTAGGTGCTGTGTTTCCCACGTAACATAACGTGGTCCACTTCACTTTATCGGCGGATGGCACATCCCTGAGCATAGACTGGCAACTGTGCCGTCCAGATTCCCGCAGCACGGCGGGGTGGGAGCGACCAGGAAGAAGGAAGCGAGGGAAGGAAGCCGGCCCAGCAGCAGCCAGAGCGGCCGAAGCAGAACCCGCCGGCGCGTCTGAAGAAGGCGCCATGACCACGACCAAGAAGGGCGGGCGCCGCCGCATGAAGCAGATGCAGGGGCTGCTGCTGCTCTCGCGCCTGGACGAGTCGCCGCGCCGCCACCAGTCGGGCAAGATCAAGCCGCAGCGCGTGACGGTGGTGCTGCAGCCGCAGCTGCTGGAGCTCGTGTACTCGTCGCTGGCCGATCAGGACATGCTGCACCCGCTGGGGCGCATCGACCTGCGCGACGCCAAGCTGGAGCAGGTCCCGGACGGCTTCATCATCTACGAGGCAGGCTCGGGGCTCCACAAGGTGGGTTGGGCGCGTAGAAGCAGCCTACATGTAGGTAGAGCAAGGTAGAATGCTGACGAGTTGTGTGTGGTGGTGCTGAGCAGAAGGTCAAGCTGCAAGACAAGGACAAGGCCACGACCGACGCCTGGTTCTTCGCCGTCTACACGGCCATCACGGAGTGCGAGCGCCTCCCGATCAGCGCCAGCGAAGACGTCGGACACAAGTTCTCGGCCGTGCTGACGTCCAGCATGCGCGACGAGCACACGGAGTCAGTGGTGCGTGTCTTCCGCCGTTCGTGCATGTAACGCAGGACAGATGGAGGTGCTTACCGTGTGTCTCTGCGAACAAACAGGAGTTCGAGTTGTCGTGTCAATTGGTGCTGCCAGCACGCCCGATCGACAAGCCGAGCATCAAGTGGAAGGTCTGGAAGACCTTCTCGGAGCTCCAGGTTTTTGACGAGTATGTCGAAATGCTCAGTGTTTTTTTATGTTGACGGATCGAATGTTCTAACTTCCTGCTGTATTTGCTGTTTGCCTACGGTAGCGAGCTGCGTGTGTCGTTCGGTGCACACATGACGCAGATTGCGTTCCCTAGGGACCGCAAGCGCGATTCACTTTTCGGAGGCATGCGTAAGAAGTCTTTGCAGGAACTGAAGGAGCAGCAACTTGCGCTCTACGTTGAGCAGGTTTGTTCTGTCAAGTACGACTTGCTAGTGGATCTCCCTGTTGCTCACACTTTTTTCCCCGAATGCGTTTATAGGTGTTTCAAATGCCAGAGATTTCCACCGAGCCTGTTTTGGTGGGCAAAGTGAAGCAATTCCTCGGCTTCGACTCTTTCTTCGAGATCGTTGTAAGTCCTGGACGTTTGGTAGCGTGTGGATCCTTGCATGCGAATGACTAATAGTTGATGTGCTTTTCAATGGATCAGTCATCCTCATCAGGCGAAGAAGACGAGGATAACAACGAAACCTCGGTTGCGCCTCCGAATGGCGATTATTTGCCGGCCCCGCAACAGCCGAAGTTTGCTGAGGCTGTTGAGACCAGTGAAGCATCAGAGCCGCCAGTTTTTGAGGGGCATCAAGATGTTGGCCAGCCGGCTGCTGAGCCGTTAAGCAACGAATCCTACGCACCATCCAGCCAATATTCAAGTACGGAGTCCAGCAGCGCACCACCTGCACTACTGAGAAGGACAAGCTCAGCAGCTCTAGAAGCCGAGGGCGAGGAGTATGTGGAAGTTGTACCTGAGACCGACCCCAAGGCTGCGAAAAAGCTTCACAAGAAGATCATTGAGACAGTCCGCGAACTGGTTTCCTATGACGAAGAGCGTGTACATGATTTTCAAGACCAGACGAAAGATTTTGGCAGAGACAAGACGTCCGCGATGGAGTATTGTGCCTTCCTTCTTGGAGCAGTTGGCGCTCAGGAGTGCTGCAAGCTCATCCCGGAGATGGCGAGACTTCTTCCTGACGCGGTGAAAAGGGATGAACTGATGCAGGCTCGAGCTGCTATCTGGAGAAGAACTCACAGGCGAAACCGTAGACGCTCGAAGCAGTTTTCAGAGACCGTCGTCATGCAAAAGCAAAAGGAGGAGCAGCAACAGGTGGAGAATGTGCACAGCAGAATGCGCCCCAAGTCCGACAGTCTCAGTGCGTTGAACTGGGGTTCGGAACACGTACAGCCTCTGCAAATATCGAGTCGCAGCTCAATGGTCGAAAGACCTACACCGGTTATTGACGAGTTCCACACCAAGCCGGAAAACAGTGCCCCCGCTATCCCAGCGCACCGTGCCGGACTAGCTGATCCACGACGCCATCTCAACCGACGAGCTTCGTTCAACACCATGTTCGGCGAAACAGTGCAAACGGACGTGATCAAAGAGGAAAACCCGGCGGAGAACGAGTCGAGTGATGACGACAGCGACGATAGTCTACTGGATCATCCACGCACGGTCAGCAAGGAGTCACCTTCTATCGACAGAACGTCGTCGCAGAACGGTAACTCGTGGGCAATGCCTTTGGGACTCGGACGTCGCAACTCGTCGTTCCTCGATGAGGATGACGACGAAAGCACCGAAGATGACGAAGAAAACCACCAGTCGGGTCGTTCTCACCGTTATCGCCACCGCCAGCAAAGCGGTAGCGGCAGTGGCAGTCTCGAGAGAAGGTCTGTGAAGGAAAGACCGTCGTCTCGTGGGAGTCTGCCGCGATCTCGATCTCGCCAAAGCTCGTCGTTTATCGAGGAGAGCGACGAAGAGCGCAGCGGTGGTGAAGAGGAAAATAGCCACACGCGATTCCGTCGGAGCCAACGCCGCGCCAGCCGCAAGTTTGACGAGGAAGCGAAGTCTGGTCTGGCACCTGAAGAGGAGAACCCCGTGCTGGCTCGCCTCAAGAAGCAGGGTGCTATAAATTTTATGGTGCAGCTTCGCTAAGGGGCTGTGTGCATACTGCGTAGGGAATTGCTGTATGGTTTGCTAAAAGTACCTAAATCACTTTTGACTGCTTTGTATTGATTGATCCAGGGGCTGGATCGAGTCTTCTTGGTGCTTGGCTAAGGTTTTGGTGTGGTAGCCAAACTTAGTGATGCTAATGAATGTGAAGTGGTTCTCCAATTTTAGCGAGTTGGCAGCTGAATGCCGAGCTCAGAGTTGAACATTCACTGCATCATCGGCATGGCGGCAATCTCGAGCGAGGAGCTGCAGGATGCATGGCAGAAGGTGAAGGCCATGACAATTCTTCCCGAGGTCCGTTCACGATTGCTAGACGCCAGTTACTTGTAGATGACGAGCCTTGACAGCTTGGGTGCACGCAGCCCCCTGAGCCGAAGCTCCCTTCGTTTGGCCCAAAGGTGTCGATGAAGACCAGGCTGCATGCTATCCAGAATCTCATCAACTCTCTTGAGTACGTAACTTTACTTGATGCTAAACTGCGCCTAACCAACTAATCGTGTGATCCAGGTACAACTACACTGGGACACTGTACTTTGACGTGAACAAGAACCGCAGCTTCAAGAGCATCGCGAATACCGCGAAAGAGATTATCAAGGAGGCTCTGCCTATCCAGTGCCTCGAAGCAGTGTTCTTGGGAGCGTACCTGACGGCTGGCTTCCAAAACCTTGACCGCTTCCCGATTAGCTTCAAGACGACGGCTGGAACCTCAACGCACCGCCACATTGTGCTGGGTATCCGTCACCAGCAGCAGAAGTGGGGAGCGTTGGGTCTTAGTCGGTGTGACAAACTGATGAACAAGGAATTGAAGTTCGACTCGCTGAGCGACCTGGTGCTGGATTACTGTCGTGAATACCAAAACGTCTACCACAAGGTCGTTAAAGTCAACGTCGGCTTTCCCCTCACCCACGACATTCATTCATCCGAGCGAGTCGAATGGCGGGTCTGTGCATTGCGTTGTCCTTCATGTCGGTCAACAGATTGCTGATACTCTCTCGTGAATCGTTGTTTGCAGGTACTCAATCTTCCTGTTGATACAAACAATTGGGCTGAAGTTGCCAAGCACCTCGACAGTTTTGCCAAGGATGCGGCAGAAATCGATAGCTTCAAGAAGGCAAAGGGTGAACTCCCCGCGTGGTTTGGAACTAAATACGCGCTGAACGCCCCTGATGCCGAGGTCGGCGGCATTCGCTCGCCTCGGCGTTTCAACTCGTTCTCTGATGACTTCGGGGAGTTTGAGGAGGAAGAGCAGACCCAAGAGCCTGCACCCGCTCCCTTGCCGACTCCAACTCCAAGAGCTAAACCGATTGTGGTGACACCAGATGAATTCGTTTTCAAGAAGCCGTCGTCGGTGAGGAGACTTGTATCAACTGTTGTGCATTCACCTGTTCAAACTGACATGTGTGGGTTCATCTGTTGCAGCCTGCTCTACCAGCGCCACCGACGAACATATTCCTGCAAAATACAACCTCGTCTCCGTTTTTGATTGAGATAGAGGACAACTCCGGACTCCTAGAGATCATCACCAAGACGCCTTCGGCAATGCCGCAAGAGAAGACGCAGCAAATGGAAGAGCGGGACGAACCAAACCTGGATGCCAATCCTACGAGGGCCACTGCGACGTTCCAGATTTCAGCAGTAAGTCTGTTTCCACGCTAGCAAAACCAAAAGAGCTCGCACACTCACGTCACGTTCTGTTTTGCTGGGACTTTCAGAAAGGGATGATTGTCGTGGCGATCAAGTACAACCCGCACCGACCCGGAACCCACAAGCCAAAGTCAATTGCAACGCCGGAGAAATCCCCGCCGCAGTCGAAGCTGATCAAAAAGAGTGTGAATGGAAATTCAACTGCTTCCGAGCATGCAGCTATGAACGACCCGCATCATGCTGTTTCGTTCCGATGCATCCCAATGCTACGCGCGACTGATAGTTTAGCAGATGCTGTACCTGACGGAGAGACTTACATGCTCGAAACACCTTTCACTTTTAAGGAGATGTAAGATGCAATAAAACAGAAGTAAAAACTTCCTACATGTATTCCCATCTACTTCGAACGAAGTACATGCAGAGTAGTTCAACTACTTAATAGAAAGAGGAATCAGTGCCGGAGGTAGCGAGTCCGACGTCATGCTTTCACAAAGCAAATAGTAGTCGCCAACAAGTGTCGTCGCGGGAAGCAATAGATCCTGAAACACTGCAAGGCCAGCACTGGCTGTTGCAGTCACTGTATCTAAGCGCGCCTCGGTAGGCTGCTCTGTCAGCCCTTCGCCATCATCAGGTATTTTTTCGCTGGGTTGCTCTGGTAGCAGTTGTGTACTGTCAGAAGATTGCAGCAGCTTTTCCTGAGACGCGTTTAGATCGCTTGAAACGAACTGCCAAGCCGAGCCGGCAGCAATGGTAACTTTTTCGCCTGGGTTCTGCGCCGGCACAGCTCCTTCGAATATGCGCAAGCGAAAGTGGCGTCCGTGCTCTCCCATCACGCGTACTGCATTGGCCGAAGCTGGATCTTGCACTTCAGCTTGGCCCATGCAGACTACTGCTAGTGTTGGCAATCGCTTATTCTCGACGACCAGCTGAGCAGGCAGCTCTCGCAGCTCGTTCTTTGGATGAGAGTCCTGGTTTTCACTTGCAGTAGCCGGTCTCGACCCCTGCTGCTTTGCCATTATCATGACAACGATCTTGGTCGTTTGCACTACCAGTAGCATTCCCAAAAACAAGAGTTAGATGATTATAGCAAAAAAGCTTATAGCAACCTCTTTTACCTTCAGGTTCATCGTCTCTCCACCTGCCATCATACCACAACGACGTTGGCACCTCCTTGTTGGATTCAGCGTCAATATTTACGACTGGTAAGACACCGACACCATCTCCATTTCTGCGATTGTCCCTCCAATGCCCTTCGTAGAGGCGATCCCCACTGGCATCCTGCAGCAGTCCATTGCCACAGCGTACTCCAGCGAGCCATTCACCCTCGTACACATGGCCAGTCGAAGCATACACCATCTTCCCAAGTCCGCTTGGATAGTGTGCAGCAAAGTTTCCGCTGAAGATATATCCGTTTGCAAGCCGTAGCTGTCCATGACCATAGCGCTGATTGTTTTCCCAGCCTCCTTCATATCTCTCACCACTTGCAGACAAATAGACGCCTTCACCATGCATCTCACCTTCACGGAAGTGGCCGCTGTAGCTGGATCCGTCCGGCCACCGTTTGAGTCCAACGCCCTCGATTTCACCGTCTTGGAATTCGCCCTCGTAACTCGTCCCGTCACCTAGCGTGAGCTCTCCCTGCCCATGCATCTTGCCACGACGCCAGCTCCCTGAGTAGTGGAAGAAGTTGCCTGGAAATGTGTAGGAACCTTGGCCATCGCGAAGCAGGTCCCTGTACTCGCCCACGTACATCCTACGTTCAACAGTCGGTCGCAACAACTTCCCGCCCTCTGGCTGAAATAGCTCTGGGTATAGACTTTTGTAAGGCCCTGCAATGGCTTGCTGGCCAATGTCGGATGGCCGGACAAGCAACAAAGGCTCACAGTTATAACAATGTTACTTGTCGAGGTGATGTCGAGTACAAGTTTGATGAAGAGTCACTTATGCAGCTTGGCTAGATATACCAGGTAACAGCGTACCGGTAAGGAATCAATCCGTGCTGATCGTAGTACCAGTCTGGTGAAGTTCAACGACTTCTATTGTCCACGTCGCTCAAGATACATCGTAATAGTTAGCTGCTTAGGCTGATTGTCATTACGACGATCTTTATACCTTCGCCAATATTGACCAGCGAATTGCAGACTTCGCTCTCCGTCAGCTCAATGTTCGGTCGACAATACAGAAGCCTAAATGTGCTAGAGTGGATGTGCTTTCCGTGCATCACAACGCGTACACATCCTTTCAACACTTGAATTCGTTTACAGATATGGCAGCAAAGCACCGCGAGGCTGACAAGCCAAGAAAGCGACGAAGTGAGTGCACATACACCACTTGTGTTTAACGAATTGGCCGTGGTAATAAAAGTGAACAAGTATTTTTCAGTATCGATTTTTTTAGAAGATCCACTACATGTAGCGGTGCAAACCTTACCGAGAATATGAGAATCTGTATCCAACTAGCCTTGCAGTAGGTATTATGGTGTTCTAGGCGACGGCCGCATGCAAAATGATACCACGTCACAGGTGATTCAACGGAATATCGTCGATAATTATGTTGCTGTACTATACATTCAGGGCAACGCGAACAACAATTTTTAGTTGAGTTCAAAACTGTTAAAAGGTGACATGCATTGGTGCCGGGCCCGCAAATGGTTGTGGACGTTGACGGACGCGTGGTGTCGTAGTTCTGCAGCATCCGCTCAATTGCAGAAGGATTGAACGCCACTTCAACTACCGTCTCACTTCATTCACGTCAAGCAATTTAAATTCACTTTTCACTCCTGCTGTGGGCAACCTCACCCAAATCTGTTGCGTAGTGTGGACGATGATGGCACAGAGTGCAACATCCCCTACTAACCGAAGTGGAGTACGGAAGCTGTACAATGAGCACTAAAATGGCAGATGCCCTTAGTCTAAACACCCAGCCCGTAGATACAAATGCGTCTATTTGTTTCTATCCTGCAGTCTAGTTCGTCATGAACTCGATGCCCTTCTCGAACACGACAGCCATGACGGCGAAGCCCGCCGCACCTTTCACAGTGTTCTGCACCAGCACTACAGACAGATCCAGAACCACAAGTCAGCATCCCTTCAACAACCCCCAACTTTTCCAGCAATTCACTCACGCTTGGGTCCAGAGCTCCGCGCCGCCCACGCGCCCAGTGCGCCGCCTGACACTCCGCCGGCCAGGAGGGGGTTGAAAATGTCGTGGGCTGCTCGCTCGCGCTCGATCACGCACTCCACGCCGGCGAAGATGGTGCCCACCAACGCAAACTCCTGCGCAAAGCCAGCAACATGCCGATTAATTAGCCCCCGTCGACACAGAAAGACTCAACCAATCGAGTACACGTGCCTTGGAGAAGTAGACGCTGCGCACGTAGCCGGCCTTGATGGACTTGCTGAAGCCGTTGTAGAGCTGCAAAACACCGAGCACAGCAGTCGGTCAATACACTATACTAATAAGCTAGAGCGTACAATTGCTCGGTCGAACACGCACCTGCTCGCGCATGTTGCGGCCCACCAGCTCGCCGTGGGCGCCCTCGAACGTGCCGAGGAACGTGCCGAGCCCCACGCCCATGGCCGCGCCAGCCACGCAGGCCACCACGCTTCGCTTCCAGCAGCTCTCGCGCGACTCCTCCGCGAACTTCATGGCGCGGTAGGCCGCGACCTGCCCCATAGTCGGCGCGCGCGAGTCGTCCATGGTCTGCGCCGATCAAAATGTACACCGTTCACCCTCGCCACCTTTGACAGTCATTCAACCGGTTTCGGAAAAGAATTTCAATTGCAGCTTAAATTGAGAAATGAGACCGGATTCGGGTAGATCTCGGCAATACGAATTGCGTGATATATTTTTGTTTTGGTAAATACTAATGGTTTCCCAGAAAACTAAAATGCAAAACAGGGTGAGTCGCCCTTCAGGTCGCGGCGGTTTACTTTCCAGCCCATTAGTCAAGTCGAGACAAGTCGAGACCATGCGCATGCGGCTGCGCGCGCCGGACGAGCCCGAGGCCGAGAGCGGCTACGACGGCGACGGCACGCCCTCCACGCCCGAGCGTGGCCACGCGCTGCCGCCGCTGGACGTGGGCTCGCCTGAGTACATCGAGGAGAGGCTGGAGAACCTCAAGCGCCGCCCCAACTGGGGGGACTTCCTGGACCAATACGTGCGGGACCACCCGGACAGCGACAGCGAGAGCGAGTTCGGTGACTTGGAGTGCGTCTCGGCGGCGGCAGACGTGCCGGGCTTCGTCCGCTCCACGCTCTGGTCGCTGCTGGTGGTGGCGTTCGCGCCGCTGCTGGTCGTGCTGTCTCCGTGCTTGAGGCACAATGGCTACGGGTGAGAAGAGAAGATTGCAGTCAAGTTCAGAGTAATCTGATGGTGTGTTACAGTGTCGTTATTTACCCGTGGTTTTGTGTGACTTGTGCATGACAGGTTCTGGCCGTTGGAGTGTCACTCGCTGAAGCAGCTCTTGGGCTGTGCAGTGGCCAATGTGATCTTCGTGGTGTTTGGGCTCGCGCTGCTGTACTGGACGATCTGCAGAGAGCTGCCGGACGTGTTTAACGTGGACAACACGCTGGTCAAGCTGAACGTGCAGATTGACGAGGTGCAGCGCGCGGCGGATACGTGCCACGCGGCCTTGCTGCAGTGGGAAAGGACCGTGGCGCAGGAGTTGTGCATGCCCGTGGGCATCGATGGCGCACTGCTTCTGCTGAACACGTGGCTGCTGCTGCATTACCACCGGCGGTGGGCGAGATACCTCATCGTGCTCATGGCGGTGCTGTTTGTGCTGGATATGCCTGGCAAACTGTACGACGCCACGTTTCCTGCTCCAGAGATTCACAAAGTGGATCCGACGTTCGCCATGGTCGATGAAGAGCTGCTGGTTGCACTAGATGGGAAGAACTTAAAACCTGGTGGGAACGTTGCGTGGGTAGCGTACTGGGGTTGTGCGACTACGTCGAGTGTTGACGCCTGCGAGAAACAGTTTGTGTCGACGTTCGAAGCAGGCAATGTAGCGGTCACCTTCAAGTCGTTGGATCACTTTATCCCATGCTATCGTGACCCGCCTAACCCACTGAAGGCGCAGGAGTACCAGTGCTTCGAAAGCGTCCGTATTCGTGTGAAGGACAAGCACAGCATTCCCGGATGGTCTCGTTCTGCAACGCTAGCCTCGTCAAGTTCGCAACCCGCCAACCCTGAATTCTCGGTAGAAGAAGGACTGCAAGTCCCCACCTTCAGGGATGACGATGAATCGCTATCTTCCCGGATTACGAGAGAGGTGGTGAAGCCAACTCACAGAATGGCAAGGTCTACTACTCAATCGATGGAAGCTGTTGGAGTCGATGTTGCTACAACCACAATGCCGTCTGTAGACAGCCATGCGGGATCCGACCCTGTTGAATTCCCGATAGAAGGAGCTCAAGAGAATGACAGTTTGCGTGAAGCTGAGCCGGAAGCTGTCGAATCACGAAAGTCGGACGAGCTGGAAGAAGTCGAGGTGACCCCTGATGCTGATATTAGGATTCGTGGCGCCAACACTGAACCAGAAAATGAGTCGCGAAGCGAAGACGCTTACGACGAAGCATCGACGGTGCCGGAACAAGTGGCCGTTAGCCAGGAGGGCGCTGAAGTGGAGATGGAGGCTGCCGAAACGTTTGAAGGCGCAGAACAAACAGAGGATGGGGAGAAGGCTGAGCCTGAGCTTGATTTTGAGCAGAAACAGAGCACGATCATCGACGAAGAAATTAAGCTGGATGTCGTGGATGCAGTCGTGCAGGAAGAAGAGAGTAATAGTGCACCCGTTCCTGGCAGTCATGAAGAAGAGAAACTGGTGATCCAAGAGGAGGACTTCAAAATGTACGAACGGGGTGAAGAAGACACGAAACGAAGCCCCCTTGCAAACAATTATGAGGCCGCGGCTAAGCAGGATGAACAAGAAGCGCAAGATTCTACGTCAGAGCCCAGCGCACCCGAAGACACCGCGACCAAAACTCAAGAAATGCCGTCGAAGCAATCTGATGCCGCGCAGCCAGAGGGCGTCAATAAGAAGACGAAGAGAAAGCGCCAAAGCGGTCGCAAAGCTAAGAAGTCTTTGGAGGCAGACGCGGAAACTATCAGAGGCGACACCGCCGGAATCGCCGCTGCCGCGGTGTAATCGTAGGAACATAGCTTTTATAGTTTCCAAGATAGTAATTTTCTATTCGGTTGCGCACCTTGGAATGTACAGTGTAGTACAGACTCGATGTAGGCCAGCATATAGTCGGCTAGATCACACAACGGACGCTGCCTCAGATGAGCCCTGCGCTCCTGCGATCGCGTCGCGCAAAACCTCCGCTAGCCTGTAAAACTTTGCACTCTCGAGCTGCGCGTTTTCACGGTTCGCTTCGCACAGCTTATCCTGCAACGCAATCTGCTGCTCCATGTGCTTCTCTCGCATGGCCAATTCCCGCTCGCGCAGCTCAACCTCCTTCTTGAAGCGCATCTTCTCGAACTCCAACCTCTCGCGGTCCAGCGCAATCTGCTCCGTCAGGTGCTTCTCGTAGTCAAACGTGGCTCCGCGAGAGCTAGACGATCCCGATGCCGCAGTGGAAGCTGCACCTGAAGCTACAGCGAACAAATACGTTAGCTATCCGTTGTGCTTTCGCGTACCAGTACAATTTGAGCCCACCATTGTAAGTCTGAAATGAAGCAAAGCAAGAGAATCAATCCACAACCATGCTGTCAGTATCATACAAGATTTACCTCCCCATACGTCAATGAAGCAACTCACCAAGGACGCCGTCATGTGGGCCGTTCCGCTCTGACTGCCTCCATTGAGCCCACTTGAAGCTGCATGTGCATGTTGAGCCGCCTGAGCAGCAGCAGCTGCCGCCGCTTGGGCAGCAGCATGCTGCGCCTCACTGATAGCAGTCGCCTGAGCGATCGCCTGGGCCTGCGCCTGCGCGTACGCTATGTCCGAGTCAGCGTTGAGCGCCGAGCCGCCCAGCACCACGTCGTCCACCATAGGCAGGTGGTCGTAGCTCTGCAGCTCTCCTTGCAGCTGCAGGTAGCGCGCCCGGACGCTCTCCTGCTTGGGCAGCAGGTCGTACTCCGCCCAGCGGCGCGGGTGCGCGCCCTGCAGGTGGCTGCGGATGTTGTCGACGCGGAAGGCGCGGAAGAACTTGGTGGTGGTCAGCGAGCGCCGGCGCCTCTTCTTCGAGTCGTTGCCCGACTCCTGGTCCTGCTGCACCAGCTGCTCGTACTTGTCCTCGCGCCCGAAGGCCTTGCACAGGCCGCACATGGCCAGCAGCACGTCGCCCGACACGGCGTCGCGCTCGATCGCGTGCAGCCCGAACTCCATCTCGTACTTGGGGTGCCAGTTGTGGCGCCGCGGCCTCGTCACGGCGCGCCGCTTGTGCGCCTCCTTGTCGTCGGCCTCGTCGTCATCCTCCTCATCCTCGCGCTTGCGGCGCGCCCCGGCCAGCGGCTCATTGTCCACGGCATCGACCAGGAGCTGGTCGCTCGCAGCTGAAGTGTCCATTGCGATGGTAGCGCGATAAGCTAGTTCCCAACCGAAATTAACGTGGTACACCTCAACAGTGTTGGTTATGTGGACACACCACAATCGGGTCTGAAGATGGCTGCATTGGACATGTTGAAGTTCTAGTTGCTCGACGCTATAGTTAGGAGGTCTGTCTGTTGCTCTTGCCCCAGCGTACTTGATCTGTCTGCTTCATTGTTCTGTTCTGATTACTTGGAGCCACCTCATGGGCGACGCGAGTGCCCCCTCGACACCTCGGGGTGAGACCGCTAGTCGACGCGGCTCCAGTGCCAGCGCCAAGAGCAAGACCTCGTCGGCGGAGGCGAAGGAGCTGAGCAAGCAGAAGTACGACTCGCCCTTTGATGCGAGTCTCGTGGCGGCTCGCAAGCGCTCGCAGCAGGAGCGACTCTGGGAGATATTCACCGCCTACGCGCTGCAGATCTCGAGCGAAGACCCGACGCGCATCCGCATCGTCAACGTGGTGAAGCTCCTGCAGGACTGCGGCATCATCGACGGGAACAACACCGAGGAAGCCAAAATGATTGAGAAAGAAGTCGCCATCGTGTGCGAAGCCTTCCTAAAGGCCCATCCTACCGACCGTGATAGCAGCAAGAAGCTCGACTTCACGGCGTTTCTAGCGCTGCTCCTGCATTTTGCGAAGATGGTACGAACGAAGCCTGCGTATGGGTAGAATGTTTGTTGTATTGTTCTGAATATGTTGATTATGTGGATGTATGTAGTCAGGCGACCGGGATCCGAGCCGAGCCTATGATTCGCTTGTGCGTACATGTCTGGAAAAGCAACAGAAGTCAAGGTACTCCTTTGCTGGCGTATAAGTCGATGCAAACTAATATACTGATACTGACGCTTCAAGTGCACATGCTGCTACTAGGATCCGTGTGGTTGTGGCCCAAGAGCTACTGGAGTGCAAGAAAGTGCTTGCTGCCTTCGAGGATCCGCTTACAAAGGTTTGGTTTGCACTGCGCTTTAGCACAGCAATGGCAAAAACTAATCGGAACTGTGTTGTTTGTCAGATCTTCATGTTTTACGCAGCGCAAAGCCATAGCAAGCTCGAGAAAATCGACACGAAGATGGCGCAGTTCTGCCCGCCCCATATGAGCTACGCCGAAGCTGTCGCGTTCGGCCGCAAATACGGCATCATCGCGCACGGCGTCCTGACAACGACCGAGTTCGCCAGCATCTACATCGACAGCCTTCCCAAGGCTCCCGCCACCGAATACGATCGCGTTCTCACGTACAAGGGATTCTGTGAGATGCTCGTGCGGTTGTCAAAGAAGACTTGCCTCGACAAGACCCTCCCTGCGGACCGAAATCTCAAGTACGCATGCCCAATATTACGTTATTTGTCTTCATTGATGCTTACTTGTTAATATATTTATCTACAGAGGACTACTTCAAGTTATGTGGCTTGCATTGGCATCCTCGTCACCTCGCGCGCTCAAAATTACGGACGTGCTCAAGTCGGATCGAGTTGATGTGCGTACCAGTTGCTTGCTTGTTGTTAATCAATCGACAGCCTAAATTACACGCTGTATTCAGGTGACCAAGCACTTCCTCATCCATTTCGAAAAGTACTGGAAGAAGGAGCGCTACGAGTGCGTGTTTGGATTGTTCTTGCTTTGGTTAAACAACTGTAGGTGTGGCTAATCTCTGTGCTGGTTATCGTGCCAGGAATTACTTTGGCGACCGACCTGCCTCCGTGCGTATTGAGTCGGTCATGGATCCACCATCGCCGCCGAAGCCACCGATGCCTCGGCGCTTGAGCTTGAACCCGACACCAGCCCCCAAAGCGAAAACTCTTCCGCGCAGAATGAGCGTTCAAACGACTTCGAAAGCGACGTGAACGAAGGAAACACAAGAACTTTCTAGCTTTACGAACGTGTATATTGTGGGTTGCAGTCATGAAAATATGAACATGGCTCTTGACCGACGATGTTGTACCTGCTGCACTTCTCTATTTGCTACTGCGCTGTGGTGTGTGGGTGACTTCTGCTTATAATGCAATGGGCTGCAAAAGCGAGAAGCTGCCCGTACCCACGCGCGGCGGCTGGCCAAACACCAGGCGAGCGGACGAACTCTCCAGCTTGTCCACCAAACCGCCCATGGCGGCCTGGGACAGGAACTTCATGGACGTCTCGAACGTAATCTGCTGCAGGGACGAGCCCTTGTTGTTCATGCCCATACGGTTGAGCGGCATGTAGCCGCCCTGCGCAGTCATGTAGTCAGCCAGCAAGCTCAGGTGACGCGGGTCGACACTGATACCGTACACGCCGAACACGTCCATGATCTGCTTGGAAATACTAGCGCGCGCAGCCTCCACACCGTACGTGTGCAGCACCTGGTAGATGTCGTTGGTGGCGAGGTTGTTGACGTCCAGGATGTCGTCGAAGCCCCAGATCTCCTGGAAGTTGAGACCCTCCGTCTGTACGCATGGCTTCTCCTCCTGCGCCTCACCTATGCGCTGGTTGATCAGGTAGCAGCGCGAAATGCCGGGGCAGTACTGCACCAGCACCTGCTTGGCGACCTTCTCGACAAGCGGGACCATCAGAAGCGTCTTAGAGTGAGTCGGGAAACGCAGGTGCAGCTCCACGAAGTTCTCCTTCTCGTTGCGTCCACAGAACACGAAGTAAGGGTTCTTGCGCACGCTAATCGGGACCTCGAGGGACTCCATGCCGTTAGCAGTAAAAGCCTTCTTCGGAGCCTTACCCGATCCGTTCTCCATGGTCTTGTCGTCCAACTCGTTGTCAGCACTGGTCTTCTTGTTCTTCTTCTTCTTGCTAGAAGACTCATCGTCCGAGTCGCTGTCCGAGTCATCGGCAAGCTGCGACTTGCGGATCTTCTCATCTTCTTCGTCCATCTCACCGTAGCCCTGGACTTCACCACGGCTGCCGAAACGGAGCGTACCCTGCTCATCGTCATCATCGTCGTCATCATCGCTCTTCTTTTTCCTCTCGGAGCTGGAAGGAACGTTGAAGTTGTTCTTCTCCGCCGTAGCAGAAACAGTAACGCCGCTCTTCTTCATCTCACGGGAGATCAGAGTGAGCAGCTTGCCCACGAAACCCCGGCCAACAGAGTTGAAGACCTGGTCCGCGCTCAGTCCGAAAACACGCTTGATCTCCTTCAGCTGGAAGAAGGTCAGGCGGATTTGGTAGTCACGCACCCACAAGATACCATTCTCACTGCTGTGGAACTCATCCTTCACACGAACGCCGTTGGTGTTGTTGATCAGCTCTGACAGAGCAACCTGGTTCAGACGCTGTTCAACCTCCTGTGCCCTTGAAGACTCCACATCGTCGCGAAGCGGGATCGTCATCATAGGAGTAGACATCTTCTGACTAGCCGTCATGATAATTTCACGCAAACGCGGGATACCCAGCGTCACATTAGCAGCACCGTGACCAGCAAGGTGGAATGTGTTCAACGTCATCTGCGTCGACGGCTCGCCGATACCCTGCGCAGCAAGGATACCAACGTTTTCACCAGGAGCGCACATGCTGCGCAAGTAGTTAACCCACACGAGCAGCTGGAAAGCGTCGGGGCTCACCACGTGCTTCGACTGCATGACCTCACGGTCGATCTCGCCATCATCAGCAGCACGCTTGCTCTTCTTGGACTTCTTGCTCTTCTTTTTCTTCTTCAGGTGCAACTCTAGGCAACTTGAAGGGTTGCGCTTGTTGTAGTTGCGCAGCTTGTCCTGGATACGCTCAGAGATCAAACCAACGTGCTCGCTCAGCGGCAGACTCTGCATGACCGGCTCCTCGAAGAACATCTTAATGATGTCAACGCGTCCAGACATAGCACGAGTCGCGTTCGTCGGCTTGCCAGCCTTGAATTTGGTAGTGCGCGGAACGCCGAACGCCTTCAGGCCCGTGTCCAGATACTTAATGTCATACTTGCACTCGCGACCATCCTCGTTCTTCTCAGCCAGCGCCACAATTTCAGCGGCGTGGAAGCCGAGCTCAATGTTGCCGCGCTTCCACTTGGTCTCGCCCTGCTTCAAGCGACGTGCCATCACCTTTCCGCCAGCCTTAAGCACAGAAGACGTGCTCGCGAAGTTGTTTTCCTTCGCCTCACGGACCTCCTGGTGTAGCTTCAACGGCTTCATGATGTCCAGCTTCGTGTTCTCGAAGAACTTGGCGTTGATGCCGTACTTGTGCGAAATACTGCGGTGGTTCATCGCCTGGAAGTCGAACTGAGCATCCTTGCCCGAAAGCATAGCGCTCTGCACCGGATCAATACCATCCTCACCGTACAGGAACTGGATCACGCCGCCGTCGCTGTTGCGCACCGTGTGGTCGTAGCCAACCTGGAGGTCCTCGAGGTGCTTAATCAGACAACGCTGGAGGTAACCACTACGACTGGTCTTCACAGCCGTATCGACAAGACCTTCACGTCCAGCCATACAATGGTGGTAGTACTCCTGAGGACGCAGACCAGTCAGGAAACGATCCGTAACGTAGCCACCAGCACGCGGGGCAGGGTCAAACGGCTCGAACGACGGAAGCGAACGACCACTGCACAGGATAGGGACACGACGACCTTCAAGAGCCTGCTGGCCAAGACCACACGTAATCTGCGAGTGGTTAACCATGGATCCTTTGGCACCGGTCAGCACCATGAGCGAGAAGTTGTTCTTCGGGAACGCCTTCGACTGGCCCGACGGCAAACAGGTCTTGATAATGTCACTGTTGGATCCGTGTACGCAGCCCATCATGTGCGCATCCAGAGCCTTGGCATTGTTTTCGGCGTCCGGTCCAGAGAGCAGAGTGCGCATACGCTCACGGATCTGAACGCGCTCACCTTCGTTCATGCGCCGCTTCTTGCCATCCTTCTCAGACGCACGCTTCTTTTCGAGCAGCTCCGTCAGACCAGCAAATTCGGCATAGGCCTCCTCGCCTAGAACCTCCGAATCCTCCACAAGTTTGCGGCGACGCTTCTCAGCAGGCTTGTTCAGCGTCAAATCCTCCATAGCACAGGTATGGCCAGCGAACTGCAGGTAGCACGTGAAAAGACGACCAAGAGCCGACAGGAAATCGGCAGCGATGCGAGCACCGTACACCTCGTAACAAGCATGGACCATACCGTACATGCTCGCTCCGAACTGACTCTTGTCGAGCACACCCTGAAGAAGCTCTCCATCGCGAATGATCACGATGTGCTCGTTGTTGGCCGAGCCGTACAGATCACCCTTGATCTTAGCCTTGCTGTCCAGGTTGAGAGGCGGGAGACCCTTCGTGAGCAGCTTGAGCACCGAAGTGATAACTTGCTTACCCGTCCAGAGCGGCTGAGGCTTGAGAATGGCAGGAGGGACGGTCTCGATGTGGGCCTTCTCCACGCCAGCGTCCTCCATACTGGCCCAGGCGTTGTACAGAAGCTGCATGTACATGTCCTTAGTCAGGAACGTGTCGCGCTGAGTAAGCTTGACACCCGAGTCAACGTGATCCTGAATAAGACCACGCAGCGGCGAACCGTCCGTCGGCACGATGTACTGGTTGTCGTTGCACGCAATGTTGTATGCCTCAGCACGCGCAAGCTCGTTCTGCGGGAAGTGCATGTTCATCTCATCACCATCGAAATCGGCGTTGAACGTGTTACAGTTGGCGTAGTGCATACGAATGGTCTGCATCTTCGGGTTCGTGAGCACACGCGTGGTGTGGGCCATAATACTGGGCTTGTGCAGCGTCGGCTGACGGTTCATCAGCACGACATCACCGGTCTTCAGGTGGCGCCACACGCGCTTCACGCCGTTCTTGCTGGTACCCTGCGCACTTGCAGAGCGCGTGAGCAGCGTCTTACTGATCGCCTCACGCTGGTGCGGCGTGCGCTTGCTCAGGTCAATAAGGCGGCCATTCTCGCTCTCCATGAAGTTCGCTCCGGGGTGCACGTCAGGTCCGTTGATAACGAGCTGGCGCATTTCCTCCACGTTCCATGGCGTCACGGGCTGAGGGTAAGTGAGAGTCTTGGCGAATCGAAGCGGCACACCAATCTGGCTGGTACTAATGTACGGGTCGGGCGAGATAACCGAACGCGCGGCGTAGTTCACACGCTTACCCATCATGTGCTTACGGAACAGACCCTCCTTCTTCTCAATAACCTGCTTGATACCCTGCGCGACATCGGTACCGGGCTTGGCCTTGCTGCTATCGACCAGGAGGTTAACGGCCGTCTGCAGCTCCGTCCACAGCGCAAGCTTGCGCGAAAGGTTCACCTGCTGCTCCTTCTCGGCATCATCTTCGTCCGACGTGGTGGCCGCCTGGCGCTTGTAGTAGTCACTCTGGACAATGCTCTCGCTCATGGTCATAATCTTGGACAGGTGGGAGTTCTGCGCGTGCTCGAACTGCTTGTCGCCCATGAACACGGGCGGACGGAAACGCGACGGCGCCACGGGGATCACGTTAAGGAAGAACTTGCGCCATCCATCGGCCTTGCGGCCAGTCACACGGCCGCTAGCAATGTTGCGGTCGCCGTACAGGAGCTCCATGAGGCCGTCCTCGTTCTGCCACATCAGCTGCAGCTGCGACTGCACCTCGAGAGGAGGCAGGTACTTGCTGCGGGACGACGAGTCCTCGGTCGTCGCGTATTTGTCTTCGTTCTCCATCTCCGACTCGGAGTCGTCGCCGCTCATGGACTCGTCTCCGTTGTCCGACACGTTGCCGCGGATCGTGTCGAGCGCCGACGTGACCGTGAGGTTCTTGGAGCGGTTGACCTTGCGGGAGCGGGCGCTCAGGCCCTTGAGGAAGATCTTGGCATTGGCATCCTGTCTGATTGCGGGCGAGATGGCTCCGCAGTTCTCGCACTTGTTCTTCATGCCCTTGAGGAACTCGATCGCGAGCTTCTCGCGCGTCACCTCGGCGAGGCGCGGCAGCGGGCGCAGCAGCTGCGTCTTGCCGTTCGTGTTGTTGGCGCTCTTGGAGAGCGCGAGGCGCTCGTACTCGTCCAGGATGGCCTGCTGGCGCTGGAACGTCCGCTGCGGGGGCTCGTCCTCCACGCCGTTGCGCTGCTCGAGCAGCTCGCTGAGCTGGGCCGCCTCGTTCTCGAAGCCGTTGTCCAGCAGCAGGATCTTGACGCGCACCACGCGCGAGCGCGCGCTCGCCACGCGGAACTTGTGGCACGTGAAGCACTTGCGCTTGAGCAGGTTGAGCATCTGCCCGAAGAGCACGGGGTTGTACACGGGCACGGGCAGCTCGATGTGGCCCAGGTGGCCGGGGCACTCCTTCTGCGTCTGGTGGCACGTGGGGCAGATCATGTTGAAGTCCACGGGGCCCAGCGCCGGGTCGTACAGGCCGCCCACCACGGGGTTGTTGAGCGAGTCGAAGCTCAGGCGACTCGTGAGCTGTTTGACGCTCAGGTCGCGGATCTCGGCGTCGCTGTAGAAGCCGAAGGCCACCTCGGCCACCTCATGGCGCAGGATGGTCTGGTCTGTGGCCGAGTCCATTGTGCGGCTGGCTACAGAGTTCTAGGTGCCGCTGAGCTGTGCTGCGTGCGCGCTGCCTGCCTTGGAATGCGCACTGCCCTTGCTTGGCCACCACGACGGTTGAATGGCAGGGAATCTACTGGTGGACGCATGGCCCTCGGCTAAGTGCGAGCGTGCTGCACAGTCTGTATCAGAACGTGTGTATTTAGTGTTATCGACCGGTGACATTCACATATCCGGTTAGGTACGATAGGAAATTCAGAATCCTTCCTCCGGAAAGATGCTGCTAAACTGCGCGATTGTCCGCGAAGGGGGCGTGATCTCCGTCTTAATCGAGGACTGGAAGACGGTGGCTCTCCTCAAGGAAGTAATCGTGGGAAAGAAGCCAGCAAACGTTCCAGGGTATCGAAGCGGACAAGCTGCAGCTCCTCCTAGCCAAGAAGGAGAAAGGCAACGGGGCGTGGCTGACGGAAAAAGAAGTGAAGCTAGGCGTGAACGACACCAGTGATCTGGCGCAGCTGGAAGTTGATAGTGCTCCGCTCAAACAGGCTGTTATGTCCGAGAATGAGGCGCGAGCCAACTCACGAAGAGCGATGCGTTAGGTGGAAACGTCCCAGTGCGCGTGCTGGTGGTAGATCCGAAGCGCCCGGCTACAGATCGGGCACTCCCTAAGATCAGCCCCCACTACGCTTTTTGACAAAACTTTAGTCCGACACAAATTTACATTTGTGAATTACAATCTTGACCTAAACTGGGAAGTGTTTGCGGATACCCTGCACGAGGCCGTCGCGGTACTGGCACTTCGGGACAGTGCCGTTGAAGTACCAGGACTTCCACAGGTACATGTCTAGGTACTGGTCCAGGCGCTCCTTGGGGACGCCGCGCATAGCCTTGATGTAGCGCTTCACGCGCACTTCCCACGTCCCTTCAATGCGGTTCGTATGGACCCCCGTCTTGGGGTCCACGAAGAACTTGTCGTGGTTGACCCACTTGTGGGTGTAGTTCTTGCCCTTTAGCCACTTGTTGTTCTCCAACGTATGCTTCCCGTTGACAGATACATACGAGGAGAACTGGTCGGAGATGATGGTCGACCCGGCCATACAATGCTTGCCGATGAGAGGAGACAGCGTCTTCTTTTTGCGGTCGGGGCCGGTGACGATGCCGAACCACCGCCCCGTGGCCCGATCGACACCGCCGAAGGGCCAGTAGTCCTCATGCTGCTAGCCGCGCCCGAAGTTGGACTTCTTCTTTAGGCTCGTCTCGTCGATCTCGACGGTGTGGCCCACGCCGCCGATCTGTATAAACATAGTTAGCACATATGCCACATATTGTAGGTGTACATACTATCATGCTGCACTGCAGCATCTCGGCGGAGCAGATGTCGCGGCAGAAGCCGTACCAGTCGATCGCCGTGACGTCGAAGATGCCCAGGAACTGCTCCGCGGTTCCGACGGGGATGTCCGACGCCCAGAAGAACATCAGGCGCAGCACAGTGCGGTACGGTAGCTAGGTGCCGTCGAAGAAGGAGCCTTTCTTCAGGCTGAGCTCCTTGTCCGGGTAGCCGCTACGGCGGCATCGCCAGCGGCGGTCCTCGTCCTCCGTGCCGCGTTTGTAGACGCACAGGTTCATGGGATAGTCGCAGTACTCGCATGTCTTAGAGGAGGCGAGGAGGCCGTGACGCATTAGGAAGCTCACGGCGGTGTCCTCGCTCGTGGTCACCGCCATTATGTTGTCGAACGTGAACGGGGACACCGCCGGATCCGCCACCGCGTACGCGTACGGCGAGTTGTACACGACGGGCTCCTTGGGCGCGGTGTTGGGCGGCGCTCTGGATGCGCGCACGCGCTCCGACCGTGATGCGCGCTTGCGTGGCGGCATCGCCGTGGGCGGGAAAAGTGGGGTCGCTCCTCGGGTTCACACGAGTATGCGCGGAACGCAAACTGATACATGGGTGCGCTTAATATGTAATTTGTGTCGGACTAACGTTTTGTCAAAAAGCGTAGTGGGGGCTGATCTTAGGGAGTGCCACAGATCGAGATGAGGACATGCCACCTGCAAAACGAGCCAAGGCCGACCGAGTGGAGGTGCCCTACCAAAAACCAGTTCCGGAGGAGTTCTACTTGGTTCCTATGGAAACAATTGACAAGTACCAAAAGCTGCAGGCGGCATTTCTGTCGCGTACAATTGCTCCGCTGTGTCTGCTCTACGGGCCTCGTCAATTTGGGAAGACAACGATTGGGCATCGGCTTCGAACGTTGCTAGCTGCAGTACCGTCCATTCGAGCCATCTACATGTCGTTAACACCATCAGATGTCAAGACAGAGGAAGATTTTTGGCTTGCACTGAGCATAACTGTTGGCGAAGAAACGAGGTCGTCGAAAGAGTTCGATATCATATTCTCGCGTCACAAAAAAAGTCTGTGGCTGGCGATCGATGAAATGGACAACATGTTTCAGAACGAAGAGCTGACCAGCAACTTCATGGAGACTCTCCGCGGGTGGCAACCAAGGAAGTACTTTTTGGGTTTTCTTGGACTCGGGAGTCACGATCTGCTGAATATGCACATGAAGCTGAAAGGAGGAAGTTCTGCCAGCCCTTTCAATCTGGGCGAAGTTTTTCAGGCCAAACCGTTTTCCAAGAAGCAAATGAAAGGTTACTTCAAGCAGATCCAGGCAAGGTATCCGTTTCGAAAGTCAACCCGCCAGGCAATCATGGCGTATTAAATAAAAAAAAATTGGAATTCCAAATTGAACCAATAACCCTATAATGGGAACAGATTTTTTATTTAAAATTTCTAGAATTAATTTACGTGGGGATATATTTCAACTGGTAGAAAATATGTTTTGGTATTCGATTGACTGCGCAAAGTGCGACCAAGAGTGGCACGAGTGGGAGCATTGGTTCAAGATCCAAAACTTCTCGAATTATCTGGATACTCACAATTGGACTTACAGAAAGATTCGGATGGATTTACAAAAGTTGGGTCAGGCGGATTGGGATCTGCTCAGCTTGTAGCAAGAGAAGAATATGGCACAAGCCGCGAAAAATTGCTGCAGATGGGGGTTGTCATCGATTGCCAGGGTACTACGAAGCTGAAGTTTTCGTCCCAAATGATGCGTCGCTTGTGCTTTGAAGCTTTGCCCATCCGCGAAATCCGTGGTGTTGCATCCACCGATGACCCGCTCGAGTTGCTCGGTGTCTCGCTTCAGTTTATGAATCCGGAATCGATTCGGCACGTGTCCGTGAAAAATAAGCTATCCCCCAGCGAGTCTGTCTTTCAGTTCGAGCTATACGCGGCGATCCGGGGAATTTTCGCTGCGAACAGTACTGGAGACAAGCATGTTCTTCCGGAAGCTCGAGATCTCTATGATCCGCAAAATCGAAGACTGGACATCATCATCAGCAATGGGAAAAAATATGGATATGAGCTCAAAGCCGATCAATTGAATGAAGCTGATATCGTAGCCGCGGTACGACAAGCGGATGGCTATAGCCAGCTGCTCAATGTCGATGTGATGTTTGTGGTTAATTTTATTCTTCAAGGGCACACGCTGCGAAAGCAAGTATTCAAGGTGGAGACGTATTCTGATGTCGAAGTTATTCACGTCTTCTTTCTGGATACTTGTGATGAATACACTCTCCGACATCAAGAGGCCGGCGGCGCCATAAAAGATCGCACGGTATGCTGTGGAGGGCGTGCCAAGGCACTCCCATCGTTCTCTTGATCCTTGGTATCAGTCATGTATTCGGAATACAGTATTCCGTTTTGGAGATGCGGCAAGATAAAATGTGTGGCAGCAGGTGGGGGTCGAACATGCGGTGTGGCAAACGCAGAATGGAGCACGAAGGCGGAGTGGAAGTAAGGACAGAGTGCGATAATCGTAGGAAGCCGTTTTGCCGCTGCCTCTCCGCGTTTGGCCTGAGGATCTCGAGTCGTTGTTTGGATTTTGCGATCGTAGCTCAAAGACTAATCCCTTCGTTAATCAGCATTAGGTACTTCACTGTTATACACCATATCCCTCGTCTTTCCGCAATGGCTCTTTCTTTCGTCTGAGCTCAAGTAACTGTTCAAGCAGGGATATTGCTTAGCTCAGTGGAGCGCAAGATTGGTACTGTCGACGATCTACACATAGCCAGGTGACACGCACGTTAATTAGTTCCTGCACCCGTCACTACTGGAGTTTTGATAGGCAGCAGCGACAAAGCCCGAGAACCCACCGATTCCGTTATCTTACCAACCAGTTAATAAGGTTGCTGTTGTAGCGGCAAAGTACTGTACGTCAACTACATTCGCACGCCCCAATACGAAGATATAGGGTGGCAGCATTACGCCTCCTCGTACATGCCACAGTCGGCAATGACGACGGGCTGCGTGGGCTTGTCGCCCTTGTCCGTCTCGAGGCCCTCGATGCGCTTCACCACGTCGAAGCCCTCCACGACCTTGCCGAACACCACGTGCTTGCCGTCCAGGTGCGGCGTGGGCACAGTCGTGATGAAGAACTGCGACCCATTCGTGCCCGGACCGGCGTTGGCCATGGACAGCAGGCCGGCCTCCGTGTGCTTGAGCTTGAAGTTCTCGTCCGGGAATTTCTCGCCGTAGATGCTCTCGCCGCCCGTGCCATCGCCGCGCGTGAAGTCACCGCCCTGGATCATGAAGCTCTTGATCACGCGGTGGAACGAGCTGCCCTTGTAGTGCAGCGGCTGGCCCGTCGAGCAGTTGCCCTTCTCGCCCGTGCACAGCGCGCGGAAGTTCTCGGCCGTCTTGGGGCACACGTCCTTGTACAGCTGCATGACCACCTTGCCGGCGTCCTCCTCGCCGATCTTGAGGTCGAAGAACACCTTCGGGTTGTTTGGGTCCAGCACCGGGTCGGCCTCCACCTCCGACTTGTCGTCGTACATGGACACCTTGCCGAACAGGCCGCCGAACACAGCCTTCTCCTTCTGGCGCGCCTCCTTCATCTTCTTCTTGAGCACCTCGAGCTCGCGACGCACCTCACGGTTGGCCGGGTCCTGCTTGCCGGCAGCCAGCAGGTCCTCCTTCGCGCGCTCCAGGTCGTTCAGGTGCATGCGGCCCACGCCGCGACGGTACAGCGCCTTGACGCTGGAGGGCTCGTTGTTCAGCGCCTTGGTGGCAGCGGAGACCGCCTCGGCGTAGTTCTGCACCTTGAGGAAGGCCATGGCGGCGTTCAGGAAGCAAGTGGTCTGCAGCTGCTTCATGGTCTTCTTTTCCTCGTCGGCAACGTCGTACATGTCCTCCATGTGCGACGCGGCCTGGTTGTACGTGGCGGCGGCCGTCTCGAACTGCTTGGCCTTGAACTGCTCCGTGCCCTTAGCCTTGAGCTTGGTGGCCTCGGCGATCTTCTCCTCGGCGTCCATCTCCCACATCTCCTTGGCCTTGGGGCTGAAGCCCAGCAGCTCCACGTCGAACTTGAGCGTGGCGTTGGCCGGGATCTTGGGCGGGCTGCCGCTCGCTCCGTACGCGTACTCGGGCTTGCACGTCAGCACAGCTTTCTGCACGGCAGCCACTTAGCAACACAGTACACTCCAGCTCAATCGAAACAGGCGTACAGTATCCTACCTCGCCGACTTTCATCGAGGCGAAGGCCAGGTCCCAGGCCTTGATCACGTTGCCCTTGCCCAGCACGAACTTGAACTCCGAGTTGCGGTCGCGCGAGCTGTCGAACTTCGTGCCGTCCAGCAGCGTACCGGTGTAGTGGGCTGGCCGCATCAATACAGGACGTTAGCTGAGTCTTTGGCGCGGTGTATCCATATCTATAGTCCAATGATACGTACCGCGGATCTCGTCGCCGGCGGGCGGGAACTCGCCCGAGCCCTCCACGTACGTCTCCTTGAGCACGCCGCCGTCCCCGGACAGGTCCACAGGCTCCTTCTTCGTAGCGTCGGCCATGTTGCTGTTCTCTAACTGGTGGTGCAGTCGCAGAAGGTGGTCAGTGAGGGGGGGGTAAGACGAGTTCCTGGCACCGCGTACGTGGCCTACCTGAATAATTTCTGACTGGCGTTTGGCTGACAAGATCTCCCAATGCCTACACTTTCATATTGAATAAGAATGTAGATTACATGTGAACCGGTTATTTAGTTAACCAATACATTAAACTTGAAAGGTATCTTAAACGAGGTTTCGTATTGCAAAGTAGGATATGAACTTCATCGGTTTATATCAAAATATATGACATAGCAGGATTCGCGAATGTTCTGGAAAAAGCGAAATTTTGATTATTTTCTGCGTCCACGTCAAGAGGACAGAAACTTCTGCTTGAAGTGAAGTGAACGCCCGGCGACCAATGATCAAATGACTTCAACGAGATAGAACATATTGCTCTTAGTAGCCTGCCGTAAGGGTATTTACTGCTGCGCTGGCGCATTCACCGCAGCAAGTTGTTCTTGGCGGCTGCCGCCGTGAGCGCCATCTCGCACTCGTCGCGGATTCGGGCGATCTGCGCGCGGGAGAAAGCTCGCTCCTTGTCGTGCCGGCGCTGCATTCGCTCTCGACCCTGTGGAGCCAGCTCCAGACGCATCGCCACTTCTCGATCCATTTCGCGGGCCAACTCCTCCATCACCAGCGTCTGCATGTGGCGCGCGTATCCGTGTTTGGTCTTTTCTAGCAGCTCCGTCGTCAGGCTGAGCCGCTCCGATTCTGAGAGTCCGTGGCGCTGCAATTCCTGTCGAATACCCGCAAGTGAATCACGAAAGCTCTTTTCGGCTTTCTACTCACAGAATTTCCATTCAAGGTGCGTTAGCTACGAATACCGACTGAGAAGTTGAGTCAATTGGAACGCACCTCCACTCTGGAGACTTGCTGCTTCTCCCAGTCAACATATTCACCAAGCACGCGTTGCGACTGCGTCTCGCGATGGACAGCCTTCGTTGGAGATGCTCCTGGCTTTTGCTGGGATTGAGGCGTTGGTGCCAATGTACCGTCAACGCCTTTTGCTGGCACCAACAGCTCGAGCTTCTCCCCCGTCTCGGCGTCAAAGATTTCGCTCATCTCTCTACACTTGCCAACGCGCGTCGATATCCCATGCCCAAGCAAGGAAACAGTCTCCAGGTCGTATTTTTGCCGATATATTTATGCGGCCGCAGCAACTTCTGGCCGGTCACAACCGACACAGGATAACGTCGTTGTGTTCGTCGTCTTCCAGCTCCGTCGGTTGAACTCGGTACAAGCAGCCGGCCATGAAGCCCGACGAGAAGGAGGCGGAGAACATCCGCGTGGCTGTGCGATGTCGCCCCATGAACGAGCGCGAAAATCGCGAGCAGGCGGTCTCGTGCTTTACCTGCGGACCGAACGGCACGGCCGTGCTCACGAACATGGAGAACCCGACAGAGAAGCACGAGTTCGGCTTCGACTTTGTGTATGGATGCGACTCGAAGCAGGAGACGGTATTCGAGGACATCGGTATGCCCCTGCTGGACCGAGCGTTCGGGGGCTACAACGGCACCATCTTTGCCTACGGACAGACGGGAAGTGGCAAGTCTTTCAGCATGACAGGTGTAACTGGGGGCCCGGAGGCGCTAGAAGGTCTCATTCCTCGTGTAAACCGCGCCATCTTCGAGCGTGTGGCCAAGGAGCGCGTCGAGAGCCCCAACAAGCGCTTTCTAGTTGAATGCTCCTTCTTCGAGATCTACAACGAAATCATCTACGACTTGCTCGACTCGAGTGGCAACGGCAAGAAGAATAAAGGCGGATTGGAGATCAAGGAGCACTCGGTACTGGGGATCTACGTGAAAGATCTCCAGGAGCGCGTCGTGGAAACTAGAGAAGAGATTGTCGAGCTTATGGCGTTAGGAGCTCAGTCACGGACAGTCGGCTATACACAGATGAACGCTGAGAGCTCCCGTTCCCACTCCATCTTCACGATCAAGATCCACCAAAAAGACGCAGACGATGAGACGAAGAGCGTGTTCGCTAAGATCAATTTGGTCGATCTGGCTGGCTCTGAGCGCGCTGCATCGACTGGAGCTCAAGGGGATCGTCTTCGTGAAGGAGCCAACATCAACAAATCTCTAAGTGCCTTGGGCAACGTCATCAATGCGCTGGTGGAGGCCTCACGAGCCGGCAAGAAGGTGTTTATTCCGTACCGTAACTCGAAGCTCACGCGTGTCTTGCAAGAATCCCTCGGTGGCAACAGTCTCTGCTCGATGTTGGCCACTCTTTCGCCTGCTAACATCAACTTTCCAGAGACGTTGAGTACTCTCAAATACGCGAGTCGCGCGAAGAGTATCAAGGTGAATGCCAAGAAGAATGAGGCGTCGTCGCAGATCTCGCAGCTTAACGAGGAGATTGCAGCGCTCAAGCAGAAGCTCCAGGAGCAAATGGAAGCCACACTCGGTCTCGACCCGAAGGAGAAGGATGAGATCGTGAAGAAGTATGAGAAACAAATTCAGGAGATGGATCGGGTGAGGCTGCAGACGTGGGAGGACAAGGCCAAGCTCTCCAAGCAGCACGAGATGGAGCGAAAGAAACTCGCTCGAGAGCGTGCACTGGCTGATCAGCGTATTCGTGAGGAGCGTACCAAGAAGTGGCGGCTACTGGAAGAGAAAGGAGATTTGGAGCTAATGATGCGCGCGCTTCGTGACCTGGATGGCAATAATGCGTCCACTGCCGATGCCAACGCAGCATCCGTAGCTGTGCAGTGGCTCGAGACCGCCCAGAAGGTGAAGACCATGGAGGGGGAGGCCAAAGACCTGCGTACACTCATTCAAGTATTCCGAGACTCATTACAGAAAGACGTGGAGGTCTGGGCTAGACGCTGTGGCTTGAATCAAGACAGCAGCAGTAACTCGAAGTCCACCAAGAACCTTCTGCCTCAGCGTCGTGAAGACTCAGCCGCAGCATCAGCAGCTCACATGACCGCGAGTCAAATGGGCAGCAAACTGCAGAATATCGGCGATGAGAGCGAAAAGCTGCTTGCTCTGGAGGGCCAACTCGTGAGTGACCGCAGTGCGTTGATCAACACGATGACCAGGGAATTGCTCCGACTGAAGACGCGCCACGCCCAACTCAAAGCGGAACAAGCTGCAGCAACTGCAGCTGCGGCGGGGAAGACGACACCAAATGCCGCTCAAGCGGCAAAGGCTGCTAAGGAAGAGGAACAGGTTCTCGAAGAGCGCGAACGGGGTCTTACAATCACTTTGGCGTTGGTGCGAACGCAGCGCTCAGCTCTAGTTGAGTCCATTAAGAGCGACCGCCAAAGAATCTTCGAGCTCGCTACCGTGACTAAGCACTTCGCGAGCTTTGCCGACCAGCACATTGTTTTATCTCAAGGTGCTGCCTCTAAAACTCCCGAGGTGGCTCAGCAGCTCGCTCGCTGGGAAGAGGCAAAAACCAAGCTCTTAGCTGTATCAAAAGCTTGGGAGGACACTTGGAAGGCAAAAGCTACTGCATCAAAGAATACCAGCTCTACGGAATACGTGGGGGATGGAGAAGTAGCAGCACTTGGGGTGGAGTCACGACTACTACCGGACGAATGCTTCTCAGCCTCTTCAAAGACTCAAGATGCGAAGCTTGCCAGGTTAAATGGTTCGCAGTGCTGGGTCCCTGATGCTCAAGACGCAGCACCGTCGCTCGTCATCGACTTCGAGCTTCCTCGCATCTTTGATTCAGTATCTGTTCGCGGTGGTAAGGTGCAACCCGGTGGAGCTTCAGGATCTTCAGCCGAGGCAAGAGCAGCGACACCAGCAGGTGGTAGCAGCACTCCAGCCCCAGCACCAGTGTCAACTTTCACATTGGCAAACACTGGGGATCTGCAGGCAGCAAGAGCTCGATACAAACTCGATCAGGTCACCGGATCGAACGAGCCGACGTACGAGCTTCTAGCACATGTCATGTCGTGGCAAGATCTGCTCAAGACGGACGTCATTCCTGTCAAACTGTTCGCGCGGCCGCCTGTGCGATTCCTCCACGACGTGATCTCTGCAGTCATGCGAAACACAGGCTTCGCTACTGAAGCAGTTTCTGCGGCACAGCGTGACTACGCACAGCTTGCTACCAAGACAGAACGCGCAGAGTATCTATCCGCCGTTCTTGACCACGTTCAAGCTTGGTATCAGCGTCAGCAGCAGAGCGTCGAGAACTCTCCCAGCGTGATCATTGCAGCTACGACCTCCAACATCCTAGCGGGGAAGGAGCCGACTGACACCGTCCAGTTCTTGGGATATTTCGCACTAGCGGCGATGGACCACGCTGTACAGCACCCGCCAGTAGCTGTCCAAGAGCCAAGTACTGCTGAGGCTGCGCCAGCAAGTGAGACGGAAGCAGGACCTGAAACAGACCCAGCTACACCGCAGAACGGCTGGGTGACTCGCCTTCGGGTCGCTGCGAGTTTTACGGGTGCTGCCGGAGACTGGCGGGTCTTGGGCGAGTTTGATGCCAACACAGATGCTGACGGAACGGTCTCCATAGCTCTAGCTGGAGACCCCAAGGCGGTGGATGGAAGCCGAGCAGGCCGCTACCTGCAGCTCACGTGTGTTAAGTGGCATCACCGCGCAGCGCTGCAGTGCGAGGTGTTTGGCCGCGAGGCACACGAGAGCAGTGCGATGGCTCAGAATATTCAAGCATTAGCATCCAAGGCTCGGGCGCTACTGGAGCAGCTTCGTCACACCGCGGCGCTCGTGTTGGAAGAAGCTCGCGCGTTGTATGACCGCGCCAAGGCGGCTGAGAGTGAGAAGCATGCGCAGCTAGCAAGTTACGGCGAGGAGCTAGCGAAGCTGAGAGCTGCGAGTGCAGCTTGGGAGAAACAACAGCATGAGATGCAGGAGCAGCACGCCCACCTCTCAGCTCAGCTGGAGACAGCAAACCAGCGTGCCGATCGGGAGAAAGCTCGTGGAGATGCACTTCAAGGCGACTTGACGCAGGCCACGAGTCAAGGAGAGGAGTTTAAGCGACGCGGGGATACGCTGCAGACCCAGCTCAGTGAGAAGGAGCATCAGATACAGACGCTGTCGATGCAGACTGGTGAACAGAAGCGCGCGCACGAGGCACTGCAGCAGACCAAGCAGCAGCTTGAGGAGTTGGCGACCAATTTGCGAGCTCAGTTGACGAACAACCAGCAGCAGCAGGACGCAACTCAGCAGGAAGGCCAGTCACGCATAGCTGAGCTCAACGGAGAGCTCATGTCCGTGCGTGTTCAGCTAGATGAACAGCGCCGAGCACTGGAAGCTGCCGAGCTGCAAGCCAAGGAGCAGGAGGCTTTTGGACAGCAACAGTATTCCTTACTGCAGCAAACGCGGGCTGCGCTAATGGAGAAGGAGGCCGAGGCGGATGCCAAGCTTAAGGCCCGTGCAGCCGAGAGTGAAGCCGCCATCCGCGCGCTGCACGATGAGCACGATCGCGTGAAGCAAGAGCTTGAGCGCGCGTTGGCGGCTGAGACTCTGCTCAAGTTAGCAGCAGGCAGACTAGAAGCCCAATGCTGCGCTGCTGGAGCTGAATTGGACAACTGGAGGCGTCGGGCGGAAGCTGCGGAGACTGAGGTTCAAGCTCAGGCTCAAGCACTTAGTGCTGCTGGTACTGAAGCTAACGGAGCTAGCAGTGACAACACTGAATCTGAAGCAGCAGCGCGGGGAAATGAGAGGCTTCTACTGGAGGCGCAGACAAACGAACTTCGTAGACTCGCTGAGCTGGAAAAGATGGAGGCGAAGGTGCAGAGTCTAGAGCGTGAACTGGCAGCCAGCGAGGAGAAGACCCGTCAAATCGAGCAAGCACTGCTCGAGTCGGCCCAGCGCGTGAAAGAGCTGGAAGAGACCGAGGAAGAACTGCAGCTGCAGTTGCAGGTGGTCACTGACGAACGAGACTCGGCTCGTCAAAAGGAAGAGCAGCTCTTTGCTGAGACGAATGAGAAGGATCAGGAGATCGAGCGGATTCGTGACGGCTATGGTAAGTTTTTTTTTATCTTATCGATTGTTTGCTACTGTTTGCAATGATGCTAACTCGATCGTGCGTTGATTCAGTGTGGGTGACGGACCGCATGAACTCGAAAGAGGACGAGTTAAGTGAGCTCCAGGAACAGTTGGAGCGCTATCAATCTCTGCTCGAGATGACGGGGAGTAAAGTTACAGGAGCTGACAGCGCAGTATCCTCAAAACCCAAGGAAGACAAACTCGGTGCTGAGATTACCAAGCTTTATGTTCTGGCTATCGGTAAGGGCCCTGAAGTGGTTAAGTGGTGTGCAGCAACTATTTTCTAACACGCTTTATACCTTGCGGGTACAGGGTCGACGAACGGAATCACTGGAAGTGACGCCATGATAGCAAAACTTGCAGAATGGATTGAGGTGGCGAAACAGCCAACGATAGAGGAGCCGAAACAACAGCCACCACAGCAACAGCAACAAAACCAAAACGAACCTACCATTCCCAAGGAACCTGAAAGTGTCCCAGTCAAGTCTACGGTGACAGCGCCTGTCGAAGTAGCCAAGGTTGAAGTACAACCGGCCGTTCTACCTAATAACAACGCGCCAGCCGCGGAAGATGAAGCAGACTATGATGACGATTTCGACGAGGCCGACGAGACGGACGAAGCTCGCAAGGCCCGACGAAAATCAACCGCCACCAATTAGCTAGACATCTTCGAATGCTTAATGATCGCAACAATCTTCAGTTCAATTACTTTCGTCAGATCATTCGTCGTGCTCTTATTCTCCGCTCCGTTTGAAGCTGTTTCAAAGTTCTTCACATCGCTCACTCTTCACCAAAATAGTTCTCTTTGCTTCGGCTTCTTGTACTGCTGCTTCATCATGATCTTACCCGGAGCCAGGGAACAATTCGATGCTTTGCAGTCACCCTGGAAACTCACTCAACCGTCCCTGGCGATCATTATTTAAGTGACGGAGAGGGGAGACTATCTATCGTGCAGCTTGAAATACACCAGGACCAGTGCTGGCGATGCTGCCACTTCAGCTCGTGCTGCGCCCGGAGCGAGACGAGTGCGCCTGGCCCAGTCCACCGCGAAGTCGCTCCATGAAGCGTCGAAACTCTGCTTCATCGCCCACTCGCCGAGCAAATCCCCGCATGACCCGTGCTCCACCGTTGGCGCTGTGCCCACCAACACCCAAAACAACATCTCCGCGTCGTCGCTCTCGACATGTGACGATACACTACGACCCATGGATGACCATGCACAGCTTGGGTGTTCTGGACATTCCTCGCGCCTGCATCCACTTCTGTTCAACTATGATCGAGACGGTGGTCTCCACGACGACAACCATCGCTCACACCGTGTTTGATACGCTGCAGAGTTGGTGGAATGGAGACCAAGTGGACGACACACTGTCACTGGAGGTGGTTGAGCGCAAGCCCGAAGTCGGGTCTCCAAAAGGGATCGACGACATTTTGGAGGAGAACAACCGACTCAAACGCATGCTCGAGTTCGCCATGACCTCCCATGTCATAATGAACGAGGCCACCACGATGCTTGAGGACAGCGCCGACCTCTGGATGAAGCAGGCCGAGGATGCCGTTGGTGCCAAGGTGCACGAGGCGGAGCAAGAGCGAGACGCACTTGCACTTCAACTTGAAGGTCTTCAGGAACAGCTTGGTGACCGGGATCAGGAGATCGAACGACTGCGCGACGGCTTCGGTACGGACCCCCTGCTGGTTTTCGGCTGAGACGGTGCTGAACGATGGATGACCTTGGTCCTTGCTGTAGTGTGGGCGACGGACAAGCGAAGGAGGACGAAATCTGCGAGCTGCATGAGCGACTGGAACGCTATGAAGCGCTACTGAGGGACCTTGGAGCCACGAAGGTTGTGTAAAAATGCATCATATATATGAAGTATATGAATCAATACAAAACTACACCCACTGGTTGTTTATTCCTCCCACCCTAGCTGGTTAGCTGCCACGCTGTCGCCATCTCCGTCAATCTCTTGGCAGTTGTAGATAGCGTAGAGCAGCTTCTCGCGTAGAATAGCCTCAGTGGAATAGGCAGGAACCTCGATGGAGAAGAAACACGTATGAGCCACGGGCATGTAGGCGTCAACGCTACGACCCGCACGCTGCTGATTGAACGACTGTAGCTTGAAACGCTGCGGGAACTCTTCTGCACTGGCAGGGAGACGCGACCGTCCCCAGACGAAGCGTAAGAACGCACTGCGCTCTTCGTGGGAGAAGTCTCGCAGAGCTCGCCAAAACCAAATGATGTGGTCATCCGTAGGTGAGCAGCTGGAGTACTCGGTGCATTTCTCAAGTAAGTCCACGTCAATTTCCGGCGATCCGCACACCATGAGCTCCAACTCAGCACCTGAGAAGCATGCGAGCAGTTTTGCTGGGACGACCTTGGCAAGTCCGCGGAAGATAGCTTGGGCTTGATCATCACTTTCATGTAGTCGAGCCTGTTCCACGAGATCAGCATATTCACACCTGGAAGTGAATGTGACTGGTAGGTGGGCACCTCCCGGTTTGAGCTCGATCACACGATTATCCGCCCCTAACGTCGTGAAAGTCTCCATGACGATATCCTCGAACATCTCCTCTGTCACGCCGTAGCGGTCAATGGTCCGCATCTTAGACATAGAATTCACGAGCATCGAGTCTACAGCTGCCAGGTCGTCGAGGCCTAGACGCTCACCGGCGAGTCTTTTCCAGACAATCGGCGCCAGATTCAGCGCAAGGTATTGCTTGCTACGGATAGACGATCCCATAAGTTTACCTAGGAACTCGAGCATCTGAAGCGCCGTCGTAGACTGTGCACCAGGGCTTAGTAGCCACTTCTCGCGACCAACTCCAACGTTGTGCTGAGAATTGGGAGTGGGCAACATTAACGGAAGCTGTGTGCTTTGGAGTTCCTCACAGTATTGGGCAAAGGTCTCACGATATGGACCTCCAGCGTCTTGCGCGTTTTCACCGAGGAAAGTCACATGATACAAAGCGTCCTCGCGCCGAAAGTGAGTGCCATCCAGAGCCTGTAGTTGCCGGAACGCCTGCGAAAACAGCGTGTGTCGCCCTTCCGTATCCGTTTTCCCTGTTGTGCGGAACCGCATCGCCTTTGGTCGGTTTAGTGTCAGCTCAAATGACACACTGCTTTCATTTGTGCGCCCCAATGCGCTGTCCCAGACCGTGCGTTTAACAACGCTCAAAATCCGGTGCCTGTGCTCCATCAGGAGATTGCTCAGCAAAAATTGTCTTTCAGGCAAACTGGTATCGCCACTTGGAGCATGGAAGGCAACAAACGGCAAGATCCAATAGATCGCCGAGTTGAATTCCTGCAACAACTTGAATCGCTTGGAAAGGCGACCGTGTGTATCAACCACCGACTTGGTGGGTGCATCAGAACTTTGAGGTGGCTCATTCTTTTCCGCGTGTGATTCATTCCCCGAAGACGTCACAATCTCCACTAAGGCGGGCCACCGAACTAATTCATTTTCCTGCGGTGCGATGTCACTCCATAACCCATGCAGCAGCTGAGTCACATTGAGATCCTTGCTTTGTCCTTTCTTGTTGATGTATTTGATCAGCTGCTGGTCATGTCGAGGCAACAAGTTGTGGGGGCTGTCACTAAAACGCACCGAAGGTGACTGGAAACGACGCCGACCGACAGTCTCTTCCGAAAAGTGCGGGATCACGTAAAATTTGTACCCCCAGAATGATTCAGGCTTGCTTGAAGCCTCGCTGCTCAACCCAAACGGGAAAAACGGCGACATCGCACTACCATCTCCTGTTCGTCTACGAGCGACGGCTGGCGGGGCACATAGCTCGTTCCAACACGCATTCTCTCCTCCATCGCCAAGACTCCGGGCAAAACTTGATTTTTTGGTCGCACTGTCAGAGCTGCTGCTTGGAATGAGACTGCCTTGCTGTCCGTTTCCACTTGCATCATCGACAGTGACACCCATCCCTTCATTAAGTTTCCACCATCCGACAAGTCGAGGACTAATATCTTGAACCTTGTGGCGGTAGACTACTCGATCCCATCGCCGCTCATCGTGGTCGTAGACTTCAAAGTGCGCATCCTCTTCGGTACAAGCGGAAGCCTGAAGGAGCGACATAACTTCGCGATTCTCGAGTTCAGGCTCAAACTTGAATGGGCGCTGACCGAAATTCCATGCCAGACCTTGCGCTCCCTGAGGACTTAGGCTTGCTGCAGGATACAACTTCGCTTCTGTGCCCGTGGAATCTACAGTAGCTCCATCGTTTGATGCAGACGATAGTGACGGCTTCTCGTCAGTAACAATCTCACTCACCAGAGCGTCAAATTCGTGGTCCTTGCTGTTGCTTAGTAAAGAAGCTGCGCACTCATCGATGCTTGGCGCGACGCATTCCGCGACCATTCCACCGTTGACGTAAAACGTAAGCTTGCCCGTTCTTACGTTAAGGGCGCAGCCGATTACATCGCCATTGCGACAGAAAACATCATTCGCAAACGAGTTGGCTCCGATAGATCGACGTGGACTACTGCATCCACTAGGTTCATCCCATGTAAACGGTGCAAGGTCGCTCGCGCGAGTCGAGAGATTTGCCTGCTTCTTCGCTATGTCAATGCCAAACGAGTCGCGCTCTTCTCCAATCATCGTTGTTCGGCTTTGCATATCTACGCCGTCCAAAATCCACCCAACACACATTTTGCCACTGGATAACACATGCGCCTCATAGTATACGGTATAACTGGACGCATCGCCATTTGGTGATGTGGACACCTTCACACTGCAATTTAGCCGCACAGTGGAAATATCCTTGGAGGTTCGATTTGTGGTAACCCATTTTCGCAGATGTTGAAGTACTGCAACAGGGCGCAATGAAGCTCGTGGTGACCGCGGTGACGTGAGATACGTCATAGACGGAGACTGAGGCTTTCCTGTAGCAGAAGTGGGAGTTCCTGGTCGACTGCTGACCTTGGGTACCACATCGACGCTGTCCAAGCCTCGGAAATGACTGCGGAGCTGCTCTACTCGGAACGCGACATCCCACAGCCGGATATCGTAGAGATGACCGCAAAACGCCAAACTTGACACATCACGGTCGGTATCACCACTGTCAGCTGATGCGTTGTTCGCGTTACACAAGTCTCCAAATACTACCGCTGAATTCGATCCCAGCACCAATCTATCGGACCCTGTGCATCTACACGAGTAGATGGTGTCGCCGTTCTTAATCACTGAGATCTTCGACCCAGAAAATACCAGGGCCAAGTGAGCCCACTGACCAAACTCCATGTTACAAGAGCTTCCGTTGTCGCTTTCGACATTTGCATGACACGGTTGGGGCTCCACCAGCTTGCCGCTTGCATCTACGGCTTGAAACAATAGTTTGCACTTGCAAAATTGGTCGCATAGCAAAATAATTCGTCCCTGCGCACCACTTATTCGGAAAATTTCCATGAAGGATGCGTGTTTGGTGCGCTCGTCCACCGTATCAAATGCGTTTTTCGCAATGCACGTCCAGAATTCGATAGAACAATCACTTTTCGAGAGTGAGGATCCACTATCCTCGGAGAGTTTTAGATCCAGCCGAACTGATCCATCTAGCTCCAAGCTTCCTCCAAACTCGGGGATTGCAGCACTCAGATCGAAGCTAGTAGTAGCCTGCGGCTTGCTCGGTACAAACTCGTACACGAAAGAGCTCCCTCTTATAATAAGTGGCCCATTGTGGAACCTCGTATTCTCCACATTCTGCACGTCGTAGCGGCCATTGAATCCATATCGATACACGCGTTCAAAACCGTTCTCCTGCCATCGGACGCGCAAACCTTTTCCTCCATGCGACTCCCAAGCAGTGACCTCTTGTACGATGCCCACGCTTCCAGCTCCACCATCTTCATCGCTGTATTCCCAATCGGGAGACCTTACTACCAAGTCTCCGACAGACACCGAATGGATCACCTTGTTCGCGCTCTCAGGAGCGAATAGATGCAGATTTCCGTTTTTGTCGACTTCGCCATTGATGCCTGAAAGCACAACAGACTGTTCTTCTCCGACTGATGATGCGTCAGCAGCTTTTTCATATAAGAACCGGATTTCGTCGCCTTTGTGAAGCTTGGTTCGGTGGTCAAATCGAACCTCCAATGCCACAGCGCCATCGATCTCAATATTTTCCCGATTTGATCGGGATAGGGCTGCCGACGATGGCAATGGATGGTGGCTTTCCCTTGCAATAATCGCTGAAGACAAGTTATTGTGGAAATCCACCATCATGCCCACGGCGTCAATAACTTTGCCGTACCATTTCGGTACGACATTTTGTGGTATAAGGGCGATCGGAGAACACCTTCGATAGACAAATTCGATCCTGTTCTCGGAACTTGAGTTTGAGACCATCAATCGCACATCACTGCTTTCCAACAGCGAACGGGGGAGAGCCTCCCATACAACCAAAGCCCCAGAACCCGCTGGACCTGCGACTACGGCTGATACCGCACCGTTCTTTCGGAAAACTATAGTCTGTCGCGGTGCATCCAGTTGAACAGTGACTGTGTCTCCTTCTCGAATGCGATTTTTATATCCTGGAATTTCGGCAAAGGTATTGTCATCAGTGGATCCGAGCATGATTTCCCCACTGTCTTTCCATTGCACTAACATGGTCGAAGTTCTTGAAGTACCGACGGATGCTCCATCCACAATCCCAAAACTCACTGCTGACACCAACCTATTAAACACCAACTGAAATTGGTGGCATCCCGAAGTTGATGTACTTGCACAACTCACGAAGGTACTGACGTCCCCCGAATCAGATTGGTACGGCACGAGTAAAGGAGCTTCCATGCAGCCAGTGCTACCAAATTCTTTGAAGCAGTAGCTATCGATCGATAGATCGACTGCAACAGCACACTGAATCAGAGTTTGCAGATAGGACGACTTCATCTCCGCACGGTCTTCTGCCAGATACTTGGCACGCATCTTCACGTGCAGCAAGTCCCGCACTTGTTCAATGAGGACCGATGGAATTCCATGGAAAGCTGGGCTTTGCGACATATTACTGAGAATTTGAAGCACCCAAGTCTTGATGCATTGAGGTGAGTCATCGAGATTTGCCATCAGCGTTTGAAGAGTCTCAGATGAAAACAGCGTCTTAAAAGCGCTTGGACTCTCCTGAAAGCTAGCATCCGGGATTGCGCTTAGTACTTCTAAAATCCAGCAGGCCATAGAAAGCAGTTTGATCAGCGTTCCAGTGTCGTCGCCTTTCTTTTCTGGTTGTATTTCGTCTTCCTGGAATATACCAGTAGCGTACAGTTTGAAGCCCCAATCGTTGTTACTCGAATCAGAGTGGAAATACACTTCAAACGAGTCAGCGTCGATGTAAAGCGGAGGGCGCCCGCCAGTACCTGGCCAGTTCTCATTATCCCCTCTTCCGCCAATTTGGTCAGGGCCAATTGTTTCCGTTCGGTTTGATCCAGCCTTGTAAAACCGTAGCCAGTCACACCCAGCCTCACTTTTGCATCGCCGATCGAAAACGACCTTAATTTTTCGAGCCCCCGGAATCGATATATCCCAGTATTGTTCCGCATTATCTCGATACGGGTGCGTACTTTCCAAAATCCGGACAGCCCCACGACCTTTGGGAAGCGTTTCAGGACCACTCGAAAGAATTCTGAGGCATCGAGAAATGACAGATGAAATAACCGAATCATCATCGCCACTCAACACCATGTGCTTTAACCGCTTCCGTAGGGCAAGAAGAATACCCGGCTGATCCTCAAAATCGTTTCCTAAGAAGAAGTGAGACAAAAGCAGCAGAAAATCTTCGGGGTTTCCAAGTGCCCCAAGTGGTACTGGGGCTTGCTTTGAATCGCAGGACAGGAATGTCAGAATTGCGTCTCGTGCTGCTTTTGTCGCCAAAGCGCGATGCGTATCGTACGCTAAGCTCTGGAATCGGTCTGTCTGCCCCTTGAACTCGTCGAATACGAATGGAGAGCATAGGCCTGTCAGGGACTTTTCTTCCTCATTGCTCTCGTCCATTTCCAATACCGAGTGTCTGGTTTCAAAGTTAAGGTCATCCACTCCCAGCGTTAATAGATCTTCTCCGTTCGCGCAAGCTGTCGAGGGGCTGGCATACACGCAATCTCCTGTTCGCTGCCACACCCAACCGCAATCTACTCCAACAAGCCGAGTAACATCTTGGGATGTAACTCGGAGCCATCCATTCGGGCAGGTCTCCGCGCAAAATTCCGTCCCGTTCTCAAGCTCAGCTAGAACAGGCGATTCACAATCCTTTTCCTGATAGATCTTGAGTCCATCTTCGTCAGTAACCCGAAACTGTAGCAACTTTCTTAGGAATGAGCTGCTTCTCGTAGTCACACGAGTTGTATCTTGCGATCTAGACGGTGAAAGCAGCTGCCGCAGTAGATCCGGGGTCTGCTTTTCCTGGCATGGCTCACCATTGTCGGCAAACTCTTCGAATTCGCTCTTAAGCGGGATCCGCTGGTGATTCGTTTTCTCATACAACGTCTCATACAGTCTGTACGACCGAGCGTCAAGCTGCTTCAAACTTTTATCGAGAGGAAACTCAGGTAAAAACTCCGCCGTAACATTGAATTTCCAGCCCCAGTCGACATTTGAGCCATCCGTGCTCCATAACAAAGTAAACGAGTCAGCAGGAATGACAAGAGGAGGTCTGTCTTCGACACCAGGCCAGTTAGCATCGCTGCCTACTCCACAATATTGGTAGGCGCCCCATCGATCCGTGAGTGACTTGTCCTTAAAGAAACACAGATAGTCACATCCGTGTTCGGTTCGAGACTGAGGATCAAATGTTATCGTCAGTGTAGACGCACCACTGAATGTCACTTTCATGTACTCCATCACCGAGTTTGCATATGGATGCTTCGATTCAAATACCTGTGACTTCGGCGAGGATTGAATTGGGCGACCATCGCAGGGGTCATTCGCGATCTTCGTTAATGAAGGCAAGAGACCAACAAAGGTAGGCACGATGTCTGCCGGCTTTTGCGACCGCAGAATTTGCCCGAGAGACTTGATGCACCTCGCCCGAATATCGGTCAATGCACTCGTCAGGACTGGTGGTGGGATTTCCGGAGGGTAAATCAGAGCCTCTTCAAAAGCGTGCGCAGTGAGCTTAAAACCCCAGTCTGAAAGTCCATTAGACGAGCCCTCAGTGCAAAAGTGAACATCAACACACCCAGCTGGAATGTGAAGTGGAGGTGTTGCTCCCACTCCCGGAAAAGCATCCCCGTAGTATTTTTCTTCGCCCCAATAAGCGTCATCGTCCCCAGCGCTTTCTTTTTTCTCCCCTTCCCGCTTTTTGAACTGAATGTAATCGTTTGGTCCAGCTGTACTTGACATTTGATCGAACCGCACGATAATTTCGCTGGCCCCACGGAAATTGAGTGAGTACGTTACATCTTCGCCAGCAGCGTAGGGATGCTCGCTTTCAAGCACTTCAACATTCTCCTTCTTCGTTATTTTGGGTTGGTACGGTCCGGTGGACTGCGATGCGTCATCACTCAGAGCAAGAACGCTTTGAAAGGAATCTTTCAGCTCTGATGCAAAGGGAACCATTCGTTTTACAAAAGAGGAAAGCTCGGATGTCTCGATGTCATCGAAGTGAGCAACGTCGGTCAATGGTACATCAACGGTGCTCGACTGATCGCAGTCAAAAATGACGCGCGCGAACTGAACTCCATTCTTCATGCGGAACTGAACCAAATACCCTGTTTCAATCATCTCCTTGCCGTCAACATTCACGCAGCAGCTTACTCTACCTCCGATATAAGCGCCTCCGTAGTTCCCACCAAGTAACGCAAGCGATGCTAGTACTTGACTCATCGCTTGCTCTGATATTGTGTTTCCACGTGCTCCAACAGATCGTATTCCAGCCATCACCAACTCGAAGACCTGCTCGTCCCAGCAGGTGCACGCTGCGGCACTTCGAAGCAGCGATACATACGCTGACACTAAACTGGCCTCCCCCTGCGCTGAGGTTCGTAGCTTCAAAACACTTTCATCCTCGTCTTCTTGCGCACTCGCCCCTACTTCAACAGGTTTGTCTACTTCGTATGAGCTCCAAACGTTGAGTCCTTGGCCCAGACTCTTGAAGACAAAGTTTATGAATCCACCCGTCTCACCTGGAAGAGCTTGCGTAAGTTGAGCATCCATTACGTCTGCGCTCAACATACCAGCGAGGTCTTTCAGTACCCGGATACCTCCGACTCGGATCTCTACGGGCACACGGTCGTCGAAGGACAAAAACATCAGATTTCGAAGATTTTCTGGAATACCAATAAGACTCCGCCCGAACGAGGTTTCCGCGCACGTTCGGATCAATCCGAGTATGTGTAAAGTTCGCTCCGCTGGGACACAGTTCGCCACGACGTCTGCAGATGGAAAGCTTGTCTGGATCTCGGATGTCAAGTCACTTTCCGAAATAGGATAGCTGAGCACCTTTGGTTGATAAATCCAGCATTTTGCCGCAGGCTCATCTAGGACGCGACCTGGAGCCTCTCCAAAGTAGAATGGATACGGGTTCAAGTGCGATACAGGACTCATTGTCTCTTCATCGGACGTAGCAAATTCCGGTGACGCCAAAATCCGGAAACCCCAGCTGTTCGAGCTGCCCTCATTATGAAAATATACCAAAAACCGATCGGACGGAATTTCAAGGACATTAAAGTCTACATCGGGAGCATCTGACTGCTGAAGGGTTCGAGCACGATTGCTCTGAGCTCCAGGAAAATTTCGTTCCGGGTCACTATACTTGCCAGTATACTTGTCTTCGCCCCAATATTCCACACACTTTGCATCTTTGTAAAAACGAACAAACCCTGTAGATCCGTCAATGTCACACAAAGGATCAAAAGTCAACCGAATCTTGACAGCGCCGGGAATATGAACTGGGCAGTATTCATCGATCGAGTCTTCAAGCGGGTGTGCAGACTCTATAATAGCAGATTCAGCTGGATTCACATTCCCATTCATCACTAGGAATGACTCGAGGAGATGCTGCGAAACCATTGAACCATTCACAAAAATCTTCAGGATATCCTCGTCCTGCACGATAGCAACATGAGACCACTGATCAGCGTCGAGTTCGTAATCGGTCTCAAATTCGCTTTCCTTGTCGGATCCACAGGCAATTTTGTACACGAGCATCCGTGAATCTGTCAAAAACAGACCGAAATGACTCCATGGCTTTGCCGCAGCTGTGTCTTTAATCATATTTTTGTTGCCCTTGAAAAAGATTGCGCCGCCCATGCCTTCATCCACTAAAACCACATCAAAAATACCGTTCTTTGGGTCAAATTTGCATTGAGAGGTGAGCCCGGATGAGTTCCATCGAACTTGAACTTTCGTTGGAGCAGGAATGCTGATGATGGTCCCAATGTCGGAACCACTGTCTTCGGAATCATTTCCGCTCCAGCTTGGCCCCCTGCGAACTTCATCTCCCAGTTTGAGGGCATACAGCGGTCCCTTGCTTGGACAATAAACCCACAGCATAAGCGAGTGGTTCCAACTCACGGCATTGCTTTGAAGGCACGGCGCTGTAAAACCAGGGGAGTTTTCGGGAAGATACTGAGGAGATGACTTCGCTGACCCGTCGTGACCCGAGCTTAGTGAAGATTTGATAGCTGACACAATTCCATCAAGCTGGTGGCCAACTGCTGAGAATAATTGCCGTTGGAATGCGGACACATCGTGGACATCCGTAGAAGTGTGTGCATCATCATTACCAGCCACTTCATCTGGGCTCGACTCAACTCGTCCTGCTATGAAACGAGAAAGAAGAACGCCCAACAGCGATTGGGCAGCGTTTCGGATCGGAACCGAACTTGACGAGAGGAGACGCAAAATTTGCGGCAAAATCCGACTTTCTTGAAGCAAGTATGAATCCTCTAGGTCATAGTCAAGCGCACAGCATCGTAAGACAGCAGTTACCAACCCAGAATTTGTACCATCATCCTCAATTGAAGCGAGCTGCTTGGCGAAAAGAGCAAGACAATTGCTGAAAGCCTCCGCAATTCGTTGTCGTAGTAACTCATCGCATCCAGGCAATAACGTATCGAAGTGCAATCGTGGAAAAGAGTCCAACGCCATTGCTGAGCTCATCGTAACCGAGCCAGGCACATTGGTGGGAGAATTGGCAACGGCGAAGCACTTCAGCGTAGACGTGAACGACTCGAGCAAAATCCCTCTCAAGCGTGGACTCGGGCAATCTTGGAGTGACTGGATAAACACTTCCATGCCTAGTGCCCGGCTCGCTGCTCTCTGGTTTCGGATTTCGATCACTTTTCGCACTTCTGCTACATCCACATCACTCTGAATAAACTCAAGAACTTGCTCAGTGACCGATTTCACTTGTCCATGTTTGAGACGCTCACTAGACGATCTCCGGTACTGGAAAAGGCTTCGTAGTTCAGTTGCAGCTTGCAGCTCGTCCAATAAATTGTACCATTTGTCCAGTTGGGTATCGGAAGAACTCTGCTTTCCAATCGCATGTCCGTACTTTGCCAAGAGCCCCCATCTGCGTTTTGCACCGGTAACGTACGCAAATGAGACGGGAGTTATTTCCAGCAAGAATCTAGCGCGTTCAATGACATTATCGCACAAAATCGCGAGTGATTCCTCGGAGAGCCCCTTGTAAGCGGATGGCTGTCGTCGAAGTCGCCCAGAGCGTCGTCGGTTGGGCATCATTTGCCCATGGATGCCAGCATCTGCAGCGTCGCCAAGGTGAAACCAATCTCGCATCTTCTGCGCATTCTTCCAGCCTCGAAGAAGCTGCTCGGATATATCATCGCGCAAGTTTTGTGTGAATGCGTACGCATCCATTCCCCACATATTGTGATGCAAGATAGCCGCTGCCACAGCTCGAACCGCTCTGTTCACTGATTTGTTTGGGCCGGAACTTGTAATCTGATCAAATGATGTTGATCGTGCTAAGGCTAGAGCTGGCCGGGCCGCACCTGACCTTTCTTGAAGGGCATTAATCACCTTCTCTGCACCTGAGGATTCTGACGGATCCACAAAGTCTTGTAACAGCTGCAGCACTTCTGCATTTTTGTTGACTTCGGTGCACACACCACTTTTTAGCAGATCGCTCTGCAGAAACCGCTCGTTCTGTATCTCCATGTCTCCAATTGGTGCAAATGCACTTCCGTCCACTAGAAGTTTCATGCTCTCATCCAAGAGTTGAACTACACTCTCCATCAAGAAAACAATCCAGTGCTGCTGCAAGCTCTTCTTCTTTTCTAGAATCTCGGCTGTCACCGTGAACTTGTAACCCCAATCTGTATTCGAGCCGTCGGAGTGGAAGTAGACAAAACAGTGGTCACTTTCGATAACCAATGGAGGGTTATCACCGACTCCAGGCCAATTGTGCTCTGAGTCACGTCCGGAGTAAAACTGGCTTCCGTAGTATTCCCCCTGACTTTTGTCCTTGTAGAAAGTCAGGTAATCATAATTGACTTCTGTTCGCGATCTCGGGTCAAACGTGATCACCATACGACTAGCCCCAGGGACCTGAAGTTCGGTAAGTGCGTCCATGTTGTTTTCATACTCGTGAGACGACTCCATCGTTTCAGTTTTCACAGCCATTGAGATATTTTCCACAGTGTGCTCTCTCTTGGTTGGTTCAATCAAAGACACGAGAGCGTCCAAGCTCGCCATGAACTTCAACATTTTGGATGAGTTATCCTTAAGGAGTTTAAACAAGCGTGATGACACGAATGAAGTAGCGTCACCACCTCGCAGGCTTTCACCGTGCCCAAAAGGTTTATATTCACCCCCATCCTGATCTGAAACCAGCGATGCAATGTTCTTGTGATTTCGCAAAAACATGATTCCCGACGAAAGTACGACAGGCGCCAATACCCCAACAAACCCATCCTTGAGCACGTTTTCCATTCGAGTCCATTGAGCTTGACAGCCTTGCTGCTTTGTCTGGGGTGCTAAGCTGGAGAAAATGTCAGAGCAAGCATCGCGAATTGCATCGAATATCACTATCGCAACATCAAACGCTCTCCGATTGCTTATACCATCGGCGCAAGTGAGAGCCACGAATGACGCTTGCGTTATTGCATTCACGAGTGAAATCAACTCGAAGGAACTTTCGTTACTATGCAGAAGAACGGCCGCCTTGATTTCTTCAGACGCACCCTCTGACTGGGTACAATCAGCTTGAAGTTGCTGCTGCTGCATTGCCACTGCATAATCAACCAGCTTCAAGAATTTCGCCACCGCAGCGTCAGACGCTACCATCGACTGGTAGATAGCATCCACACGAGTGCACAAATGTGCAAGAAGGCGAGCCAATATCTTCAGCTCCATTCTCGTCGCTTTTGATTGCTGCCACAGCTCCAAATACTTAAGAACGTGCGAAAACTGTTTGCTAACATCCGAGTGGAAAATACGAATGGACGTCGTGTACAGATCCAGGGCGACAGATGCCACTTGTATTTGACTCTTCTCAGCAATCTGCAATGAAGTCGAGTGTCGGACCGACGCTGGAGGCATTTGGATTGCGAATTCATTGGCGTGATCCTCACTGGAAAATTCAAGAAGCTTGTCAAGAGGGGCTGGCAAACCTGACATCAACAGCTCAGTTGAATCGCGCTTGCGACGACAGTCCGCGTGCAGGAGCAAGCTCTCTAGATTCTTGTTTAGAATCCCAAGGCATGCTTGCAGAATGTAGGCTTGAACGATCGAAACTTGGTTCTTCTTGAATGCTTCAACATACTTCGACGTGAAGACCAACAAGAACTTAAACGTCTCGACCTGTACGTCAATGGCGAATGGTATCCTTGTTCGAGAACTAGTACCTTGACCAAACATCTCATCAGCTGCATCACTTGCGATTGCGTTTTTGTACAGGAAGCCCAGCAGCGTAAGCGTTGTTGTTTCGACGTCCACCACGTCTTCACCACTTTCTACTGCAGTAATGGTACCAACGTCGGGAGGGATAGAGTTCTCGTCCAAAGGTATCCGCTTCCCAGAGTTTTTGTACGATCGAAGAACTTTCTTTTCCTCGTCGAATAGCCACAGCAAATTATTTCTTGCATCGAAACACACCGACGCAGGAGGAAGGGAGCGCTCTGAACATCCCGAACATCCCCCGCTTTCTTGCTGCTTCTTGCTCTGACCACTTTCGCAATCAAACATCACGCAATGAACACGATTCTTCGACGATGAGTCTGCTTCGGCGTTTGGATCTACAACGACCACCCCCAGCGAAGCACCATTCGTATAAAAGCAGGGTAGATCTACATCCAGCTTGCCTTCATTGCTCATCGCCATGCTGCGGATTTTTGCCAGGCATAACAAAAAATCACAGCACTGGATTGCCTTTTCGTCCAAGACAAATTGACGTGTGACCACAAGCTCCTTTCCTCCGCTCGAAACAGTTTTCGGGGTGATAACTGAAACTCCAATATCACCAAGCCCCATATTAACTTCGTAGATGAATCTTCCTTCAGTGACGTAGGCGTAAAAAGGCACTGACAACCTCACTTGTGCAACGGAAGGTGATGGCGCATCTTGCACTCGCAGGATTTCTAGAAGTGCTAGATCTTTAGGACATATACGAAGCAGTTGCCGGCATCGGCGAGTCGTTTCCCGAACCAGCATTCCACTTACATCGATCTCTGGATACATCACGTTCAGGTACAACGAGCCACCGCAGTAAAGAAGACTTGACATGTAGACATCACGGGCCCTTTCCTCAGCGTCGACAAAGCGATCGCCTTCATGAAGGAGTTGCGCCCCCACCGAGTCAGAATCATTGCTAGCTGCAAAAATCACCATCAGTTTCTTGGACTCTGTAATCTTTTCTGGGGAGATGTCAGACAATGTTAGAAGCTGCTCGAGGAGATCGTGGGTAAGCACGATAACCATTTCGCCACTATCATCAACCGAAGTGGTTTTCTTCTGCTCCAGTCGCTTAAGGAATTCTAACAGCGCTTCGTTGCTCAAGACATCCAAGTCACCGTACCACGCGCGACAGATCCTTACATTGCCGTCTCCACTGTCTGAAGGAAGAGATGGGAGAGCAAATATATCCCCATTTTCAAGAATGCAAACGTCCTGGTGCTTGCCAACGCTGTACGAGACTAGCAATTTACGCGCAGTGAAAGATTCAGCTAGGTCAGAAGCACCAAATATGTCTTGGACCGTCCTATCCAACGAACTCGTGGTGGTAAGAACCCTCACCATTTCCTCCCTTGCAACTTCAGACACATCCGTGACTTGCTCTCCAAAGCCATACACCAACTTTCGTACGGTTCGCTTCTCCTCAAGAACTCCCATATAAACGCTTGCTGGAAATTCACCATATACTCGTCCAGCAATAGTAAAATTGAGTCCCGTTCCGATTTTTGCAAGCCCTTTCGCCAAACTCCACGTGTATGCATAGCTTCCATCTGTGGCCAAGGAAGTCGATGACAAACTGGAGTTCAAAACCGGTGAATCATTCTCAACATCTCCGTTGGCTGCAGGGTCCACGTCACCCGGGAGCGCCTTTACTGCAACCTTTTTCACAAACGTGATGTCCTCGAACGTTCCTAACGCAAAATCAATGCGGTATGACTGCATTCGCACCATGAAGACTTTGACCCATGCTGAAAATGGATACCCTTGCACAGGCAATGTACTCGCCGCTGTTTCACGTGGCATGGCGAGCAACTCCGCGACGAATTCAAGCAGCAAGCTGACGCGTCCGCTGCTCACTCCAAGCGCTAGCAGCAGAAGGAGAGTAACCTGACGGTGGACATCAGTAAGCCCTTGCTGTCCCTGCAAGATATCCCGGCAAAATCTGTGCAAATCGTTCAAAATGGCGTCCTCGGGGGTATGCGCACCAATATCACGTAGTGCAAATGGAGGGCTGTCCAACAAAGTCTGCACGAGCGCCATGACCCCAGTCTCGAACAGTCGAGGGCTGAACCCGCGGAATTCGCGCAGCATCTCCAGCTGCAAGCGCAGCGATCCGACCGAGAAAACACTGGCCACCGTCACATCCTGCGAGATCTTCTGTCCTTCAGCGGCCACGGGCAGCAGCCCTGGGGACGACATCACACTTGCAGTCTCCTTGGTCTCCTCAGCTGCTCTCAGATCTTCTTCTTTCGTAGTTTTCTCCTCTGAAGCCATCTGCTTCTGCTTCATCCTCGCTGCGATCTGCTGGAAGTAAACTTGCAGCAGCTCGTCGCGCTGGGCTCGAAGTTTCTCGCTCTCGACGCTCTCCGGCGACTCTCTGGACAACGTGTTCCCCACCATCCTGGCTAGAGCACTGGGCGGGTTCTCCTTGGCTGCAGACGACGTCAGCGAGGACGTCGCAAGGGCTGAAGCCGACGGAGAGCCCGGTCTGGACCCGGTCTGGTCCCCAGCGGCACCCTCGTCCCTCTTCGTGCGTGCAAAGAGCTTGATGCGCGCCATGTCCGTCGCGTGCTGAAGCTCATCCATGGGCGCCTCATCCAGCCCGGAGACCGTCGTCTGCGCCCCCTCCAATACCTTGCCGCCGCCCAGTTTGGACGTCGGCGGCGCGCTTGAAGCCGCCAGCAGCTCCTGGTACTTCTCCACCACGAAGCCCTCGTCGTGCAGCAGCGTGAACGGCACGCCCGTGCGCCACGCGCGCGCCGCCAGCCGCTCGTCCTGAGGGTCCGGAGGACTCGGCGCGTCGGCGGCGGCGGCGCCGGCATCGCGGGACGCCTGCGCACCCATCGAACCTCGACGCTTCCTGTCGGAGTGTATGTACTTCAAGGCAAGTGCGATAGCCGGGCGAAAAGATTCTGGTCACTTTAGTGACCTCAATCCCCCGCTCGAGTGCAAGTGGTCGAAAATTGGTCAATTACGACGGGCGATGGCAATTTGACTGGCTCCGCTGCGTTTGCGGTCTCCCCCCGGTCTGTATGGGCGCTCAGTATTGGAATTGTCGCCGTAACCCCGCGTTCGCCTACACTTCCTCGCCTCTTTCGCCATGGCTTCTGTCGCTGCTAACCGCCCCGTCGTGTCCGTCCTCTCCGTGGAGGGCGAGTCGGCCACCGTCTCGTCGCAGGTGGTGCTGCCGGCCGTGTTCACGGCCCCGATCCGCCCGGACGTGGTGAACTTCGTGCACACGAACATGGCCAAGAACCGCCGCCAGGCGTACGGCGTCTCGCGCGAGGCCGGCCACCAGCACTCTGCCGAGTCGTGGGGCACGGGCCGCGCCGTGTCGCGTATCCCGCGTATCCAGGGCGGCGGCAACCAGAGCTCCGGCCAGGCCGCGTTCGGCAACATGTGCCGTGGCGGTCGCATGTTCGCGCCCACGCGCATCTGGCGCAAGTGGCACCGCAAGATCAACGTGAACCAGCGCCGCTTCGCCGTGGCGTCGGCCCTAGCCGCCTCGGCCGTGCCGGCCCTGGTGATGGCCCGCGGCCACCGCATCGAGAAGGTGCCGGAGGTGCCCCTCGTGCTGGACGACGCCGTGGAGGCGACCCAGAAGACGGCCCAGGCCCTGAAGGTGCTGGCCAAGATCGGCGCTGACGTCGAGATCGAGAAGGTGAAGGCCTCGAAGAAGCTGACCACCGGCCGCGGCAAGTCGCGCAACCGCCGCTACACCACCCGCCGTGGCCCCCTGATCGTGTACGCCAACGCGAACGGCGCCGAGAAGGCCTTCCGCAACATCCCGGGCGTGGAGCTCGCGAACGTGGAGCGCCTGAACCTGCTGCAGCTGGCCCCCGGTGGCCACCTGGGCCGCTTCATCATCTGGACCAAGTCTGCGTTCCAGAAGCTGGACTCGCTGTACGGCACGTACTCGAAGAAGTCGGCCTCGAAGTCGGGCTACCAGCTCCCGCGCCACCAGATGAACAACGCCAACCTGGGCCGTCTGATTAACTCCGACGAGATCCAGTCGGTTGTGCGCGCCGGCAAGTACGAGAAGCACCGCCGCTTCCAGAAGAAGAACCCGCTCAAGAACCTGGGCGCCATGGTCAAGCTCAACCCGTACACGCTGGTGGCCCGCCGCGCCGAGCTGCGCGCCGAGGCTCTGCGTGCCGAGAAGAAGGCGGCTGTGGTCGGCAAGAACCGCAAGAACACGTGCAAGACGGACCCCAAGCGCAAGGCCCAGTCGCGCGCTCTGTTCGCCAAGAACTCGTCGGACTAAGCGTACTGCTGCTGACGTTTGTGGAAGCACTTGCGCTCGCGTGCAGGGTGCTGTCTTCGCTTGGAGGAAGCTGCTTAGTCGCTGTGCACTACGTGTAGTGTGCTAGGTTGGGGAGCCCGAGTGAAGGCCGCAAAATCAATGAAAGAACGCCATGAAAGAGGCAAATCGGATTCAGTGCTGTCTTTATGTTTTCATTTTTTGTGGTAGTGTACGTACAGTGAGAGTCCTACTCGGAAGCAGCGTTGCCACGAAGTGTGATTGCATGCAAGTGTGTTCGCATCCACATCCACTAAAGCTATGACGTGCACAGAGTTGCTTCGCTTTTACTGTGGTATTTCTTGCTGATGCAGTAGGGAGAGGTTCTCGTTGACATGCATTTTTTGTTACAGCTGCACGTACAATACGAGTTCAGAGTTGCTCTGCTTTCGATGGCAAAATCGATAGACGTTTGGTATCAGCTTGCTTTTGTGTATAACATGGCAAAGTAGCAAACCACACGCACAAGTACGAGTGAGCACTTCCTATAGAGCGGCCCTCGTGCCATGAAGTGATTGAATGAACGTAATTCGTATGAAAACCTGCATAGAAAAAATAAGCATTCTTCGACTATTAGCATCAATGTCTCTTCCTCTACAGTTCGACAATTCGCTGACAGAGCACGATAGTTGCAATGGCCACGCCGCCAGCAGGATTCAGGCTTGCATACGTGCTGGTTCATGCTGGCGCGACGTCCACTGTGGTTACCAAGTCCAACGCAACCGTGGACGCACTCCGGGCATTAATCAAGGAAAGTCCAATGGCTCCTGGTTGACGGTGACAGTGGAAGGTGTCGGGCGTGTCGACCGGTAGCGTCTGTCGAGTAGCTTTTGGTAACGGAAAATGAGATGAATTGTACGGAGTTTGTACGTGACTTCGGATTCCCGGACGTGAACATTCCGCCACAATCTTGGAAATTCCACGTGCTGGTGTTGATTCCTGGTCGTCCGTAAGCCGCAGTGGATTCCAGAGGAGGAATCAATAAAACAACTAGGCTTCAGATTCGGGAATAGCTCGCTCCTGGATATGACTTGGGAAGTGGCCATCAAACAGCTACACGATCTTCATCTCGTAAAGTACAATGCTTTACTGGACCCTACTCGATCATTTGACTGGCAGATACCACTGGTAGATAACGAGTATGACCTAAGCAGAACGGGGCTTGGATTCCAGTATATCAACCGATGCAGAGAAATAAATGAAGCGGGTGAATTCGCCACCTCACGAGGAGCTGTGTTCATGTCGTACAGTTCGTGTTGCGGTGTACACAAACATTTTGTCGGCGAAAAGTCACTTTCGACTGTAATGAACAAGGCTATAAGCGAGGCCGTTCACCGGAAGATTGTGCCTGCCGTCAATTCCCGTCACAAAGTCAGCAATGAGTTTCGGAAACCGTTTGGTAGACGTTGTGGGACCACTTCTTCTCGTCATTGATGGAGTTGAATTTCCGAACCCTCCTGAGGACGTGCATTCAGTGGAACTGTTTACGAAATTCTGTATACAAGTTTTGAAGCCGTGGCTGCACGTTCCGAAGTTGTATGTCGTGTTTCATGCAACGTTAACGTTTATTTACACGCTCTGCCAAAGCAGTCCGTGCGATGCCTGCATCGCGACGCGAAGAATTTCTTCCCAATGCGAGCGTCCTGGCGTAGGGCTTTTGCGGGGAGAGAGGTAGATGTATGCCTTACACGTGCCGTGTTCTTCTTCAAACCCAAAAATTGCACCCGACGGGTTGGGTTCATCATTGTGTATGCGTAAGGAGGGGCGGGCAGCACAAACACAGCGTTCTTGTTCTAAGCAAGTGGAACCATGTTGTGGTACGAACTTTCCTGTTATACTACTGTAGAACGTGTACTAAACCAGGCTAACACCTACCGTTGTCCTTGAATTTACCTTCGAGTGCAGAGCAGTTCGGAACACGTAGTTATCGATAAGGAAAGAAGCACCAGTGAGCAATAACAAAAAAATGAATGTCAACGAGAACCTCTCCCTACTGCATCAGCAAGAAATACCACAGTAAAAGCGAAGCAACTCTGTGCACGTCATAGCTTTAGTGGATGTGGATGCGAACACACTTGCATGCAATCACACTTCGTGGCAACGCTGCTTCCGAGTAGGACTCTCACTGTACGTACACTACCACAAAAAATGAAAACATAAAGACAGCACTGAATCCGATTTGCCTCTTTCATGGCGTTCTTTCATTGATTTTGCGGCCTTCACTCGGGCTCCCCAACCTAGCACACTACACGTAGTGCACAGCGACTAAGCAGCTTCCTCCAAGCGAAGACAGCACCCTGCACGAGAGCGCAAGTGCTTCCACAAACGTCAGCAGCAGTACGCTTAGTCCGACGAGTTCTTGGCGAACAGAGCGCGCGACTGGGCCTTGCGCTTGGGGTCCGTCTTGCACGTGTTCTTGCGGTTCTTGCCGACCACAGCCGCCTTCTTCTCGGCACGCAGAGCCTCGGCGCGCAGCTCGGCGCGGCGGGCCACCAGCGTGTACGGGTTGAGCTTGACCATGGCGCCCAGGTTCTTGAGCGGGTTCTTCTTCTGGAAGCGGCGGTGCTTCTCGTACTTGCCGGCGCGCACAACCGACTGGATCTCGTCGGAGTTAATCAGACGGCCCAGGTTGGCGTTGTTCATCTGGTGGCGCGGGAGCTGGTAGCCCGACTTCGAGGCCGACTTCTTCGAGTACGTGCCGTACAGCGAGTCCAGCTTCTGGAACGCAGACTTGGTCCAGATGATGAAGCGGCCCAGGTGGCCACCGGGGGCCAGCTGCAGCAGGTTCAGGCGCTCCACGTTCGCGAGCTCCACGCCCGGGATGTTGCGGAAGGCCTTCTCGGCGCCGTTCGCGTTGGCGTACACGATCAGGGGGCCACGGCGGGTGGTGTAGCGGCGGTTGCGCGACTTGCCGCGGCCGGTGGTCAGCTTCTTCGAGGCCTTCACCTTCTCGATCTCGACGTCAGCGCCGATCTTGGCCAGCACCTTCAGGGCCTGGGCCGTCTTCTGGGTCGCCTCCACGGCGTCGTCCAGCACGAGGGGCACCTCCGGCACCTTCTCGATGCGGTGGCCGCGGGCCATCACCAGGGCCGGCACGGCCGAGGCGGCTAGGGCCGACGCCACGGCGAAGCGGCGCTGGTTCACGTTGATCTTGCGGTGCCACTTGCGCCAGATGCGCGTGGGCGCGAACATGCGACCGCCACGGCACATGTTGCCGAACGCGGCCTGGCCGGAGCTCTGGTTGCCGCCGCCCTGGATACGCGGGATACGCGACACGGCGCGGCCCGTGCCCCACGACTCGGCAGAGTGCTGGTGGCCGGCCTCGCGCGAGACGCCGTACGCCTGGCGGCGGTTCTTGGCCATGTTCGTGTGCACGAAGTTCACCACGTCCGGGCGGATCGGGGCCGTGAACACGGCCGGCAGCACCACCTGCGACGAGACGGTGGCCGACTCGCCCTCCACGGAGAGGACGGACACGACGGGGCGGTTAGCAGCGACAGAAGCCATGGCGAAAGAGGCGAGGAAGTGTAGGCGAACGCGGGGTTACGGCGACAATTCCAATACTGAGCGCCCATACAGACCGGGGGGAGACCGCAAACGCAGCGGAGCCAGTCAAAATACGAAAATTTTGACTTTAGAGAAAGTCTAATATTTTAATAGGAACGACAATATTGTTGTACGGACGGATCTTGAACAGACGTACTACGCCGCATGAAGGGCGGCAGCAAGTTCACGGATGCTGTCGTATCCTTCGAGTCGGCATGGATCTGCGCGGCCGAAGTCGATGTCCAGCGCGAGGAGGAGGAGCGCGTGGAGGCGCTGGCCAAGCTACGCAAGCAGAGCGTCAAGGACAAGTACGAGCTGGCCAGCGCCGCCACTCGCCTGGACCAGGAGCTGAAGGAGCAGCAGCTGCAATGGAAACGGAAGACGGAGATGCGGCGGCTGCGGCAACTGCCAACCGATGAGCGCGAGATGGCGGCCAAGGTGGCTGAGGCCAATAGCAACAATAACAGGAAGAAGGGCAGCATCTACGCGATGGAGAACCTGCGGCTGGCCATGCTGATGAAAGATACCAAGTTGCGCCAACGAGTGAAGAGGTAAGAGGGCATTCTTTACAGTCAGCGAACCTATTATTTATTAGACTAACGTGCTGTTTGCTAGGAAGAAAATTCGCCCGCGCATTGTCCAGGATATGCTGGCGCTGGAGCGACGCTACGCTGAGGTGCGTGCTGCATTGGCCATTTGGCTTAAGCTTTACCTAATTGTTTCTTCTTCATTTTATTTATTGTGAGTAGGGGGCTCGCCGACTGCAAAAGTGGTGGCGGGACCACTTGCACCGTCAATTTTGGCGCGTGTACTTCCGACAGGTGAAAGCGGCAGTGCAGATTCAACGCATTGCGCGTGGGTTTTTGACAAGACGTTGGGTTCGCATTTGGCACGCAAATCGCACAATCCGGGTGACGAGGTTGCAGACCCTCTTTCGTGGATACTACATTCGATATAAAGTAGTCTCGACGTGGAAACGATGGGAATACATTAATGCGGCCAAGATTCAGTCTATCATCCGGATGTACTTCGCGAAGAAGTTTTGTCGCCATTATAAGAGGGAGATTGCGGCGCTGCATATTCAGTCAGCTTGGCGAGGGTTCGCCTCACGGAAGAGATCAGATATACGTTGGCTAGAAGCGCGAGCTATTAATTTGCAGCGACTGGTTCGTGGTACTCTGGCTCGGAAATTTACACGAAGGAGAGCAGCGCGCTTAGAAAGTGGCGCCATTCAGATCCAGCGTATGTTCCGTGGGATGAAAGCTCGAATGGAGATAAATACGCTGTTACGTGATAGGGAAACTCGCAACCGTCAAGAGTTCATGGCAGTGCTGGAGGCTGAGGAAGAATGGCATCGCATTCAACGTGACAAGTTGCAGGCACGGTTGAATCGTAAGCAGCTACAGCAGCGGTAGGCTTGAATGATGGTAGCACAGTACCCCTCCCACAACTCACATCATTTCATGAATTTGCAGCATTGCTCAGCTTGAATTCGACTACTTCACCCAGCACGAGCACATTCACGATGTACGTAATATATATCTTGTTCGACACTTGCACATGTCTTGCTAACAGACTCTCTCCTCGTAGATGGAAAGCATATACCTTGACATGCAGACGCAGCGTATGCGGGTATCCCCCCGTGCTATCGAGCATGGATGGGTTGAAGAGATGGAAGCCAAGATGAAGCAACAGCGCGCTCTTATTACCAAGCTGAAGCTTGATACAGTGTTCGGCCTTGGGCTAGAATTTAAGCGTAAAGAGAAAGAACTCATCGAATTTCAGCAGCGCATATATGAGCTGGAGCAGAAGCGTCGACGGGTAACAATATCTAGCGGGTGTGTGGTAGTAAGCGTGTTAACGGTTATGCGCGTTGTGCTTGTCGTAGTTTGAAATCTGGAGAAACGAAGAGTTCCTGGACTATTGGGAGGTACGTGCAGCATGGCACAGCTTCAAAGTAAACGAGAAGATTGGGAACTGATTACAAAGTCTATCAATTCTAGCGCGAGTGCAGATTCCGGTACCAAGAAAAATTAATTCAGAGACGCCAGCAAATTGCCGAAACGCGACGGAGGTGGCAAATTCAGTTCTACAGGACAAACGGCAAACGTGACCATCGTTGGCGAGGAATCAATTGGGCCCAGGATGTACTGGATGCGGCGAAAGAAAAGGAAGTGTTTTGCATAGGTTCCACTGACATTCTTGCTCTGGTGCAAGATAAATGGCGGCTCCGGATGCAGGGAATCGAGTCAACAGGGCAAATTCTGGATGACGAGGAAAAGGGACGCGATACACGAGATCATATCAGAGATTTGACGGATCAAGTCGCTCTCACTGCAGCTACAGCTCAGATTGAACAGACCAAGGCGCTGTTTGATCCAGTTTTTCGAGGTGTGGATCGCTCTTTCGACAAAGTTCAAAAGCAACAGCGCGCACATGAAAAACGGCTTCTAGTTACAAGACATGAGCGAGAAATCAATGAAGCGATCGATGATGGCGTCGCAGAACAAGAAGATCGCGCGACAGCAAGCCGTTTTCACCACGCTGAAGGAGATCCTATGCATGAGCTGGACCACCAGCAGAGGAAACGGCAACTCATTCTAGCAGCGAAGGTTCCGTGGCATCTGCTCGATCAACTGGAGGCTGAGCGGCGCAGACTTGCACGTGAGAAGGCGATGTTCAAGCTGTGGGGCAAAAGCTATTCTGACGAATAGAGCAAGATCGAACAGACTTTTTATTGATATGGACAACTGTAGTGTGGCAATTGTAGCAGAATCGATGGTTCGGAGATCTTTGATCTAGTGTCTTGAGCCCTTGCGGCCCTTGACCTTCGCCTCTAAAGCTGCAATACGCTCCTCCAGATCCTGAATGAGCCGGGCCTCGCGATATTTGAGGGTAAGCGCGACATTCAGGGCGTTCACGGTGCCCTGAGGAAGTTGCCACGTTGGAGTGCGCTGAGCATTGTCGGCAAAGAAATAGGTCGAAATGGGAGGTTCCTGCACCAGTGGTTGGCCAGACCAGCGCATGAACATCGCGTCCCACAGCACAATACGCTTCAGCAAGCCCGGAAGAGGGGGATTCAGGGTCTGTTTAGGCTCAAAGGTTTGCTCTGTAAGCTGCGGACGGAAGCCGTTCACCCACGTCCACACAGATGCTGTTCGGTTCTCCAAGTTCGCCTCCAGTCGGTGCTTCTTGCAGTCAAACAAAAACGTCCCGAAGCGGCATGAATGCAGTGCATCGGCGAGCAGAAGCAGCAGCCCTTCATTAAATCTACACGATAGCCGCACCAAAAGCAAACGTTAGTGTTCAACGAATAGCCCCACAACCGACCAACCGAGTTAAAGATTCACGTACTCGAAGTATGTTGGGTAGATTCGGACGAGTTGCGAGACACAGTCCAGAAACTGAATGAAGATGGGTGATTCCTGTGTATCCGCTTTCTCGCCGTGGGAATGACGGAGGTGGAACGGGTGTCCAAATGATAGCCATTCCTTTTCAATGAGCACCTGAAAACCTTTCCACGTTCGGAAATACGGGTCCACGAATATCTGGGCGAGTGACGAGATCTGGCTTGTGCGATCCCAGCCGTGACTGCAGTGCAGAAGCACAGACTCGCCCGACCGAAGCAAGGACGCCACATGAAGACCAGACTTCAGAAGCTGGCGAATGTAGACCAGCCACTTGGTGTCCTCAATACTCCCAAGCCACCGCAAATTGTCACATGATGGTGACGCGCAGAGGTTTCTCAACTTTTTCATGCTGCAGCAATGTTAGAAATGAAGCTATTAGTCGGCCCAATCTACGGCATAATACATCAATTATAGGCCTCACCTTTCCCTCATCGAATGGATGTTTGGTATCTCCATGAAGGTCACTGTGCAGGTTTTGTAGTTTACCGAGCTTTCAACACCGTATCCTTTTGCACGATTTGCCTGTTCAGCAGCAACTATCATTAGTTTCAAATACCAATTCACTTTCGCGTAACAGGCTACGTACTAGTGCGCTGGACATCGGCCTGCAGTCGATGATTTGGAGTTGGCCCTGTAACGGATTCGACGCCGCAATACTAGCAACCAAGTTTTCATCGGCGGGTGATGTGGCCTTCGACATTCCGATCTTTGGCTGGCTAGATCGGCTCAGCGTTGCACCATTCGCCATATTCAGCCACGTCATGCATGGGATACGGCCCAAAGAGCGGAAGTTCATCGCGTCCAGCAGCACCTGTCATGTCCACAACAAAACATCAATACATTTCGACACAAGTGCTTGAATCAGCAAATAATTGCTGTACCTCATCCGTAACCCCAACGGGGACTATCAGCCGTTCGGGATACGTCTCGATCGCGCGGAAGTTTTCGTTGCAGTTCGAAACCCGCCACTCCCCGTTGTCAACGACACCCTGTCGCTCCCATTCAGCCTGGTCGTCGTATACATCCCAGTCCAGCACACTGGGCAACAGCGGCTCTTCCTCCAGCATATTTTCCGACAGTCTGCCACAGCACATTACGTCAATAATCAACGATTCCAACAATTGGCAACCCCCAAACTCTCTCTCTCACCTGTGGTAGAACGCGAATAAAAACTCGGTTTTATCCGGGAACACGTACGTCGTCAGTACCGAGTAGATCTAACACCAGACCCAACATCAGCAAAGCGTCAGCACTTCAATAAACACAACTTCATATCGATATCTCGCACCTTGGTGATCTCCACGACGTCGAACCGGAAGGACAATTGGCGCAGGTCTTTGGTGAAAATTTCCACAATGGAATTCTTCTTCTTGACGGACGCGATGCAGCCCAATGGGATGAGGAAGAAGCTCTCGATCTCCTCCTCGCTCCGATCCAGCAGGTGGCGCCGCACGCGGTCGTACTCATGCTCGTCTGGCACGAACTGGAACCGGAACGTCGTCATGAACACGCGCCCCAGACAAACCGTCGCCGCCGCCGTGTCCTTCTTGGGCGCATTCTCGTCCAGGTACTCGCTGGTGATGGCCGCCAGCACGTCCGTCTCGCCGATGAGGCGGCTGCGTGCCTCTTCCTCCTCCGACATATCCCCTGAAGTGCCGTCGTAACGGCTAATACAAATCTCACGATAGCTATCCCAAATTTCACGCTCGGATCCAGAAAATGACGTCAGCGGAGGACGTCAGAGGACAACTTCAGCTGCTAACATGAATGCATTATTCCTCAAAACTAAGCCGCATTCCTCGACAAATAAACCTGACGCCAGCGCGTGGCTCACCTTCTCTGCTTTAGCAGCGCCGCGATCTCACGGAGCGCGCTCATTTGCTCGGCGTGCTGCTGTCGTCTCTCCTCGCGGTCCTGGGCCAGCGAGACACGCATCTGCTCCATGAAGTCGCGTGCTGACTGGGCGTCCACCATCCCGGCGTTGGCCATCGCTTGAACTCCGGCAGCCACTTGGTTCGTCGTAACCTGCGCTTGAACTGTCCGCTGACGCTTCGGTGTGCCTTGACCCGGGACTTGCTGGCTTGAATAGTAGTTTTGAACATCCTGGGCCGTGACGATGGGGGGAGGTCTGCTGCCTTGCACTTGCTGCTGCGGTTGCAACTGAGCGGTGCCGTTCCCGATAGTCGTGGTGGCTGGAGCAATGTCCAGAAGACGCTTGGCCCCACACTCGCAAGTGAGCTGGCCAGGCTGAGCGTTGCCGTTCGCGCCTGTCGCCCCGCTGTTCTGTGGGAGTTGGCCCGCGGCAGCGTTGCAGCTGCTCATGATGAATGACGACGAAGCTAAGCTCGAGTTGTGCTGGCTGCCTTCCAGATCCACGGACGGCACGGTGGTAGACGCCGACTCGATCGGCGTGTCGGATGGGGAGATCTGATTCATCCTTGTCATGAGCATGTCGATCTCGTTGTACACATCCGGCGCTAAGTTTGGCACGCGGATCTTGTTCGCAGCTCGAACCGCGCGTCGCTCGGGCTTCGTCAGGTCAAACCACGGGATTTTCGGCTCTCCGGTCGTTAACCGTTTGGTCTCGTAGTTCTTCATAAAGCGGTACATCTCCCTCATCGAGTGCATCTTGTCGTCCACGGCCTTCCTGGAGCGGTTCGATCCCCCCACAGCCGCCATGAAGGCGTTGTACACGTTCAAACTGAGCGTGGCGCCTCGCAGCGCCGGGTTCTCTCTGTGCACGTTGTTCCAGACCCTGGCCAGCTGCAGCGTCACGTCATAGCTCCAGTTGCGCTTCACATCCAGAATCTCCTGCGTGATCTCCGGCGAGTCGTCATTGGGCGTCCCAGCAGCCGACGCGAGCGGGGTGGAAGCCCCTGCGCCCGTCGTTGGTCCTTGAGTCGCCGGTGCGGTGGCCACACTCCCCTCCAGCGCCTTGCGCGCCGCCACAGCACTGGGGCTCAGCACGCTGTCGAACACGTTGTAGACCTCGAGCGAGATGTCGGGGATGCGCACGCGGTGCAGCGTGCGCACCACGCGGCGCTCCTCCTTGGTGAGCTCGAACCAGGACGGGGACGGCGCCTTGTCGGGCCCGCCCTGCTTGAACTGGTCCTTGACCTGCGCGATGAACTGGTACATCTGCTTCATGGAGTAGAGCTTGTCGTCCACGGCCTTGCGGCTGCGCTGCGAGCAGTCCACCGTCTGCTTGAACGCGTCGTACACGGCCTGCATGCGCTGCACGCGGCTCCAGTCCGGGTGCGCCAGGAACACGCGGCGCCAGATCTTCACCAGCTCCAGCAGCACGTCCGCGCTCCAGTTGCGCCCGCTGTCGGTCAGCAGGTCGTCCGCGTCCGCCTCCACGTCCGGCCTCGCAGCAGCAGCAGCAGCGCTCGCGGTCTCTTCCATCACTTCGGCTTGCTATTGCGCAGCAGCAATTTGATGTGGAACGCTGGGCGTCCGCTGTGTACAGCACACCAATGTGACTTAGACCGCCTAATAGACTGGCCAGTCAAAAAGGCAGTGTCTAATTTAAGACACTGTCTTTTCGACTATCCAGTCTATTTGATAGTGTCTTGTGCTATTATAGGGATATGGTACAGTGTACCACCCGATAGTTTACGCATCGCGTAAATTACGCTTGAAGAGCGCCACACTTTGCCTGACGACGATGGAGCTCTTCGGGTTCGTCAATGAACTGGCCGACGACCGCGACGCGCTGGTGGCCAGGAGCCGCGAGGTGCTGCGTGGACTCGGCAGAGACGACGATTACTTGACGCTGCACCTGCCGTTCGCGGCGCGCAGCTCGCTAACCAATGTGCAGTCGACGCTGCCCGCGGAGCTGCAGACGCTGCAGAAGACGGCGGTGCTGGAGATCCACAGCCCCAAGGCGCGCAACGCGCTGAGCGGCAAGATGATGGCGGAGCTGGCGGACATCGTGGCGCTGCTGGAGGACTCCGAAGTGCACGACAAGCTGAACGCCGTCGTGGTGAGAGGGACCGGAGGCTGGTTCTGTGCCGGGGCGGACCTGCGCGTGGCGCAGCAGGAGCTGACGTCGCGTGAGGCGGGCGCGGCCATGGGGGCGCTGATGGTGGACTCGCTGACGAGGTTCCGACGGTTGCCGCTGGTCAGCATTGCGTGCATTGAAGGCGGCGCGTATGGAGGGGGCGCAGAGCTCGCCACTGCGTGCGACTTCCGGATCCTGGAGGCGAAAGCTGTCATTCAGTTCGTGCAAGTGCGCATGGGCGTCTCGCCCGCGTGGGGTGGAGGTGCACGACTGTACAAGATTGTGGGCAGGCAGAACGCGTTGAGGTTGTTGTGTGCGGCGGAGAAGCTGTCGGCTCAGCGAGCGTTGGAGCTGAAGCTCGCCGACTTTACCTTCGACGCTGCAACGGATGGCGCTGACGCTGCCATCTGCAGCTTCGTTACTCCGTTCGATGCAATCGCGCCAGGTAATTGAGATGGTTCTCTGAGGGTAGTGTTCTTGTGTGTTTATGATGCTAACTGCGACTCTGTTGCAAACAGCGGTCTCGCATGGCGCGAAGAAAGTGATAAATCGTGCTGATGACGTGAGTTTGGATGCAGTGCTGTTGTACGAACATGACGTGTTCAAGTCGTTGTGGGGTGGTCCGGCTAACCTTGAGGCGCTCGAAGGTGCTCTCAAAAAGACGAAAAAGTAAGGTTTGATATCTATGGGAGCGTGCGTAGTGAGCACTGCTAAGCTGCACGAGTGAGTGTATCGAGTTTGATTTTGTCGATGCAGTATTTTTTTTCTTGAAAGCTCGACTTCTTGACCCCTTTACGTGACTTGTTCGATGTTCTTCTTATCCGCCTTCTAGGTCCGTTCAACAGACTTATCGGATAGGATTCTTCCGTTGAACGCTACTATATATTTAGTGGCATGGCTTCCAGATTCTGCGATTTGGTGCCCATCAGGTTTCCTTGTCGGTAGCTTGCTGGCATTGATAATTTTGCTTGGCACCAAGGAGAGGACAAAATGGCGAGCGTAAGTGGTGACTATGACGAGGACTGGGAAGAAGCGGAACCTTCCGTGGCAAAGGAGAATGTGATTTCTGTTGCTGGTCTTGGCGGTCACTCAATGGAAAATGATACTCGTGATGCCGAACCAACACAAGTTCCGGTACCTGGCGATCCTGCGGCGTACAACCCTGAAACACCCGTTGTACCTTCAAAAGTGTCTGACAATGGCTTCAAGAGCGTCGAGTTGAAGGCGAAGGCCACCGAAAATGCTACCAACGATACTAGTACATGGGTAAGGTCAGAGGAAGTGCCGACATCAGAGGATACGCTATCCAGCGCAGAAGGTAAAGAGCTGATCTCGAAGGTTCAAACTGCTGATACAAGTCCAGGCGATTCATCCGAATTGGTGCAGGGAAAACAGGAGAAAAAAATCATCGACCCCCTTGTAGTTCGGATTCACGGCAAGCACTACAACCACGATACCCCGCCTCCTGTTCCATTCCAGGTTTCCGCGACTACGCGTACCAACCCGAACGAAGTCAAATCACCATCAAAACCTGACCGCGCTGCTCTTCAGGCTCGCGTGGCAGCCAAACGCGTCGCGGAGTTTCGAAGGAGACAGGCTCTGAAAGAAGAAGAACTACGGGCTTTGGAATCAGCTTGGACTCAAAAGCGCCGCGAGATCCGTCGCTCCAATTATTCGATGCATAAGCAGCTGGGAGTCGCTGATCTGTCCGCGCAAGATCATCTCCAAATCGCACAACGACGACGCAGGGCAGAAGCCAAGCAAGAAGAGCTTGCTGCTAGCCTTGAACGACAAAACCGGTGGTACAACAACAATCCCAAACGAACCGCCAGTGCTTCGGATCACATTCACGAGCTGCAGCAGCAATACCTCCAAGCGAAACACGAACGGCAACGTACAATCCGGCAGAAGCAGAAGTCGATTCAGTTGAATCAACTCGAACTCCAACAAAAGGCTCACGATATCATCGTCAAAACTCAAGGAGCGTATGTTCATGGGTCCTATCTCCTGAAAGTGACGCATCGCAAAATGAAGTCCCAGGTAGAGCTACCCACAGACAAGCACAACGAAAGTGAGACGCCGTAACACTAGGAAGTCTAGTGAACAACAAGATCTTGCTGACCCTGCAGGAGGACATGTGTGTACCCATCTATGATGATGACATGCTGGGATACGTGTTTGGTGTCGTCAATTTGTCAGACTCGGCCCGAGCGATGGAGAGCAGCAAGCGCCAGCGCCGAGAGGAGGCATCCCCAGCCTCGCGTGTCCAGGGCAGCGACCTCCCCTTGCTGACAAGCGTATCTGTAGTTTGTCGTGATGCGACCCCGCAACTGCAGCCGCTACCCCACGTGATCTCCACAATCAATGTCTTCCTGGACGTGTTCGCATGTTCCACCGGCTTGATGCATCTCCTGGAGCGGATTATTGCGGGCTACGACCACCATCCGGATACAAGCGTGGAGCGCGATCCGCTCTTCCGTCAGATCCAGTTTACAAGAGGAATGACGGCCGCGTGCAAGGCGGGGCAGCTCGCCATTGTGCAATGGCTGGCACAGTCGCCGTACTTTGAGGCCTACTTCATGCCCTATCAGGCCGTTCGCTACGCGATGACGCGCGGACACCTGGACGTGTTGAAGTGGCTGCATGCGAACCGCACGGACATTTGTTGGAGACTCAACCTTGTAGCCGTGAACGGGAAACATCTCGACGTCGCCAATTGGTTGCAGGGCGATACGAAAACTTTGGTCGACTATGGATCATCCCGGCTGCAGAGGCTGGCAACCTGGAAATGGTCAAGTGGGCGTATAATCTAAAAGGGAGATCGCCGGCCAGGACTCGGAAAGCCGTGCAGGTGGCCGCTGAAAATGGCCACATGCACGTCGTGCTGTGGTTGTTGGAGCAAACAGGTTCTAACGCACCAATGTATCCGGCTTGCTAAAGGAAGGGGGCATGGAAACTCTGGAAATATTGCTGAAGTACCGTACGAAGATAAGTGAAGAAACCTGGGTGCCTGGGGAAATCAATGCGATCTCAAGTGGACACCACGACGTTGTGGAGTGTCTATTTGGCATGGGTTACGATTTTTGGGGCACTCGAAGGCATGTAATGCGAAAGGCGGTGTTTTCTGCTGCCGCAGGCGGCCATCTCGGTATGCTCAAGTGGTTAGCAGCGCACGATGCTCCACTTTTCGAAGATGGACGCTGTTGCAGGAGACGGAAATGTGGAGATACTACAGTGGTTCGGTGAAGAAGGCGCAATGGATAGCACTTATGTCGGAGTAGCAGAGGCTGCTGAGAACGGACATTGCGTTGGCTACATGGACACAACTCGAGAGGGTTTACATTTCGTGCGATGGACAATGCAGCGGCCAATAACCACCGTGAGGTCGTGGAGTGGCTCCACGTTAACAGAAGAGAGGGCTGCACAACCGCCGCGATGGCTGATGCGGCGAAATCCGGCCATCTCGAAATGGTGAAATGGCTTCATTACGCGAATCGTAGTGAAGGATGCGGATGAAGCCGCCAGGAATAGGGACTTCGTTATGGTGAAGTGGCTTCACTCGAATCGCAGTGAAGGATGCAGTACGGCAGCAATGGATGAAGCTGCTAGGAATGGGGACCTTGAAATGGTGAAGTGGTTTCACGCCAACCGCAGCGAAGGGTGCACAACTGAAGCAATGGACCAAGCTGCGAGCAATGGTCACCTCGACGTTGTCAAATTTCTGAACTATAACCGACGTGAAGGTTGCACAACTGACGCGATGGACGGAGCTGCAGGTAACGGGCATCTGAAAGTGGTTTAACCCTCAACGCCCACATGGCTTCATTTTAATCGAACGGAGGGCTTCACACAAGCGATGATGTGGGTGACACGGCATGGTCATTGGAGTGTTGGGCATCGACATACCATGGAGTGACTTCTTGGTAACGGAGCTGAGAAATTCGTGGATAGCGGTCGTGTCAATGGGAACTACGAGGTTGCGTTGATTCTTCACCGTAAGCACAAGGACGGATGCACACAACACGCTCCCCAAAAGCGGTGGGAGCTAGATTCTTGTCGCGAATTTCTGCCTTGGTTCTGCGTCAACTACTCTAGATATGCCGATAGTTTGATGCTGCAAGAAGATGAAATGTTTTTAGTAACATCTGCGGCTCGGTTCCGCAACCAATTGACTTCGCACAAGACAAACGAGTGACTCCGATCAAGACCGAGAACTGGACGTGACATTCGCAAATCACACAACTGTCAATAAAAAAACCGTCGACTATTGCAGCATCATCTTGCGGTGGTGTTTTAAGAATGCAGTCCTCAATGTGCTTTTCACCCTAATTGAATCTGTAATTATGAATGAACGGGAGAACTCCCGCTCGTAAGTATTAACTTATTGTCGAGGTGTCTAGTCTGGCAGACCAAGCTCTTCTTGCCGCTGAGATCTACCAGTTTTAGGCGTGGGCAGCATGGCTACCGGTATGACGAGGACAGGGAGCGAGTTGAATCTTTGAAAGCGAAGGAGCGTATCTGAAGAGCAAATCCAATCGAAGCTGCCGCCACAACGAAGACAGAGAAGAAGAAGATGAATTGGTAGCCAGGAGCGCCAGAACCGGTTGTTGCAATACCATTCCAAAACGATCCCAGCGCTTTAAATGCAATACTAAGTACCGCCAAGCGATTCACACTTCTACAAAAAGCTCGGTATTATCGTCCAAGCGCACGGAGTGTATCTTCACGGTCATAAAACGATGCACCGGAAATGGAACCCCACAGACAAGGAAGAAGAAAGTGAGGGCACTAATCCTAAACTCCCTACAGAGGAGCGCTCATGTCTTCTTGTTCAAGGCTTTCTTCAGAGCCTCCAGATTTGCCGGGCCTCCCCACAACGTCGTGAAGACATCATGCTCGTACTCGAGGACTTCATCCAAGCTCACATCATCTGCGTTGTTGACCACACGCTTCGCTCCGTGCGAGACCGCTGGGTGACACAAAACCACAACGCAGGTTAGCTGCTGAATTACATAATAACGAACGTCGTTCGTTACCTGGTGCAATAACGTCGAATGGCGCGACAAACGCGGCGATCGCAGTGTCAGCCTCTTCTTGGTTCGAAGCATTGAAAATATCGTCCACAAGCTGCAGTTGCATCGCACGTTGAGGTGAAAGTTTCTCTGCGGTACACAACAACCGGAGTGCCTGCTGCCTCCCGACGATCTTGTACAGTCTAGCTCCGCCACCCCACCCCGGCACGACGCCCATGCGAGACTGCACGAACTGAATGACTGCGTTGTTCTCGATGATCCTGAAGTCGCAGGCCGTCGCCAGCTCCGCTCCACCTCCATACGCGCCGCCTTCAATGGCCGCGACACTCACGAGCGGCAACCGTCGAAATCTCGTCAGGGTGTCCACCATCAGCGCCCCCATGGCCGCCCCCGCCTCTCTCGAGTTGAGCTCCTGCCGAGCCACGCGCAGGTCCGCCCCGGCACAGAACCAGCCGCCGGTCCCTCTCACCACCACTGCGTTCAGCTTGCGGTGCACGTCCGGGTCCTCCAGCAGCGTCACGATGTCGGCAAATTGCGCCATCATCTTCCCGCTCAGCGCATTGCGCGCCGACGGGTTGTGGATCTCCAGCACCGCCGTCTTCTGCAGCGTCTCGAGCCCCGACGGCAGCCGCGTCGAGCGAACTGGCAGGGCGTCATTAGAGCCGCTGGGGGCAGGAGAGAAGGGCAGATGCAGCGCCACGTGGTCGTCGTGCTTGCCCAGCTCCCTCAACGTCTCGCGGCTTCGAGCGACGAGAGCGTCGCGGTTCTGCGCTGGGTCGTTGATGTACGAGAACATGCCGCGACATTGCTGCAATACCCTGGGCGTAACACCGCAGCTAGAGGCTGCTGCGCGGCGCAGCATCGTCCTCCCTCCCTCCCTCCCCACGTTCAACTTGGTTAGAAGCTTATCAAGGAGATTGTGTAGCCATGTTGAAATGATGGCTACATAGCGGGAGTTTGGGTTCACAACGAGTTATGAGCACCAAGCGGCAGCGCCGAGAGGGGCCGTCGTCAGCGCCAGCCGACCACAGCAGCGAGCTCCCGCTGCTGACAAGCGTATCCGTAGTCTGCCGTGATGCCACCTCGCAATTACAGTCTCTCCCCCACGTGATCTCCGCGATCAATGGCTTCGTGGACGTGACACACACCCGGTCCGTCGAGTTCGCCTGTTCCATCGGCTCGGTGCGTCTCCTGCAACGGATCATTGCGGGCTACGAGCAACAGCAGGATACAAGCGAGAAGCGCGACCCGCTCTTCCGCCAGATCCGGTTCTCGAGAGGGATGAAGGCCGCGTGCGAGGCGGGACAGCTCATCATTGTGCAGTGGCTGGCTCGGTCGCCGTACTTTGGGGCCTGCTTCATGCCCACACAAGCTGTGTGCAATGCTGTGAGGCTTGGTCATATGGGTGTGCTGGAGTGGCTGCATGCGAACCGCACCGACATTTGCTGGAGACGCACTCTTAAAGCCGTGAACGGGAATCATCTCGATGCCGCCAAGTGGCTGCAGCCGATGGCAGGGCATCACCAAAGCTATGGGCGACGATGGATTATCCCAGCTGCACAAGTTGGCAACCTGGAGATGGTCAAGTGGGCGTACAACCTGATTGGAGAGACGCCTGGATTAAGTCGGGAAGCCACTGAAGTAGCCTCTGACAATGGCCGAGTCCATGTCGTGCAGTGGTTGCTGGAGCAAACGGGTACTAACGCACCGAAGCACCCCGATGCGTCGGGATTGCTATCAAAAGGCGGTATGGAGGCCCTGGAGATGCTGCTTAAACACGTTGATAATCTCCCCCAAGAATGCTGGGTTATAGGGCAAGTAAATGCGATATCAAGTGGCCATCGAGACGTCGCTGAAAGGCTTTTCACAATGGGCTTCGAGTTAGAACTTGCGCACGAAGATCGCTTTTCCCGAGCGATATCTACTGCTGCGGGCAAAGGTCATCTCGATGTGCTGAAGTGGCTAGCAGAGCACGAGCAGAACTTGGTGTTCACGTCCGCGTCGATGGACAGTGCTGCTCTCGGCGGGAAGCTGGACGTTTTGCAGTGGCTAAGCGGAAACTGCGCCGAGGATTGCACTGAAACAGGGGTAGCGTGGGCTGCCAAGAACGGACACTTGGACGTGTTGCGCTGGCTGCATGAGAACAAACCGAATGGGTTCAGTAAGAAGACGATGGACGAAGCTGCAAGCAACAATCATACCGAGGTCGTGGAGTGGCTTCACACTAACAGAAGAGAGGGCTGCACAACCACCGCGATGGATGGTGCGGCGAACTCCGGCCATCTCGAAATGGTGAAATGGCTTCACTCCAACCGGAGCGAGGGATGCACTACGACGGCAATGGACCAAGCTGCTAGGAATGGCCACCTCGAAATGGTGAAATGGCTTCACGCTAACAGGAGCGAAGGCTGCTCACCGATGGCGATGGATGAAGCAGCAGGTTGTGGGCACCTTGATGTGGTAAAGTGGCTGTACGACAATTGCACGGAGGGATCAATAGCGAGTGCAATTATGAGCGTGGTAGATACACATCCTGATCAGGGCGGTGGGAACGGGAGTGTTATGGAGTGGCTTCTCGATAGGCGAACCGAAGATTGCACAGCTTACGAGATGGATGCAGCTGCGAGAAACAGTAACTTGGAGGCGATTCTACCTTTGCATCGCCAAGGAAACGGAAGCTGTACGAGCGATGCCATATCATTCGTGTATCTCTACGCGCGTGGCCGGGAATTTCTGCCGTGGTTTTACGCAAACTATCCCGATCAAGCTGTTATGTCTCTGATTCCCGAGGAGGAGGAAAAGCTCTTGCTCACGTCCGCTACCGAATATCGAGACCAGTTGATTTCGCAAAAGCAATCGAGCGACAAGTCCAAGCCAGGGCCAAGAGACGAAGAGTAATGCCCAGCCTGTAACGGGGTTACACGTAGGTTACCCTTTTGGTTACCCTTTTGGTTACCCTTTTGGTGTGCGATACACCAAGGGTTACTCCCTGGGCCACTGGCCAGTCATTGAGAATGAACTAGAGTTAGTTATGTCGATAGTAAGTGCAGGTATTTGCACCGTAGGCGGCGGAGCCGCAGATAAGAGAATGAATACAGTTTGCCTTTTGCAAGAAGTCTCTGACTTGTTTTCGTGGGTCCTCGGATAGGACCCTGTTGGACTCTTTGAGTCGTAAAGTCTTCCTCTACGCAAGGAGCTACGGCAGCCCCGCTGCACTTGGTAGCACTCGTAGTCAATCCCTCACCTGAGTCTGTTAGACTGTACCTCTGTGAGGATGGAGCAAGCTGCGTTCGCGAATTTGGCCCCCGGCCAGCAGGAGGCGCTAAAAAAGCTTATGTCTCTGTTGGGCCCGGAGGGCGTGGCGCACCTTGCCTCGCAAGGCCCGGACGCGATCAACGCGCGTCTCGAGGCGTTCTCAAGTTACGAAAATGCTCTGTTGGAGCACATCCAGCAGAGGATGAGCGCGACGGCGCCTGCAGCGGCGTCGGCCGCGTCGCAAGCCGGATCGACTCGACCCAAGCCACTCATGCTGAGTGTCAAGCCGTTCGAGGGTCTGGAGGGGGAGAATCTCCTGCTCTGGACCCGCGAGATCGAAATGGCCATGGGCTCTGCCCTGCTTCAATCGGAGCACCAGCGCGTCGCGCTTGCCATCTCTAAGCTCAGCGGAAGAGCTCGTGAGTGGGCGCTTACCAGCGGGTCGTCGGTAGACCAAGCCTTCCCGACATGGGATGAGCTGAAGCGACAGCTCTCACGAGTGCTCTCGCCGCCGAACCACGCATACCGCGTGCGGTCCAAGTTCCTGGCTTGCCGTCAGGGGAAAAAGGACTTGGTGGACTACGTCCAGGAGCTACGCACGCTCATCGCCGGCATGTTCGCTGAACCGCTGCCTGAGTCTGTCACCGTCACGGTGTTTATGGATGGTCTCAGGACCGGAGTGGCTCGCACGGAAGTGTTCCGCAGTCGTCCTACCTCGTTCGAGGAAGCTGTGGCCGTGGCGTTGAACACCGAGCGCAATTTCAAGTCCGCTCGCGTCGGCTGGAGCGCGCCACAGGCGAGTACGTCGAACGGTCCTGAACCTATGAACCTCAGTTACGCTTAAAGTGACGAAGCCAAGCTTCGGGCTGCTGAGCAGCGCTGCGGTATCCGCCGTTGATACACCTGCGGCAGCACCGAGCACTTGCGGCCGGGTTGCCCGCTGCGCAAACAGCAATCTGCTCGTTCGAGCGGCCCCGCTTTGAGCCACAAGGCTGGTTCGTCGCGGGGAAACGGCGACTCCCAGTAGGCGCGGGGCGGCCTACTGGGGAAGAACTAGGTTCTGTAGCGCCTCAGGGAGGGGGAAGACAACGGAGTCTAGTCCTGAAGAGAGCCGTACTCTCAAACTCGGAACGTAAATGCAAGCCGGGCTTGCTGGTCGTCATTGCGACTGTGAAGGGCTTCGAGAAGCTGTGGACGGTCTTGATTGATTCGGGGGCGTCTGGCAATTACGCCAGGCGTTCCTCCGTGGAGGGCAGCGAGTTATATGCTGTGGCGCTTCGCGCGCGTTCTCGTGACATAGTCACTGTCTGTTTGGCGACGGGCACTCGTGTCACGGTGCCCAAGGTCCCCATGGACTTGGGCGTCAAGTTCCTTGACTTTGACAGCACGGAACGCTGTTTGGTCTTGGACCTGGATTCAAGGTATGACCTCATCCTTGGCATGGCGTGGCTGGAACGCCATGAGCCTTGGATCGACCGGAGGTCGAAAACATTAGGTGCTACGCACTTCTCTCCTGGTGGGGCTTTGGCGAGTCACGAACCCACCTCTGCCATGACACAGAAGCGCTTTTGGCGCGAGCACTGGACAGTTTCGGTCGCTGTGCTAGACATCGGCGTGTCCGAGTTGGTCGACAACGCCGTTGTTGGAGAAGCACTTCCCGGAGTGGGCGCGACGTCGTATACGTCGGCCGATCCCGAGCACCGCTCGTCGGACGTTTGTGGGGCGGCACGTACTCCGCTGGTTCAGGGGCGTTTAACGCCTGGCGACGGTATGTCGCGGCACTCGGAGCTCGGCTCCCCTCGTGCGCGTGGGATGGCACGTACTCCATCGACTTTGGGGCGTTCGACGCTCGGCGACGGTTTGTCGCGGCCCGTTGGGCATGGCCCTGCGGGGGACAAGGCGGGGCGTGTCTCGCCTGGTGCTTTCATGACCAAGGATTGCCGTGTTGGCGATTCCTCGCTGGCGTCCACGATGGACGGAGGCGCGTTGTCGCCTGGATGTGGTGACGACGCTGTCGCCACGTCGCCCCCATCCTCTCGGCCTCGGGCGCGGAGGAGGAGGAGGAAGAGACGCAGGGCGTCTGCGGCGTCGAGCGTGTCGAGCGATGAAGCTCCACGCGAGTGCTGCGAGCAGCTATACGCGCTCGTGAATGGGCTGACGGGAGACGTCAATGGTGACATCAGCCTTGAAGCTCTTCCCTCCGTGAGTGCTCTCCTCGAGCTTGAGGAGATGTCCGTCGCCGAGTTTGGCGAGGCCTTAAAGGCGGGCGATCTAGCCGAAGTGGTCATGATACGACCAGAAGAAGAGTTAAACTCGTCGTCACTATTGGACGAAGCGGTCCTGGAGGACACTAAGCAGGCGCTTAATAAACGTAGTGGCTCAGCCATCTTGAAGGATCCGTCAGATCCGTTGTACCCGTTGGTAGTGGAGTTCGGAGACGTTGTCTCGAAGGACCCGCCTATGGGCCTACCTCCTGATCGAGGCGTTCGTCATGAAATTGACTTGGTTCCGGGAACCAAATATTGCGTCACACGCCAGTGGCCACTTCCCAAGGAACCGTGTGACGTCATTGACGCCTTCTTTCGGGCCAAGAACGAAGCAGGACTGGTGCGCGAAAGCAAGTCCCCGCACTCGACGCCGACATTCTGTGTCAGGAAGCCGAACGGCAAGTGGCGCATTGTACATGCTTTCAACAAGCTTAACGCGGCCACTATCCCGGCACAAACGCCGATACCTCGCAAGGATGTTCTTCAGAACAACATGGTTGGGTGCACGTTGTACAGCGCTCTCGACTTGGTCGATGGCTACTATCAGCTGCTCATGAGAGCGAGTGATATCCCTCTCACTGCGGTGAGTACTCCGAGCGGCATGCTCTGGGAGTGGTTGGTTATGCCCCAAGGGCTGTCAAACACACCGGCAACGTTTAGTCGTCTTGTGACGCAGTTGTTTCGGCCGCATCGCGCATATGTGCAGACGTACTTTGACGACATCTTCGTCCACAGTCGTGCGGAGCACGGGAAGTCGGATATGGAGAACCACATCGACCATTTGAGAGCCGTGCTCGAGTGTATGCGAGCGAACAAGCTCTACGCCAATGCCGACAAGTGCATCTTCGGCGCTGAAAAAATTCCCTTTCTGGGATGCTTCATTGGGAAGTGTGGTCTCCGAGCGGACCCTGCCAAGGTCAAGGCCATTATGGACTGGCCGGTTCCTGCGAACCCGAAAGACCTGCGCAAGTGGCTGGGTCTGGCAAACTATTTGCACAAGTACAGCGAGAATTATGCTGCCATTGTCTAACCTTCTCAAGAAGGATGCTGAATGGTGTTGGGATGCCGAGCAGCAAAGCGCTTTTGAAGCAGTCAAGGAAAGCCTGCTTCAGGCACCGATACTGGCACTGCCAGACCCCGATCGGCCGTTCAGCGTCGTGTGTGACGCGTCCGATTTTGCCATTGGCTATGCACTGCTTCAAGCAGACGCCGATGGGCGTGAGCGGGTCATTGCGTTCGAGTCTCGGCAGCTAAAGGCTGCTGAGAAGAACTATCCTGTCCATGACAAGGAGCTACTCGCGATGAAGTATGCCCTCGTCAAGTTCAGGGTTCATCTGCTCGGTTCCAAGCCGTTTGTGATCTTCACAGACCACGCGTCCTTACGCACTGCGACACAGTCGCCACACCTCTCGCAGAGGATGGCCCGTTGGCTCTCGTTCTTTGCGGAGTACAACTTCGAGGTGAAGTATAAGCCCGGTCGGCAGAATGCGCTGGCCGACGCGTTGTCACGCAGGCCTGATTACGAGCTCGCTCACGTCACGAGTGTGACTTCGTCGATCACTGACATGATCCGTGCCGCGTATGCACGTGATGAGAGTTGTGTAGCTTTGCTACGGACGCTGGGGAGCGCGGAGTTTCGAGACTCGGACATCAAGTTGTCTGCGCGGTTGCGGGCGCGATTGCATCGCTACTCCCTGGATGGGGATCTGCTGTATTACAGCACTGGATCGGATGACACGCCCCGCGTCGTCGTTCCTCACGACGAGGACCTTAAGTATCGTATCCTCTATGAGGCTCATGACGCTCCCTTGAGCGGCCACCGTGGTCGCGAAAAGACCTACAGCTCTGTGAGCCGCCACTACTGGTGGCCCAAGCTGTACAAGTGGGTTAAGACGTACGTGAGTACCTGTGAGTCGTATCAGCGGGTGAAACCCTCCCCACATTCGGCGGCGCCGTTGGCAAGTTTGCCTGTCCCGTCCGGGTGTTGGCAGTCCATGAGCCTGGACTTTGTGTTTGGCTTACCGGAGGATTCGGCAGGCAACACGGGAGTTGTGGTCTTTGTTGACCGTCTCAGTAAGATGGTTCATCTGGCGGCGGTGCCGGACACCATTGACGGGTCTGGTACAGCGGAGCTGTTTATCGACCGCGTATTTCGGCAGCATGGGCTGCCTGAGTCTATTGTCTCGGATCGAGATCCTCGTTTCACGGGGAAGTTCTGGACGTCCGTCTTTCAGGTGCTTGGCACTCGTTTGGATATGTCCACGGCGGATCACCCCCAGACCGATGGTCAAACTGAGCGCGCGAACCGCGTCGTCGAAGACGTTCTTCGCAGTGTATGTGCGGAGACGCCTAAGCGCTGGAGCGCGATGCTCCCTCTCGTTGAGTTCGCGTTGAACAATGCGGTGCATGCCTCGACAGGCTTCACTCCGTTCTACGTGAACGAGTTTACTCACCCTCGCGTCCCGTTGACGCCGTCACGTAGTGACTCTGGGCTTGGTAGGGGAGAGTTAGCCGATAGGCTTGCTGATGTCAGCCCTCGTGAGAACTGGACGACTTCTTGTCGATCCGTCTGAATGTCTTAAGGCATGTGCGAGACGCAATGGCTGACAGCCAAGACGTTCAAAAGGAACAAGCTGACGCTAGAGGCCGGGGTAATATGGAAAACTTTGAGGTCGGAGACCTGGTGTTATTAAACGCGAAAAACTTACCTACACATGCAGTTTCTGCGGTCTTCAAGACTAAGCTGCGTCCTCGCTTCATCGGACCGTTTAAGGTCGTGGCCAAGAAGGGCCTTACGTACACGCTTAACCTTCCCAAGAAGATGCGCACACACCCAGTGTTTTACGTGGGCTTGCTCAAGCGTTACCGCGACCCGAGCCAGGTGAGCGCGGAGGCGCTGGCGCCGGCACCGTTGGAGGGACAGCGCCCCGCTGCAGCTGCACCAGCACGTCAACCTGCCCGCGCAGGATCTGGACTTGGTCGTGCAGCGCCTGAACAAAGCGCTCCAACCGTCATCCGGTGGATCTTCAAGATCGTGGAGCCGACGCTCAACAGCGCGAAGCGCGTCGTCGTTCTGCGCAAACTGCCTCCCGACCCAGTCGCGGTGGTCGCGCCCACGCCCGGCTTGATATTCCAGCTCGGACAACTGCGCTCGCACAGCCGCAGGCTTTAGCGGCGGCTCGCCGACCTCCTGCTCTGCTCGATGAGCACGGAGAGCTTCACTTCCATATGGAGCGGCTTCTGAAGCGACGTCGTCACCGGGGTCATACCCAATATCTGGTGAAGTGGCGGGGCGAGCCACCGTCGTGGGAGTACGAGGTGCCCCTGAGGCAAGATTGCCCGGACGCCGTTGACGCTTTTGATCGGGAGCACCCGAGACGCTCACGGAGCTCGAAGCCAACTCGTCGGTCGCCTCGCGCTTCCCGGCGCTAGAACGAGACGATGACACATCCGAGCGAGTGCTCGAGTGCGAAGCGTGAGCTGGCGCCGTAGGCGTGGACGTAGACGCACGGCGCGGAGTATCTCGAACCGCACGATTGGCGCCTTGGGCGCGTGGTCTTTGACCATGGCGATTTTGTTGGCGGGCCTTCTTCTTCGCCCACATGAAGCGGAGGCGCCGTTCAAGAAGAACATCTTGCTTTCTATAGCTTGCTCGAAGAGCATCAATTGGCGGCAACTTACGGGAATTCTCAACCCAGGCCTGGAGCTGGCCATCATCTTCATCTTCGGTCTCACCGGGAACGAGGACCATCGGGATGCGCTGCATCTGAGGCACCGACTGGTCGTGCAGTTGACCATCCAGCCGGGCACAATACTCCGAGGGAGTGGTCTGCTGCGGCGTCAGATAGCGCTGGTGCAGCGCGAGGCGCTCGTCTACATCTGCCGTTGTCGAGGCTCTCGGCCCTACGATGTATGAACCCAGCAGGCCTTTGGCCCAGTCGTTCGCGACCTTCAATGGATCTTCGCTGCTTGTAAAGCCATAGTCTCTCCGAGAGGGGTTCACGATAGGCAACGCCTCCGGTATGTTCGAGCGCGTTGGCGCAGTGCGCTCTTCGAGCTGACGGCGCTGAGCCTGGTCCAGTGGGTTGGAGACTGTGTCGGGATCCGTCGGATCATCCCCGTCCCTCGGAGGCAGAGGTGGCGCATGGCTCAGCGGGTCCGGGTGTAAGTGCGACCCCCGGGTCTCTGACCTTGGGCTGATGAACGAGTGCCGCGGGGGCGAGCGCGAACGCGCTGTCCTTGAAGGGCTGTGCCCACTCCGCGGCGATCTGCCATCGCCTTCTGACGGGTTGGCGTTGACCTCGCCCTCCTCAGACCCGAAGAGATCGTCGTACGCATTGCGCACACGCCTTGGCGCCTGCTCGCCAGCCGGGCTTGAGCTATGCTCCGACATCTTCGCTGGCGGCAGCTTCGGAGTGTGCGCTGCACGATACTTGGCTATGGAAAGCCTCTGCGGGGTGCTGGGCACGGGCTCCTCCTTTGCGCTCGGCGCCTGTGACGACTCGGCGGCTGGCTCGACGGACGGGCTGTGCCCTGGCTGCGTGGCGCTCGTGCGCGGGCCTTGTGACTGCTGGTCTGTAGACCCGGGGGCTGCGTGCATGCGTTACACGCGCAGCCGATTCGACAATGAGGCTCTGTGAGCACAAGTCGACCTCGCGATGGGTCTGGACCCTAACTGGAAGATCGGAATGGTCCGTGCTTTTGAAGCTGGCGTGTTCGCCGTCTTGATGGGGGAGAGTGTAACGGGGTTACACGGAGGTTACCCTTTTGGTGTGCGATACACCAAGGGTTACTCCCTGGGTCACTGGCCAGTCATTGAGAATGAACTAGAGTTAGTTATGTCGATAGTAAGTGCAGGTATTTGCACGGAGCCGCAGATAAGAGAATGAATACAGTTTGCCTTTTGCAAGAAGTCTCTGACTTGTTTTCGTGGGTCCTCGGATAGGACCCTGTTGGACTCTTTGAGTCGTAAAGTCTTCCTCTACGCAAGGAGCTACGGCAGCCCCGCTGCACAGCCATAGTATAGTACATGAGGTTCTAACCAGGCAGATAGATTTTCAGTCTACATGGAATACAACCTCAACGGGTTTGTTGAAAGAAAGCAATAAGGAGACGCTTGAGATGCTGTTGGCTTACCGTGCCAAGCATACCAACACAACATGGGCACTTGGATTCAATTGCAGGTCGACACCTAGACGTGGTTAAACGACTTTGCACGTACGACTACACTTTGACATATCTATGCGATTGCAGGTTGTCACTTAACCACCACCTCCAGTCGCGAAGTCTTGTTCCCGCGCCATGGAGTTATCTCACCTCAAATCGATATCAAGACGCGTTGCGTCCACGCCCAAAACGCACTGACATTTCGAGAAATCCCCCAACTTCACAAACACCGTGATCAACCTTTTTCTCAGACATACATCATGAGGAACGGTTCCATTCGCATTGCCGTGCAAATCAACTACAGCGTAGTTATCCACTTCCTGCGACCACCCGGGGCGAATCGAGACGTATAGTCCGGAGAATTCAGGCCATTCGGTCGTTGGCGCCGGGAACACGCGCGACACTCGGTGCTGCCAGTGTCGAGGCGCACCGTGCCGTTGTCGTAGACTTCCTTGATGATGTACGGGCCTTTTGAGACTGGATCCGTCTTTTTTCGCTCGCGAGCCGGAATCCTCAGCATGACTTGGTCGCCTACCTTGTAGAAGTGCTGCAGTCGCTTCATATTTTCTCGTTCGTTGTCTTGCAGGATAGACAGGAAGCGCTGCTTGGACAGGAAACTCCAGTTAGCGAAATGGAGTTGACGCGTGATCATATCTTCTCCGAAGAGTAGCTGAGCTGGCGACGCGCGGAGGACCGAGTGGTAGCTCGCTCTGATAGCGTAGGCTGCGTAGTCCAAAGCAACTTCCAACTGCTCCATCAGATCAGGTCTCACGCGGAGGATGTTCATGATCTCGAGATGCACTCTTTCACAGATTGCGTTCGCTTGCGGGGTTTTGGCGGTGATCGGCTTGTCCTTTATGGCGAGCGATGACAGAAGCTGCTGAAACTCGTCCCCAGTGAACTCGGGACCGAGATCATGCACAACTTGTCTCGGACGAGGGAGCGACAAAGCCACACGCGCTCAAAGCTAATGGCGGTCACTTTTGACGTCTTGCCTTGCTGGATGATGACTTCTAGCCAACGAAATTGCTGCTCATCGCCGTAAGGCAATAGTGATCTCCAGGTAGCGGCCCCACTAAATCCACATGCACGATGTCGAATGGACGGTCATTGTTCGTCGACGGAGTTGGCGGAATTCGGCCATAGAGCTGCTTACCACCGTGCAGTTTTGCGCGCTTACACGGGACGCAGGCTTTTACGAAGTCGTGCACTGCTTTCTCCATTCCAGGCCAAAAGAAGGTGGAAGACATCGTCTGATACTGCTTCTCTCCTCCTGGATGCAGGACGTAGTCGTGATAGAGCTCGATCAGATCTTTGCGCAGTGACTGAGGGACGAGAACACGTTTCTGGTAGTGAAGCAGTACAGTACCCAGCGCAGGTCTTAGAGCGTAGTCTGGGTCAGCTTATTTGGCTTCGAGTCTGGCGATGATAGCCTTGCAAGTGGATCATCAAGCGGGTGGCGCTTCATCACAGCGCCGTCAATGGCGATTTCTTCTTTTTCAACTGCACAAAGCTCGTCTTCAGTTGCCTGCTGCACGAAGTCGTAACGAAGTCGGGAAAAGGCGTCCGCACCGACATTCTACACTCCGGGAACGTATTCAACCGCGAGCCGATATTCCTCCAGTAGAAGTTTTCAGCGCTTCACGCGAAGTGAGGTCTCCTTAGGGTAGAGTAGGTTCTTATGGTCGGTGTGAATCACCAGCGGAAACCCAAAAGCATGGGGGCTCAGCTGAGTCGTCAACAATCAATTTGACAACGAGTTTTATTGGCCGAAAATACATTCCGGAAGGGCAGATCCCGTTTAGGTACGATGGCGAGTTCTCTTCCCTTTCTTCATCCCAGAACTTGCCGCCTCGAGGGAAGATGAAGCTCTTCTGCGCGATCGATGGTGGGGCAGGCCCCGCGTTCTCGGTGCGAGCGGACGAGAGCGACACGGTGGACGACTTGAAGAAGGCGATCAAGAAGGAGAAGACGAACGACCTCAAGGACATCGACGCAGACAAGCTGCAGCTCTTCTTGGCGAAGAAGGCAGACGGCGGATGGCTCCCAGACGACGATGACCTGGACAGGATGCTGCAGAACAATGTTGACACCTCGAAGATGGAGAAGTTGCGCGCGTCGCGGAATTTGGAGGAACTGTTTGGGACTGGCGCTTCGCTTGGAAAGAACGTGGTGCACGTGCTGGTGGTTGTTCCAAAGGGGGGAGATGTCGAGCACGACAGGGTGGATGTGCCGAAGGGACGTGCTGTGGATACGACTTCGTGTGATGATCTCCTCGCGTTCCTGGAAAGTGAAATGGCCAACAAGGAAGAAATTGTGGTAAACCGTAACATTTTAGGTGCCGAAAGTTTACAGTTTCGATTGGTTGGAAGAGAAGAGGCAATTAAGACCGCAGCGGATTGCTTCAACCGAATCATCGAGGCTAATCGTGGTACAGGCTCAGACCGCACTCACCGTCCTATACCTGTTTGCTCTGGAATTTCGGGTTTGGGGAAAACGCGTATGCTGGAGGAAAGTGGCACGATTCTTGAAGAGATGAAATTGGACCCCAAGTACGTTATTCGCCTGATTGTTCCGTACTACAATGGATATAAGCCAATACCAGTCGAGCGGTCGATGCCGATTGAGGCGTCTTTCTCGTGGCGGCTTTTGTATCGTTTTTTTCTGGACAATAACTGCGCGTTTGATTTCGTCACGTGGTTCGAGTCACGGCTACCTTGTAATGGAAGTCAGCTGACTTTTCGTAACTGCATTAAAATTATTGAGCGCAAGTTGCGTCAGAGCGTGCAAGTACAAAGGATGCAGTGCATCTTTGTTGGCATCGATGAATACCAAAAGATTGAAAAACTAAGGACCTCTGGAGCAAATGCCGGCACGTCAATCCTGCGCGAACTCGTGGAAACCATAGCACATTTCCTGTGTACGAAGTCGTCAAGTCTGGTTGTGTTGCCCATGTTTGCAGGGACGGATTTGGGCGTCATTGCACCGGATTCAATCGCCAATTCCTCGTATTATGTGACCAAGCGGCTTCCCATGACCCTCTTGACCCTGGGGCAAGTGCTCACCTCTGTGGAGAGCAATGCAAATTTTGCTGGGTTCTTGCGACATACTCAGGTCTATCGCCATTTGTTCGCTCTTGGAGGTGTTCCACGGTGGGTTGTCGATTACCTATTGGGACTGAAGAGGTGCTCGGAACCAGATACAATTACATTGAAGAGCATCAAAATGTGCTTCGAGGGCGTCTGGACAACCTACGTCGATGCTTACACGGGGTTAATATCAACCCATCAGCTCGTCCGTTTGGCAGCCTATGCCGTGTCGGGTCGACAGGTTCGACACCAAGACGCGTTCGATAAACAGTTCAAGTGGTCCAAACTTCGAGATTCCTCGATATGCGTGCTCAACCCATCATCATCCACACCTAGAGTTTGCGATGTACGGGTTCCCTACGCGCTGTTGCAGAGTATCGCGTCGAGTGATGATATGACGAGCAAAGCAGAAATTTTTTTTGCAGCAGCTTTAAGTGACATTGAAGAACTGGTGGATTCGGAACTGTTCGTCCGTGAGCCGTGGCAGTCGTGGGAGATGTTCGGTGCTTGTTTCTATGCTGCTCGAATCAATGCCTTGCTGGTGCTTGGGCACTCGACTGTGACGCTGGGAGAGCTTCTGCCGGGGGCGCTGATGAGCGATGACACGCGTCGCATTTCCGTGAAACTTGCTCCGTCAAGAGTGTTTGAGTGTGCGGAAAAATATGGTTCTTCAACTCCCAAAGTCGTTTCACGAAAAGACCATCTAGCGGAAAAAGCCGACTGGACGTCAAGTGGCAACATCATTGTGAATGGGGTTGGTGGAGCTGGCGTCGATATTTTCTTTGCTCTGAAGGATGCTCTCTCTGAGAATTTGATTGTCTTTGTGGACCAAAGAAAACGGCATTTCGGTAAATTTCAGCCAAAATCAGCAAGGGAGTATCTTCGCAAGCTGAGGAAATCCCGCCCTGCATTTCTCGAGAAAGGCACGCGTTTGGTGGGAGGGGTCATGAATTGTGTTGCCCCGTCAAATCTTGAGGACTATGTTGTGCCGAGTGATTGCTTCCTCTTGACCCGAGACGAGACGGAGCGGTTCCATGGAACATTGGCGTATCATCCAGCATGTACACCTATCGTCCCAATGAATTCAGCCAACAAAACAGCTCTCAAGTCGGTGCTTAAAGGCAGTGAGGAACATGTTGACAAAGCCGCCGAAGAAATTTTGAGGAAGAGGATGGAACCTAGCGGAGGATTCATCGACTACAAGGCAATGCGTTCACATTTCAAAGTCATGAAGCTGGATGTTGAGGTTGATACCGAGTACGCGGTTTGCACAGGTTAATAGGCTCAATAAGTAAGTTTGTCGGCACAGTTGTTGGCAATTAACAAAAGCATGCAAACTGAAGTTTTGCGAGCTGGAGTAAAACCTGCATCTTGAAGAACCGTGTCAGGAGATAAGCAAAAGCCCTGTAAGACTACCGGCAACTACTTACGTAAAAGCCTAAACCAGAATCCGGAACAACCAGAACGCGCTGCTGCGTCGTGCCGAGCAGCAGACTCAAGAGAAGCAGGCACAACTGGATGAAGCCAATGCTCGAGTGAAGGCGCTGGAGGATGAACTGGCACTGCTCTCGCTCACAAGCGGTTCGAATGACTTTGCCTTGCGGGTCAAGGGGCTTCAGCAGGAGGTTTTCGCCAAGTGTGAGCAGCTCGTCCAGCAAGGCGAGAAACATCTCCGCGTCGCCGAACTGCTTGACAAGACGAAGAGCGAGCTGGCTCAGCTTAGAGAGGTGGTGGGAGGAGTGCGTCGCACGCTGCTTCGCGGGATTGGCTTGGATCCGACGATCGCCACCGGTAGTCACGACTCGAGCGTCGATGACATGCTGTACCAGCACGTGAAGCTCGAGGAGCTGGTGCGTCTGCGACTGAAGGCGTTGGAGCATGAGTGGGAGCTCGCTGGAGGTCCAATGGCGTCTTCTTCGTCGTCTCTTGACCCCGCGACAGACGAAGGCGAGGCATCGTCGTGCCATTTACCCAACGTCGACAACTTCTCAGCCCTGGACGCTCTCGGCCTTGGTGGCGCTGGACGGTTGGAGCGTGAGATGCGAGTGCTACGAAGCCGCAACAAGCGGCTGATCGAACGCACTGAACGACTCGAAAGCGAGCTCGACACGGCTCAAGCTGGCCTGCGAGACCTGCAAAGCATGCGAGAAAAAGTCGTGGAGATGGTCGGTCGTGAGCGAGTCGAGAAGGAGCTGCGTGCCAAGAGCGAGCTGGCCAACAAGGAGCTGGGCGAGAAGGTCGCCGCTCTCTCGGAGCACGTGGAGAAGCTCATGGTGCATCTGAAGCACGAAGCGGCGGCCAAAACACGCGCAGTGGAAGCTCAACGTCGTGTGGACAAGGAGTTACTCGACGCAAAGGACAAGTTAGCCACTGCAACTCGCAAGCATGTCGCTCAGGACGCAAAGGTGGCGGAGCTGGAGCAGGGCGCGCGAATCCTGGAGGACCAGCTCCGTCTAATGGACGAGAAGTTCATCGACGTGCGCAACAAACTGGACTGGACGCGATCAAACGCACGCAAAGAGAACAAACAGCTCTCGGCGGAGCTGTGCTCGCTGCGTATGAAGTGGCAGATGGCGAGCGACTCGGGCGTCCTCGCTGGGCTTCCCGACTGGGTCTCTGCTACATCCGTGGCGAAGTTCTCCAAAAAGCCGCCGCTAGGAACCAGCAGCTCCGACTCGCGACTGCCAACGCCTAAAACCTCCAACAACGGTCTTTCGCCCGTGGTAGCAGCGGTGGTGCAGGACGCCTTAGCCATTGGCAACGGCGCGCGTGTCAAGTTTGAGATCCCGAAGTTGCCTCAGCCGGAGGCTGACGCGGGCACACCGTGGTCTGACGCCAAGTTGTCCGTACTTCAACGTCAATTCCAAGACAAACGCCGAGGCTAATCTCATGGTTAATAGCATGAAAGTTGCCGACTTTAAGCCTTTGATTGAGATTAGATTGATGGAGGTGGTGGTTAGTATACTCTACGTCACAGAAATCTCATTCTCATTTGAGAATCTGCGGCCTTGAGGAACGATGGGGAAGATAATACTCACTTGCGCGATTGTTGGTGTGGGCAGCACGTTCGGCGTGGAAGTCGACGATGGCGAGAAGGTGGGTGGGCGAGTTGAAGGAACCGATCAAGCAGGAAAACTCGATGGCTTGACCCAGAAGGAAAACCATATCCGCCACTTCAACATGGAGACCACTTCAATATCGCCGAGGGGGGTGTTCGGTACTCCCGAAGTGTAACGGGGTTACACGAGAGTTACCCGAAGGGTTACGAAGTGGGTACACACTGTCTAACCTAAATCAGTAGGAGAATCAGTACATGGCTTCAGAGCCACTGATTATGCATATGACTAGGGTTCACTATGCTAGATAGTGAACCGGATACATTTACACCGTAGGCGGCTTTGCCGCAATAAAGGGAAATACATTCAGTTTGAGATTCACACAGTTAAGAGTTAAGGGTTGACTCTTGGAGTCCGTAGGGTGTACGGACTCGTACGTTCTGGTATTAGAACGGGCGATCTTAAGCTGAGACTCTGCGAGTCTGTTAAGCTTCCTCTGACGCAAAGCTACGGCAGCCCCGCTGCACTTGGTAGCACTTGTAGTCAATCTGACACCTGAGTCTGTATAGACTGACCTTCTGTGGAGAATGGAGCAGTTCGCTCACTTGCCCCCGAACCAGCAGGATGCGCTTAAAAAGCTTATGTCCTTGCTGGGCCCGGAGGGCGTGACGCAACTTGCGCAGCAAGGCCCCGACGCGGTGAACGCGCGTCTCGAGGCGTTTTCAAGCTACGAGCATGCTCTGCTAGAGCACCTCCAGCAGAGGATGGTGACTGCCGCGGCGCCCCGAGCGCCCCCTTCGTCGTCCGACGCGGGAACAAGACCTAAGCCGCTCATGTTGAGCGTGAAGACCTTCGAAGGCAAGGAGGGTGAAAGCTTGATGCTTTGGACGCGTGAGGTTGAGATGGCTATGAGCTCAGCGCTACTCCGGACGGAGTCGCAGCGCGTGGCACTAGCTATCTCGAAGCTCGGTGGGCGAGCGAGAGAGTGGGCACTAACGTCCGGGACGTCGGTCGAGATGGCCTTCCCGACGTGGGACCAACTGAAACAGCAATTGTCCCGAGTGTTTGCTCCGCCTAGCGAGGCGTATCGTGTGGGCTCACGCTTCCTGGCGACCAGGCAGAGCAAGAAGGAGTTGATGGACTACGTCCAAGAGTTGAGAACTCTCATTGCTGGCATGTCTGCGGACCCCCTGCCGGAAGCAGTCACCGTTACGGTGTTCATGGAAGGGCTCCGCACTGACGTTGCCAGGACGGAGGTGTTCCGAACCCACCCGTGCTCTTTTGAAGAGGCTGTGAGCGTCGCATTGAATGCGGAGCACAACTTTAAGTCGTCGAGACTTGGGTGGAATGCGTCTTACGCTAGCGCGTCGAGTGGTCCGGAACCCATGGACATCAGCTATGCTGAAGACGAAGAAGCCGAGCTTCGTGCTGCTGAGCAGCGTCGCGGTGTCCGCTGCGCCATCAGCGCCAGGCTTCGTCGAGCCGCTCTTCGAGTTCGAGCCAGGGCTCTGGTTTGTCTCGGGGAAACGAGAAGTCCCAGTAGGCGCGGGGCGGCCTACTGGGGAAGAACTAAGTTCTATTGAGCCTCGGCGAGGTGGAGGTCGACAGGACTTAGCCCCGAAGAGAGCCGTACTCTCTAACACGGAACGTGTATGCAAGCCGGGCTTGCTAGTTGTCCAAGCTTGGGTGAAGGGCTTCACGAAGCCATGGACGATTTTGATCGATTCGGGAGCGTCGGGTAACTACGCCCGGCGTTCTACGATGGACGGAAGTCAGCTTTATGCTGAGGCGCTGGTAGCGCGCGGGAGTGACATCATCACTGTTCGTCTCGCGACGGGCACTCGTGTCACGGTGCCTAAGGTCCCTGTGGACCTGGGCGTGAAGTTTTTGGATTTTGATAGCGTGGAACGCTGTCTGGTCTTATACCATGATTCGAGATATGATCTCATCCTTGGTATGGCGTGGCTGGAACGCCACGAGCCTTGGATAGATTGGTGGTCGAAGACCCTTGGTGCTACGCACTTCTCTCCTGGCGGAGCATTGGCGAGTCATGAACCCACCTCTGCTAGGAAGCAGAAGCGCTTTTGGCGCGAGCACTGGACCGAGTCGGTCAATGTGCTGGACATCGGAGTTCCCGAGTTGGTGGACACTGAGTGTGTCGAAAATGAGCGTTTCGAGCGTGGCTCGCGGACGGCAGGTGAAGCGGCACGAATTCCGCTGAGCGGGTGTGCGTCTGAGGGCGACGCCCTGCTGCGTGCCGGTGAAGGCGCGGTCGGCACGATGCCGAAGAACAAGGGGCTTTGCCCGGATGAAGATCGTGGAGTGGCACGTAATCCACTGAGTGGAGGCTGCGGATCGTGCAGCTCTTCGCTGAGTGTCGGTAAAGACACTGGAGCTTTCCTGGAGCTGGACGAGATGTCCTTGGCCGAGTTCGGCGAAGCCTTGAAGGCTGGAGACTTGGCCGAGGTAGTGGTCATACGACCCGAAGAAGAATTGAACTCGTCCTCGCTTCGGGATGAAGCTGTCCTGGAAGACACCAAGAAGGCGCTGAATGCGCGAAGCGGATCGGCGATCCTGCAGGACCCGTCGGATCCCTTGTATCAAGTGGTAAAGGATTACCAGGGCGTGGTCTCGAAGGGGCCGCCCTCGGGGCTACCTCCGGATCGAGGTGTTCGACACGAAATCGATCTCGTTCCGGGAACGAAGTACTGCGTGACGAGGCAGTGGCCCTTGCCGAAGGAGCAGTGTGACGTCATTGACGCGTTCTTCCGTGCGAAGCACGAGGCGGGCATGGTGTGTGAGAGTAAGTCTCCACACTCTACGCCGACGTTCTGTGTCAGAAAGCCGAATGCAAGTGGCGTATCGTGCATGCTTTCAACAAGCTGAATGCCGCTACCATTCCGGCGCAGACGCCGATTCCTCGGAAGGATGTTCTTCAGAACAACATGACAGGATGTACGATGTACAGTGCGCTCGACTTGGTCGATGGATATTACCAATTGCTCATGAGGACGAGCGACATTCCTCTCACTGCGGTGAGTACTCCGAGCGGCATGCTCTGGGAGTGGTTGGTGATGCCCCAAGGGCTTTCGAACGCGCCAGCGACGTTTAATCGTCTTGTGACGCAGCTCTTCAGGCCCCATCGGCCGTACGCGCAAACGTACTTCGATGACATCTTTGTCCACAGTCGTGCGGAGCACGAAAATACTGATATGGAGAACCA